GTAGAGTAAATGTCAGGAATGCCTGACTTAAACCCCCTCATCCATCACTAATTTCGAATAAATGTATAGATGCTGCATTGAATTCATGAAGATATCATTCGTTTTGAGCAATCATTCCCTTAGCTCCCCCATTCTTTGATTGTTTCAAAGAAGTAGTCAAACTACAATATGTATTGTTTAGTTACATCTATTGCTTGTTATTTAAGCCATTTCATCTCTAGTAGATTCAAATAATTTCTGCAATTCTGAATTATGTTGCTGAACAAACTTGACAATCACCATTAGAAAGAAGGTGACATGTTTATGGACCCAGAACTAGCTAAGACAGCTAAGACTCTGTGTACATGCGAATCACTTCAAGAATCTTCTTGATGAAAGAAGCTTGTGTGGTTTGTTAAAAGACTTCGATCCGCTCACAGCCATGCAGATTAAGACGAATCTAGATCGACATTATTTTGATAACAATGAAAACTCAAATGGTTTGATTTTTAGCTAAATTACCATAATTATTATAATTAATTAAATACGTACAGGCTGACAATGTTTCATTTCACAAAATGTATCTGAATAATGTAATTTTAACTGAATCTTAAGCTGTTCAAAAAGCTTTGTTAGATGATGTTATCGATGCTGTATAAGTTGAAACCTTTTGATGATGAGAGGTACATGAACAAACCTACACTAAACAATACTACATTCCAGCTTGAAACGAAATGAGTGGAGTTGAACGACGCCTGTTTATCGAAACTACATCAATCAACTTTTCAACTATGCAGGTTATTAATGAAATGAAATGAAATACTACTACTTTATCGGAACTAAGTCCGATCTACGCCAGATAACCCCCTCCATATATCCCTGTCCCGCATCAGAGTTCACAGTTCCTCTTTTGAGTTTGTCCCAATTTCCTTCAGTAACATAGACAAGTAGCTTTGTCTTGGTCGGCCTTGCTGTGCTCTACAATGCATAGGTTTCCATAAGACTAAATCACTGGCAAGTAGCTCAGGATGTCTGATGCAGTGTCCCGCCATTTTTAGTCTCCTGCTTTGTAACTTGTTTGACAGCCTTGGTAGACTACCATACAAAGTTATATTGCTGACCTTGTCCTTCCATGAGATACCCAGCACCATACGTAGCATCTTTGTGTATGTCCCGTCCAATACAAATGAAATAAATTATTTTTATCACGCTTATATCAACAATCAAAATTAAAAACTTATGGACGTATATCACTCATTATTATGTATCACTCTCTAACATCTTGTCCTCACTACAAATATTACCACTTCTGATATAATAATGTTTTTTTGTGTCTTCTTTGGCTCAGGCATGGCTCCAGCTCAAAATCTTTGGGTGGGTGCAGCTTGGCGCACGGTGGGGGGGGGGGGGGGGGGGTGAAGCCCCCTGGAAAATTTTGGAATTTTACTCTCCTAAACATATTTTAATATCTCCAAAACAGTCTCAATTGATTACAGAAGTCAATTGACCCTTAGTTTTAAATACAAAATTTGACAATTTTTGTGTGAACATTTTCAAATCGTTTGGGTGGGTGCAACACCCTTTGGGTGGGTGCGCACCCACCCGAACCTACACGGTGGAGCCATGCCTGCTTTGGCTATCTGTTTCATTTCCAAGACCAACCGCTGATGGATAACTCGATCTTCAGGTGATCGATCTGGAGAGATGAAAACAGTCTTATGATCTTCACACAGTCTCAGCTTTTTGGCATTTACTAATATCTGATGAACGGTAAGTTAGAATTATCTAGCGAAACTTTGACTGGTCTAGTCTTGTTGGCTGATTTTCTCCCAACCCAGATAGCTCCAAAACGTGGTTTTTCTTCAATCTGCTGAAAAATCACGGTAACTTTATTGCACAGTTCCTCTTCATCAGTCTCCTTCAAACCAAAGATGAGCACATTCCTACTGCGATCCTCTTCCGATACACCATTCTGTACAACCTTTTTTAAATTCTCTTCTGCAAGCACAGGTGCATTTTTAGTCACAGCTTGACTGTATGACTTCATCTCAGCTTGGACAGTGTCTTGAACGGCGGTCTTGACGGTGGAGTGCATGGATTCCAACTGCTTCGATTTAGTTTCCAGAAGTTCAGCCTGCAGCTTGATAACAGTACTTTGCGATCGGATAAGATCGCTCTTCAACTCCTCCATATCTTTCTTGTTATCCGGAAACGTACTTACATGATTATCGGTAGTCTGATACGCAGAATACAAATTATAAATGTTTTACTGAAACTGACTTCACTGGCTTTTTGAACGTTTCAACTGAAAACTCAGATTTATTGTCACAGTTCGTAGCTTCCGCGAGTTCAGTGATCCAACCGTTATAGACCTCATACTCTTCAGTAATGTAGCTAGGTAGAATAAACTGACAATCTTTGAAGAGTATCCATTTCCTCCATCGATTACTTGTACTTGTATAAAGTAAAAACACAGTACCAGCAAAATGGCAGTTGTAATGTAGCGATAAAATAGAGATATGAGCTAGATTATCAACACGTAAAAAAAACTGTAAAACGGTATCATAATATTATTATGCTTTTAACATCATCTGTTGTGATATACATGACAAAGGGTTGGAAATGTACAGTAACCTTACTATATTGCAATTACACAATATTATGTGAACGACCCCTAACCCCTTATCTAAGGCTCTATAAGTATTGAATAATGATAACTGCAGGATTTCAAAATGTACAAGGTATCATATCAAAGATTGCATATGCCCGAAAGAAGGACAAATCCAATTTGGCTCTCTGGATGTATGGAAAGCTCTCAACCTTCCAGAAAAGGACTGTTCAAAGGAACACTTAAATCCCTCCGACAGGTAATTATTATAAATAATAATTTAGTCTACACTTCATTATGTCAAATCACCTACCTTAATGAAGAACTAAAATTGTTGTGTTACCGTAACCAAGTTTAATGTGACTCAATTTTGGTGGAACTTTAGAATTTGGACGTTATATCTATCATGTTCATCTTAAATCCCATATTATATACTCAATATTCAATTAAACAGACAAAGATAACCTCTCTAGGCCCTCTGGTGGTGATGTATAAGTGCTTTCTCAGTACTTTCTCTCGCTTTTGGACAAATCCAGTGAGTTAACTTTTTATCAGTGGTCGACCGGGGGCAGGATTCTGACCGGGGCCGGGGAGCCCCAATATAGCCGGGGCCGGGGCTGACCACTGAGAATTGGCCGGGGCCAGGGTTTACCCCCGGAGAATTGCCAATTTTTGGCTGGGGGTTGTGATTTTGGCCAGGGGGCACCGGGCGACCACTGCTTTTTATGTCACAATTTTAAAACTTTATTCATAAGTTTATGAAACATCAAAACTTTGCATGCTCTGCATTATGTAAAGTCAGTCATGCACTAGAGCACAGTTCACATATAATAACCTAATCCAGCCTAGGGGAGGGGGTTTGAAATCGCTTGTGCTAGAGTGATTTATACTCAATAGCTATGTGAAAAGTGGCTCAAGGAGGGGAGACCGACGTAAACAATTTTGAATTGGTAGAAGTTAAGTTTAGGCTTTAATAAAAAACTTCACCGGACCGTTCCAAGCTGCCTACAAAGCTGGCAGGAGCTGTGCCGACCTAGTTTGGGCACAGAGCATGCTCATATCTGTAGTAATGAAGAAGGAGTTTGAATGGAACAAAGTGAGTATTGACATGTCAGCTGCCTTCAATACCATCCGCAGAGGTACAACAATCAGACTACTAGAAGCTGCAGGATGCTCCAGAGACGACCTGAGGCTTGTACAATACCTCATGGCTAACACCACTCTAGTAGTCAGAGTGTGTTCTACTGACTCAGAGATGTTCTCTTTCAACATAGGAGCCTCCCAAGGAGACAGCACAGCTGGTAAATTGTTTACCCTCAATCTAGCTGGAGCTGTAGTGCACATAAGAGCAGTCCTCCCCTCAACCCCCAACCCTCCGATAGCTGATAACCACATGCCTCTTGAGTCCGGCTATTCAGACGATGTAGAGGAGATTGGTGAAGATATGGAGGAGTTACAGGATATCTTTCAGATCTCCAAGAATATTCTCAGTGAATGGAGTCTCTTTGTCAATAACACAAAGACAAAGTTTACCAGAGTGTATTTAGAAGAAGTTGGTGCATGTAACGAGTGGGATAATGAACTAAGAGGAAAAGAGGAGTGGAGAAACGAGACGCTTCTTGGTACTAAGCTTGGATCAGAGCAGGATGTTACTAATAGAATGAATAAAGCTAACACCGCCTTCTGGTCATTTGACAAGCTGTGGTGCCAGGGATCAGAGAGGAGTCAGATAACTGAGAAGAGAAAGATCAAACTCTACGACTCACTAGTAGTATCAGTACTCCTGTACAACTGCTGCTGCTGGGCCGTACCTCAGCATGTTCTAGAGTCTGTAGATGTTGTTCAGAGGAAGCACCTCAAGCGCATCCTACACATCTATTGGCCTAGCTCAACATCTAACAAGGCCCTCTACGCTCGTACCCAGACCAGGCCCCTTTCCGAGAGAGTGGAAAAGGCACGGTGGACAATGCTAGGTCATGTTCTACGCAGTGACAACGACACGCCTGCCTACCAGTCTCTGTTATTTGCTTCACTAGGATGTCAAACACTAAAGGGACGAGTGGGTACTGGGTAGACACAGGACTAATTTGTATGATATTATTGTGAAAAAGGACCTATTTAAGAGACAAATTTATTTGAAAAATGAAGATGATTTTACCAACTTAGTGAACTTAGCAAGAGATAGAGTAGGATGGAGGAGTTTATTTACTTTGAGACATATTGAACGAATGAGTCTTCGTAAGCGTAAATAGGCCAGCACTTTGCTGAGCCTCTTTAGGTGCTTTTTTGTTTATAGATGTTATTATATATTTAAAGAATATCATTCTTTTACCACATACATAAGACTTTGCCGTAGGGTATACAAAAATGTGACCATTCATCAATTTTCAGAGTGTTGTATCTGTACCCGAATAGAAATAAAGGATTTTAATGACACAGTTTTCTTCCGCTCTGAAAGTGAACGAATTACAAAACAGTCTAGAGAATTCCTCGCCCTGCTGCAGAAGATCAATCCTGGGTTGTGCTCACCAAAGCAAACCTCTTTTTTTGTGTATTCAGTGTCTTAACTATGTAAAAGACAACTATAACAGGTTGAGTGGTTTCCTCCTGTTTTACTAACATTTAAAAACATCAGGAGGTGACCGGGATTCCCGGTACCGGGATTGGCAATTTTGAGCTATCCCGGTCCCGGTCCCGGTCAAATGCTGATTTATTTATTTATGATCCCGGTCCCAGTCCCGGTCCCGGTTAATTCGGGATTCTTGGTCCCGGTCCTGGTCCCGGTCAATCACTCAAATTTGCCGGGATTTTGACCGGGATCTTTTACATAATTTCATTCACTGTGATTTTAAGTTTTTCCTTTCATTCATTGTGAATTTCATCTTTAAACATCCTCTGAGCCAAATACAACAATGTTTAAAATTGCTTAACAAGTTTGAGTAATAAATTATGATCATGAATTAACCAGTAATCGACCGGAATTCCCGGTACTGGGAATCCCGGTACCGGGATTGGCAATTTTGAATTATCCCGGTCCCGGTCAAGTCACATTTTTCATCCCGGTCCCGGTCCCGGTCCCGGTAAATTGATAATCTCAATTTTGAGCTATCCCGGTCCCGGTCCCGGTCAGGCCTGAAATCATGTCCCGGTCACCTCCTGAAAAACATTATTATTCAAAGGTAAATAGACAGCGATCAGTAGTAATTTTTAATCCATTTCTATCGGATTTGCAAACTTTTAAAATGATATAACACTTGTACGATCTCAAACTTATGTGATATAATGATACTGTTGATATAAATGTGGGAAGTAATAATATATTTGCAGGTGTACAGTGCTGTTTCTGAAATTGACGAATCCTCTTGTGATGAAGATTGAAGAAGCTATTGCCATCCAAGTGGAAAAAGTCCCGCCTCTGTCACCCTCCTCGAATAGAACTAAGAAAATGTGGAGACTTTCTTCATTTAGTTCCAAATCAAGTGGACCAGATGTTGATTTGTTTGAAATGGACTGAGACTTGTGTTTCATATGCCAGGTTGAACAGGTTTGTGTGAAACTTTTGCTCGCAAATATAATTATTATTCATATTATCTCGATTTAATTTTAAGAGTATGAGAGGTTATTCTTCTTTAACAATACGAATTTCCCTAGACGTTAGAAACGAAAAAGGATAGTCTGATTCAAGGAAAAGATAATAGTTTCTTCGTCGATTTCGCAACATACTATCTGTGGACATCTACAGAAATCGTCAGGATCTGTGCAACATCGATGTTAATCCTGATTCGCACATGAACAAGTGCCCTGTTCTTAACCCTGAGAGTCTCGGAAAATATCTCTATAGCAAGCTAGGTAGATATCACAAAACATGTCGTTTGAGGTACAGCAACTCGAGGGTGAAACAATTGAAGGGTAAATTATCTGAAGCTGTAAGTTTAAAACCTGTCTCTAAGACAGGTTTTAAAATGGAAAGACACGTGTCCACGCACGACAACACCAATGCTGCATTAATGAGTGCAGGTATTGATACGGACCTTTTAACTGGAGCAGGAGAATGTTTTACCAGAACTGTACCTCGTGTCTGACCTGAAGCTTAAATACAATGACTATGTGACGTCTAATTTATCTGAGAACGCTGCAAACTCCAGCAATGTTTAATCTGATCACATCAGTTTTCAGAAAGACAATGTCGGTAAGACGAGTTTGTTTCGACAGCAGGATCGTATCTAATCTAGCTGCAACAATAGATGCGGATAGAGATGATAACACTTTAACAAAGACAGCACTCTTAAAGGAGATTAGAAAAGAAATCTTTCAATGTAGAAACGAATTCTATCAGAAGATTTATCTTCAAAAACATGTTCGATTTACTGATCGGACTGTAGAAATATAGTTTTTATGTGGATTAATCTGTTAAAGCAGGGCTATTGTATAATTTTAACATTAACTTTGCATAGTGATGGTACGTTTATTGTGTCTCTTGTGATTATCTATTTCTACAGTGTTACGGTACCACGAGGTTTCTGGCGCAGTGACGCGCTTTCGAGCAAATATCGTGCTAGATACGTCACGCGCCGCAACCGAATCAGATTTAAGTGCACTTTTTCCATTGTAAACACTACATACGACGCGCAACACGTTCTACGAGGTCGAAATTTTCGAGGTCTCTAACACCGGAATGGAGCAATATTTAGACGATCTGACACTTTCTAGGGCTTAAGCAACCTAAGAGAAATTAGGGGAACAACTCAGAAAAAATTTTTAGTCGATATTCCGGTGTCTGTAGATGTCCGAAGTTTTGGCAGTAAAGTGCTCACAACACAGCTTCTGAAGGCTCTAGAAGGTTCCCGATACCGTCAGAGTGTTCAGTACACTCCATTCTATCATATAAGAACCCTAAAAGAAGTCCCAGGGCTCGAGCAAAGAAGCGTGATATTTGCCCGTAAGAGCCTCTACTATATAACGCATCGTTTTCGAAATAATTTGAAGCGTATTATTTGTATTTATATATCATCACATCAACAATTTAACGGGTGATATTCGTAAAATATTTGTGTCCAACTCGGCGCGCGTTTTGGTATATATAATTAATTATTATTATAAAACAGGATCTTACCGACAAAAATGATTCTTAAAAATACCTTAATGCGGTAAACTGTGGCTCTTACTAAATCGCTCGCCCAAAAATTTCATGTGACTTTGGTTTTTTTGGTTTTGCAGCCGTAGAAAACGGTTTTACATAAACCCTAATCCCAACCCTAACCCTAACCATAACCCCGAAGCTATCCATAATCTTAACCACAACCCTAACCCTAACCCGAGCCCTAAATAATCGAATTCACGTTTTACTAGCCTGTCACGTGACCAAAACGGTTTTTTGCCCATAACTCTCCAGGGAAGCATTTTAACCCTACGTCATGGGGGGTGATTCGGAATCAGCGTCCAAAAATACACCGATCTAGATCACTTTCATGCCTAAAGGGCCTTTTCACAAGAATTTTCTTAAAATTTGGGCGAGCGATTTAGTAGGAGCGGTAAACTGTACCCTTGATAAAGATTTTCCCAACATCTGTTGCATGCAGCTATATCTCTAATTTCGTTCAATTCATGCAAGTTGTCCATTTGCAAATTTCTACTACTTAAATCACTTCTTAAAACCGATAACAAGTTCATTCTAGGTCTCCCCAATCTACCAATGAATAAATATATTATATTTATAAACCTACAAATCAACAATCCATAGTCAATAAATTATTTTACATATATTTGACAAAGCGACCATAATTTTAATTGAAAAGATTAAATTGTATTGTATTTAATTCAAGATTGTTGCTTTGCGTAGCAAGCAGCATGAGCAACAACAAACAAGCAAAAATGACGGCTTTTACTATTTCGCTCGCCCAAAAATTTCACGTGACTTTGGTTTTTATGGTTTTGCAGCCGTACAAAACGGTTTCACATAAACCTTAATCCCAACGACCCAACCCTAACCGTAACCATAACCCCGAAGCTATCCATAACCCTTACCACAACCCTTACCCTAACATAAGCCCTAAACAATCGAATTCATGTTTTACTAGCCTGTCACGTGACCAAAACGGTTTTTTGCCCATAACTCTCCAGGGAAGCATTTTTACCCTACGTCATGGGGGGTGATTTGGAATCAGCGTCCAAAATACACCGATTCAGGTCAATTTCATTATCAAAGGGCCTTTTCACAAGAATTTTCTTAAAATTTGGGCGAGCGATTTACTTTTAGTATGTAGGACATAGGAGCGAAAAATGCTGATTCCGAATCACCCCCCATGACGTTGGGTAAAAATGCTTCCCTGGAGAGTTATGGGCAAAAAACCGTTTTGGTCACGTGACAGGCTAGTAAAACATGAATTCGATTGTTTAGGGCTCGGGTTAGGGTTAGGGTTGTGGTAAGGGTTATAGATAGCTTCAAGGTTATGGTTAGGGTTAGGGTTGGGATTAGGGTTTATGTAAAACCGTTTTGTACGGCTGCAAAACCGTAAAAACCAAAGTCACGTGAAATTTTTGGGCGAGCGAATTAGTAAGAGCCAAAAATGACTGATGATTGTTCGCGCGGCGCGTCAAAGCGGCGACGTCCTTGTAGGTTTAAAAATGAATAATTGATAATACATTTTTTGAAAAGTTGTATTTGAAATTGAAAATGAAGTTCTTAAAAATGAAATTAAGTTACTTTTTACTTTACTGGGCCGCGCTCAGCCTGTCATTCCGCCTAATCTCTATTCGGTGTTTATGAACATAATAGCCTGAGGTCCCCAGGTAACTTTTTACTATATTTTTGGCTTTATCATTAATTGTTTTTAAAGTCATAAATATCGATTAAAAAATCTTCAGCGTATTAAAAAAGTGAAATGAAAAGTTTGCAATCAAGTTTATTTAAATACCCCGAATACCCTGAATACCCCGAATACCCCGAATACCCTGAATACCCCGAATACTCCGAATACCCCGAATACCCCGAATACCCCGAATACCCCGAATACCCCGAATACCCCGAACACCGAACTTCATGCAAATCCAAATGTTTTCCGAACTATTCGGTAACCCTAGTACATATGTAATAAAGCTTTCAGCTGCATTTTATTTCGGCATTGGATAATCGAAGATTTTATTGGGTGTTAGTGTCGGTCAAACAGTTGAGCTGCTTCGAGGGGGCGTGTAATAATCAGAGTAACATTTACACCACATGGGCTCCCTGTTTTGTGTTTATACACCAGCTTCTTTCTGTTATAGTTTCTAACCCAATGGTAAAGGCAAAGCAGGTGTGTGTGATTGTGATATTTGTTAGGCAAGTTATCTTCTAGAGTCTAGACCAAGAAAGAATTGCTGTTCGTTGTGCTGTGAAATATTTATTGTCAGAGGAATGTTTGTGATATGTGCTTTTATCATATTACTTTTATTATATACAATAATATTAATATTAATATTATGTATTAATATTACATTTATTATATTGCTTTTATTATATTACTTTTATTGTTATTATTTGTCGCATGTTTCATTTAGAATTTGTCAGGTGTAAAAAAGCGACTTCTTACCATAGTATTACTGATTACGTACGCATATACAACGTTGTATTTATAAGAAAGTCAGGGTGTCAAGTTTTTGTTGCGGTATCTTTATTGTCAGCTGACCTCGGGTCTCAGCTTAACTTAAAGTTTATTGGACAATTCGCTCTCTTTAACCAAGTGATAGAGAAGCTTGACTGGGATCTATACTATTTAAGTTATTCCAACATTTCAAGAAGTTATATTCATTACATCTGTAATATTTTGGCGCAGAGCTGCTTGTGTAAACAAATTTTCTTTTATCAATATTAAAAGTTCTTTTAATATATTTATAATATTAATTGATTCTGTTATAAAATTGTTTTATTACAGGCTTAGATATGGTTACATCCTCAACAAACCTCTCGTTTAAAATCTGTGATCTCAAGCAACTCTGATTATTAACAAAAGATAAGCGGGATGAAACGCTCAGTTTCCATTACTCAGGAGTTATACCGTTACTTTTTATATCTCACACACACTTACACACTTACACTCACATCCTTTATTCGATGTTAACTCAAACTAGATTTTCTATGTTTTATATTCTACATTAGTCGTTACACTGCATAAATAATCGGTTTTACTGATTATTTCGATATAGTGATTTCATTCTTCACAATCCGCGGGCACTTTTGAATGTGGGTGCAAATCGAAATTGAATTAATTATCACAAACATTAACAGCGTTACCTTTATGTGCTCTTTTTCGTATATGCAATATGACAACTGAACATTTTCCAGTTTCTTTATTTTGAATGATGTGCCGGTTGATTTTGCTAAAATATTTTCCATGTCTTATTAAATAATGGCATATGCAAATAGCAATTAGTGGTTATTGTCTGAAACTGATCGTTCATTGTCCAAGAGTTTTGTTGCGCTTATTCTATATTTCTGGACCGAATCCTAAATACTTAATGGGAAATCACTTGAAAATATACACAATAAAAACTCCTTCCCATAAAAGACAGAGAGACGCTGTAAATCCAATGTGGTAAGGTTACAAGCCTCTGTTGACTGTTCTAAGATAGCTCTGTTGTAGAGTACTAATTAGTCTGTTATTAACTCACGACCTCTCCCGTAGCCATTATCTGCTCCGCCTAGTTGCTGCTGTCACGGATTGCTTGTCTGTTCGTTAGTCCTGACGCAGACACGCCGTATCCCTTAACATGTTATGCCAACTGTATGTTAAATGGAGGATCATTTACTGAATTATCCAACTCTGATTTTATCTGCTTTATTGTATGCTGTATCCTTAACATTGTCTAATCTTATGTTTCATAATTGATTGAGATTTGTAAACCATCTCATTCCTTAATCCTGAGAGTGAAAAGATATATTCACCAGAGTTTTTATATAAGACTTGTTGTTGTTTTCGCTTCTCAATATTAAAACTATCAATAAGATATAGGGTATCTACTATCTACGGTTAATTCTTCCGCACATTAAGAAATTTGAAAGGTATGAAGTATAAAATATGAGTAATAATTATTTGATTTTGGGTTAACTGATCCGCGGTCTTCAGAGTCTAGTTTTTACAGTGCATCAATTTCACTAAAAACACTAAAATCTAAATAGTTGATACCTAAACCTTTAAACTCGGTCGGTATTTTGTTTAGAAACTTAGTAGTACTATACAAGTGATTATAAACCTGCTTTATAAATATGTGGATTGAATGTGCAAGCCAATTTCTTGTTAATTTTCAGTGTAAGTGGATCTTTGTAGTTTCTCTTACTCCATAATATCATAAAATGTTCTCATCATGTTGTTTTTATTTCCGATGTTAAAATTTCAATCAATTGTTTTAGTCCAACGTGAGTCATGTAGCCAGTTGTTTTTTGCCGTAAATTTGTCAAAATTGCCGATTTGGCAACTATCCAGCTTGCATTGAGCTCTAAAAATGGTGCTGCTTAATAAATGTGAGGCCGATTTTCACAATTTCTGTTTTCCAGCGAACTCCTCTGAACTACCGAGGTGAAAGAGTCGTTTATCTGTCGTCTTTCAATTAGTGGTATTCCTTGTTTCTCCTAGATGGAGCTGGTTGTGGTAGATTATTAGTGTCACCATAGTGTAACAGTAATGACACCACCGTGTCACAGCAGTGTAACAGTAATGACGCCACAGTGTCACAGCAGTGTAACAGTAATGACGCCACAGTGTCACAGCAGTGTAACAGTAATGACGCCACTGTGTCACAGTAGTGTAACAGTAATGTTATCAGACTACCAGCTAGGATAGTATCTCAGGTTACAGATAAGTAGTAACACGCATTTGTCTCGTAACCTGTTCATTTCCTACTCTGCAAGCAATCCAATCATTCTTGTTAGAGCAGAATAACTAACTAGGTTACAATAATATCAGGTTACTAAATACTGTTATTACAGGCGTGTCTCGATATTATCATTGTCTGGTCTTTGTTCTGTTAATAGCTCTTATTGGTTTTGATTATTTCTACTAGAAATTAACAATCTCTACTAAACATTAATTAGTCTGTAATCCTAGTAAAATCATAAGTGCGTTCAAAATCTACTTTCCAATTTTCTGTTAATTATTCTTATTCGTTGTGAAATTAAATTTCCAGTTTTCCGTTAATTATACTTACTCGTTGTTGGAATATTTACAATTATCAAAATTAGACTGCCATAATCTAAGCGGGAATAAAAGTTCGTTCAAGTCGAAATTTCTGTTATCTGTTATCAGTTAGAGCTGATTATTATTATATAAAACAAGAGACTCTGTCGTTTGTAACCATAGAGATTCGTTATAAATTTAATGCTTGCATATATTTTGTAGCATTAGCATTTTATTAGTTCGATTTACAGTTTGATTGTACAAACTGTAAATAACGGGTTGCTAGAGCAACCCAGAAATTTGTCTTTTTGTATTGCAACAAAATTATCTCGTCGACAATTTTAGCATAAATTTTAGCATAAATTTTAGATAAATTTCGGCTGAATCGAAAGGGTAACACGATTGTACTCCTGTCCGACAGCACTATTTTCTTGTGTTTGAAGTGATATCTCAAATTTTGCACATAGAAGTTCATCCAAACTTGCACAGATTATTTGTCCTATGACCATCATACTTTATGGAAACTTTCAAGAAAATCGTATGGTAGGATCCGACATAAACTTTTGTTCGGAAAACCTATTTTCGGAGTCGGTAGTACTTTTGTAAAAAGATTATAAAAAATCCTGGCGAGTGTGTAGTTCACGCGTGTGTAGTTCAGAGGACGGCCAAAGTATATAACAGCTCGAAATAGTGATACAGGACCCTTATTAAATTTTGTCGAAGAGTAAAATCTTTTGTAATTTTTTACCGTATATTTTACCGAATAATTTAGATACATTTTTCACTTCTATTCTGATTAGCTGAACGTTTCTAATGAGAACAACTTTTCTCTACTGTTGAATTCTAGCACACTCCTGTTATATCAGACACACTTCTGATACGATCAAATTTTCCTTTTCTGTTTCTGATAGTGGGACACTCTTCTCACTTTTACTTTGTCATGTCGGGACATACCTTCCGATCGCCTAGTTTTAGTAAGACTCGACTTCTGTACAAGTTAGGTACAAATTGTCATAATTATTGCCTTTGAGTTATAGAACTTCTAATAATGACCAGTAATTTTATTAGGATTACCTTTTCCTACTAGCCTACGAGTTGTATTTACCGTCGACAGAGAATAGATTGGTATATTTGTTATTTATCTGATAAAGATTTGTCGATAAAAACCGATTATTACTCAGCTTTAATGCGAGGAAATGTTCACTCAAAGAGACAAAGAAACGGAATATACTAGCAACCCTTCAGCAGCCAGTAAGTGATACTTTCCTGAACAACTATAATCACTATTTGAATACTATCATTGTAATATTCTTATTTTCTCTTTGGTCTTTAATATCCTATTACTTGGCCCTTGCGCTGAAGTTCTTTCCACTGAGTAATTAATAATATATTATAAGTATATATATTGTAAGTAATAGGATTAATAGGTTCAGCAGTTTGTTATCTGGGTAGTACTTCTTCTTTATTGTATCACCTATGTGTCTAGCAACTAACACATATAAATATTAATAACACCATCAGTGTCAACATTATAAGTTATATTATGGTTGTAGAATGTAGATTGTAGGTATATAACCGCACCGATGCTAACTCTAAAATTAGCCCTTATAGCTGTTATCCCAACCCTCAACACTACAATTTTTGTTTTATTTACAACGCTCAGGGCCTCAGCCTGTCACTCCGCCATATCTTCAATGCAACTGAGCGTGCTAAATCACTCTACAGTCGATCTTCGAGATTTTTCTAAAAGCCCCCCCCCCCCCCCGACAATTGAAACCAACCTGAATCGCGATGTATTTTCGAACGCTGCTTCCGAATCACCCCCCCCCCCCCATGACATAGGGTGAAAATGCTCCCCTGGCGAGATATCGGCGAAAAACTGTCTTTAATCTTGATTACGTGATAATTACGAAAGTTGGTATAATTTCTCCTTAGGGTTAGAGTTTCAGTATATGCTTCAATTAGGGATTGGGTTAGGGTTAGGTTTGGAATCAGATTAGAAGGTTAAGGTTTTGAATAGTCATTCAGGGCCACCCGGCCACCGTGAGAACGTGTTAAAAAAGTCACGTGACCAGTGACAGTCGAGTTTAGAGTGATTACAGATTATAAATCATCGCATCATCCTAATGCAACGCGGGTCCCGAAATAACGTAAACGACAACGTTTCATTCTAGTGACTAAACCACTTTTTCTCGCAATTCTTCAGTAATAGTGTTTTTAGCCATTATCCATTAGCCATATCATTTACCTGGGGACCTCAGGCTATCATGTTCATAAACATAGAGATTAGGCGGAATGACAGGCTGAGCGCGGCCCAGTACCATATTGCATATCTGATATCATCTGTCATGAACTTGAAAAATTGAACCTTTTACAAAAAATTACGTAAAATGAACCTAAATATACAACATAGTGGTCGAAAACTGATCGCTACTATTTTAATTTACATAAGGTTTAAGTGCATTTCAACCCACCGGCTGCAAGCTTGTTATCCCAAATCACTGAATATTCAAGCATCTATAAACAAGAACCTTTCACTTCTGCTGCGTTTAGGATCATGACTGCGCGGCTCAAACTTTCATCGAGTAATCCAGTAGGAAAAAAGATATTTTCGCGTTGGATAAATAGTAAATCTCCCAAAATCGGTCAGTTCTGCTTTAACGTTATTTTGCATCGCTTTGACACTACGAGTCTGTTTATTTAATGTTGTATTGCGAACAATGGTAATTCTACAGAACAGCCCCGACTCTATTAAGTCTAAAATGAAGTCTTACTTCAAAAGGGTGGTTTATCGGCCCGGAGGAAAGAAGATTGAAAAAAGGAAAAGGAAAAACTCTAACAAGTGTGGCTACCTCGGTAAATGTGAAAATCCATCTTAGTTTTACTTAGCATTCTTATCTTCTAACAATATTATCTATCTTGTGGTTTGTTACACTCATTTTGTGCGATTATTTCATTCCTTGTAACAGGCTGGTTTTACCATTTTGTGAGCCGATTATTTCTGAATGGTCCGGTGTTAAGTTAATAAACCACCGTGTTAAGTTAATAAACCACTAGCAGTGAACTATAATAGCCGTAAATTAAGTGGAGTTACCAAATTCAGTTGAGGTTTGAAAACCTCTATATCGCCTCTGTCGAACACTTGTCTTACTTTATTTTTGTACTCATAAGTTTGTTAAAGTGATTACAACTTTTGCTCCATTCCTGAACTCGGTGCATTTGCAGATATCGTATTGTATTCGGTATACCAACTCAGTGTCCCTCTCCTGCGATTTTCTACGGAGAGTAACTTAGCATTTTGGTATCTTTCCCACTGCAAAGTTCTCTTCGTATTTAGAGCGAGTCATTACGAAACACAAGAAGTCATTATGTAGGAGCCCGGTCAATGATCACTGTAGACTGTAAGCAAGTAAACGAAGTATTAGTAACTACTAGTAACTACTGCATAGTAACTATTAGTAACTACATAATATGTGCGTTGCATAAAATAGCGATTCACAATACGAAGAGAATGTGAGCGTACAAAGCTAAGCATTCATTACAAGGGTGTAAGAGTGTGTACACTTTGTACAGTGTTCTGCAAGCAGCTCACTGAACTGTTTAAACTTGCATTATTTTAACGTTTCAGCCTGCGGAAATTATTTTTTAGCCTACTAATACTGCTGAACATACAACTGACACGGCACAAATTCTGTTGAATAAGAGAACCATATTTAAGCGATATATCTAATCTCTAAATGCTAGTGTGCCCTTAAAAAGTATACATAGTAGGGTACGTTGATAAAGGCAAGATTCAATGTTTGGCATGGCCCCTATTTCTGACACAAGAAGTACAATCTCAGCACTAAATCTCTAACACACATGTGTTTCAGGTGATGACGAGAGAGCCCAGTTAACACGCACCTTCTCGCCCCCAACACCGCGGTCTCGCCTCTTTCCCCTGATCATCTCCCACCAGAGCGAGGAGACCCTTCACCACATCAACAGTGATAATATCGGCAGTGCAGGAAGTATTGGGAGTGCAGCAAGTAGTCATAGTTCAGGGTTTAACGAGAGTATGTTGGACACGTTGGACAACTCTCTTCTCAGTGCTCCTGGCTTCAATCTAGACTCCCCTCTTGGTAGTGAGGTAAGATCTGAACTGTCTGTCTATTTGTCTGTTTATTTGTTTGTTTGTTGGTTTGTTTGTCTCTGTTAAAGTATTATTGTTCCCTTATCGTCCATGTTACTGGCACTCTTCCAAGTTCCTCTATAATCTATACATAATATAATCTATATATGATATAACGTAACAGTTTCTATGAAAATATGTTTGTTTCTCTACCATTCGTCCAAGACATCAGATAAAATACCGCGTCAGTTTGTTTCCATGCAATTTCTTACGCCAAGACCTTCCTAAGAAAGCCAATATTGGCCAATTAAACGATAAGAACGTTTAAGTCCGCCTTGCTGGCTACTGAAAGTTAGCTCATATATTAGTTCAAATAAGTAATAACCCGTTAACAAATATTTGATAACATCGCTCAATTAGTGTAATAACTAGCCTATATTAGTGTTATCAGCTATTTGTATGAGCTGCTGTGTTGTTAAGGTAAGTTTGATTACGTGCTGTTTACTCCAGCTGTTATAGCTGAAATATTCACATAATCAGTATATTGTGTGTTATCAGTAGTCTTTGACTAAATAGTAATTACACTCCCTCTACTGTGATAGCCCAGTAGTACGTACTAGGTTATCCTTTGTTAAGCAATGCGCAGTGGTCAGTTTACTTACTCACTAATCTGCCCCACTATATTGTACTCAGTAATCTGTCCCACTGTATTGTACTCAGTAATCTGCCCCACTGTATTGTACTCAGTAATCTGCCCCACAATATTGTACTCAGTAATCTGCCCCACAATATTGTACTCAGTAATCTGTCCCACTGTATTGTACTCAGTAATCTGCCCCACTGTATTGTACTCAGTAATCTGCCCCACTGTATTGTACTCAGTAATCTGCCCCACAATATTGTACTCAGTAATCTGCCCTACTATATTGTACTCAGTAATCTGCCCCACAATATTGTACTCAGTAATCTGCCCTACTATATTGTACTCAGTATTCTGCCCCACAATATTGTACTCACTAATCTGCCCTACTATATTGTACTCAGAAATCTGCCCCACAATATTGCCCCACAATATTGTGCCCTGCTCAGTACTGACCCAGGGGTTTCCTGGTAGCTGACAATAACGATATAATGGTGTTATAATGACCCCCCCTCCTGGTATAATGGGTACTACTGTAAAGCAGCTACTATTATACCTGACAGCTTGCTTCTCAGCGCACTTAGTGGGCCTTGTCTTACATTCCCACTGTTAGCTTTGTGTTGTGTTATAACCTTATCCGGGTATAATTCTTTTTAAATATTTGTGCAATTTGTTCGTTCCTGTAGTAAAAAGTATGAAGTGTTGAGGAATTAGGGCGTCATAAGATTAGGTTTAGAGGTCTTATCATTGTGTTAGGATATCTTGTGATTGTGTTTTTAAGACTCACTTCTAAGTCTGTTCTATTTTACTTCGGTTGATATTTGTTCAATACTTTTCTTTGTTCGTGTTTTTCTATCAGCCCTTAAAATAAACTCTATATTTTAACTATTTTATCCAGTGCATTATATAGTCTTCAGTATTCAGTCCTTTCATTTCCCTTCTAGTTGGCGTCGTTGTACCCACCAATAACATTGTGTGCGTATTTGAACTTCATTAGACTGCACATTTTGTTTATAAAATGTAATAATTTAGATATATGTAATGTGAACCTACTAGAGTATAAGTGTGTAACTCATCCCACCTCTCAGTACAATCTGAACCAGATGAGAGATGAGGAAGGAGTTAAGATATCCTCATCTAACTGCGTATTTGAGGGGTTCGGGGGTCCTGACAGCGTCGAAACTATGTGAGTATTACAATATCCGGCTTACATTAGATAAATTCTTTAATTTAGACTGTTCGGAATATCCTATTTGCAGTTATGTTATTTGCAGTTGCAGAAATAATTATACATGAATGAAAAGTATCCGACATTAAACGGAAGATTGGATGTCACTTGCACTCGTGAGCTGACGATTAAAACATTTCAGGGATTGGAAAGATTTGAACCAGCTGACCAAGTCCCTGACACACAAAAACAAAGTCCTGACTCAGGAACGTCGCGAACTGGAGATGCAGGTTATTACTATTTAGTGACTTTTTCTTTTGTTCAACCTACAGATTACAGCAGAATGTTCATTTTAGACCCCCCTCAACCCGTTAAACATGGCTATTGTGTAGAAATTACACTAAGCTTTGCCAAATGCCTCCCCCATAGCCCCTAGGGCAGGCCTAGTTATACGTGAATATACAATGTGAACGATCCGTTAGTCTGTGTAATGCGACTAATGCGGCTACAAGCATCTCCCGCCCTTAGTTTAAATTTACCGCGTATTGTTGTACCTCACATAAAAGCGGGCCGGGCAAACCTCTCACAATGGAATCTCAATATTACACTGGTATGTTTAGTGTGTACACATACCAGTCGGTACTGGTGGTGTGTACACTGGTATACTGGCTACCAGTACCAACCTACATTCTGTGTCTTCTAGGCTCCTGGAAAACGGGGTACTAGATTGGGACACAGTGGGGTCAGCGTGACAGTGTATATTTCCTTATCTTACACTGACGTAAGACACGTGATAATCTCCTAATTGATATAAACATTATTGAACCAATACGGTGCTGGTCGTGGTCCTAATTAAATTAACACATGTAATCACTTAATCCGGGATCCTGTACAGTAGAAGGGGTCACAGTTTAAAATTACCGCTTTTTTCCTTGATTTGATTTGATACATCCATTTTGGCTGAATATTTGAGATTTTTTAGACGTGAGAAAAATATGCGCTAGTCACTAGTTACATTCACTGCCAAATTGTAAGGTTTAATGCAGGATCGCTAGCTGAATGGGTATCTACAAAGAAATATGCATTATCATAAAGCGATTAAATCACCTTTGTTATAAGTACAGTAACTTTGAAGTCTATTTTAGGAACGTGCACGTGCCCCACCCTACTTGGTACGTGTCCAACCAAACCTGGCACGTGACCAACCCTGTCTGGAATTAGTGTGCGTGGTCGTCCTGCCGAATACTTGTCCACTGTCGTGAGATTGCAATTATTCCAAATATTTGGCACCAATTATTGGCTGGTTTGTCCGGATCACCCATTAGATACTGTGATTATACACTGTGCTGTAAGCTGGATCCGATCGGAATGTTGCAGAATATCTCAATTCTGAAGATTACATTTCGCAATTCAACCGTCATTGTGACTGATGAATAAATAAATTGAACCATTCTTATTTCTTTAAGGGGGCAGGGGGGGGTCTTCATGGAAATTTTCTCAAAATCGACTTTTTAGTTGTTTCTGATAGAGGGGAGTAATATCTATCAGATGCTTTTGATCTCGTGGAAAAATATCGTTCCTAGCCGAAATTATTGCTGGTCAAAGGTCAGCGCGTGTGAGTAATTGTATTGCGCGAGCGATTTTTGATCGCGTGCCCTGAAAATCGAGTCTAAAAATCTATCTTCTCCTACATTTTTTGAGCAATCACCCTGAAACTTTCAGGATATGTTCTAAGGATCATTTAGAAGAGATGAGCCGGGCAGAATTTTGAGATAGGCCTTTAAAAAATTTTTATTCGATTTTGAAAATCGTGGACCTCGAAAAATCATCAAAAAACGAGGTCCACGATTTTCAAAATCGAATAAAAAAATGTAAAAGGCCCATCTCAAAATTCTGCCCGGCTCATCTCTTCTAAATGATCCCTAGAACATATCCTGAAAGTTTCAGGGTGATTGCTCAAAAAATGTAGGAGAAGATAGATTTTTAGACTCGATTTTCAGGGCACGCGATCAAAAATCGCTCGCGCAATACAATTACACACACGCGCTGACCTTTGACCAGCAATAATTTCGGCTAGGAACGATATTTTTCCACGAGATTAACAGCATCTGATAGATATTACTCCCCTCTATCAGAAACAACTAAAAAGTCGATTTTGAGAAAATTTCCATGAAGACCCCCCCCTGCCCCCTTAAGGCTGGTAGTAATAAATACCCTTATGATTCATCATTTAAATCTTTCATCTTTCTAATTCGTGAATATGCCATACAACCACTGACAAAAGTAAAACTGGCAGTGATATTAACTTAGTTAAAGTTATCCCAAAATGTTTACATTACTTAATAATATAAAGATAATTGGACATTGAGCGTGTTTTTGTATCTGTGTTGCCAGCTGGCCTCCGCAAGGTAGCCTGAGAGAGATTCTACACAGAGTTTACACGGAAATGTGACAAGGCGATGATAGGTTCCTAATTCTGCAGCTGCACAAGAATGCTCTGTTAAGAGCACGTGGGCACCTCTTAAGAGCACGTGACCACTAGCCACCCAATCAGTGTCTCCTATTCTGCTTTTTTAGGGTTTCTATTCGTCTGATTGGTTCTTTTTAAAGCAGCTAAAAATGTAGTAATTGTAAATTATTAGAGCGCTGACGTCAGAGTTCCTTATCCAATACATTACTGGTATAAGGGGACACTTTTAAAACTGCTCAACTTAACACTGTGTAAAAGGTTAACATTGCTCCTGTCAGCTGTACAGCTCACTGCATTACAGTGACACAGCATTACAGTGATACATCATTACAGTGACACAGCATTACAGTGATACATCATTACAGTGACACAGCATTACAGTGATACAGCATTACAGTGACACAGCATTACAGTGATACAGCATTACAGTGATACATCATTACAGTGACACAGCATTACAGTGACACAGCATTACAGTGACACAGCATAACAGTGACACAGCAGTCACAGACTCTTCCCTCAAACTTGAGGAAGTTCTATAAATTTGCAGAGCTATGTTATAAACATGACAGTAATGAAAATAATGTCATTTTATTATTGATTATGACAATTCTGGATGCCAGGAGTATTAAAGTATTGAGCAAGATCTTGCTCAATAAGTTTAATAACATTTTCCTGTCAGATTTTGTCTTATCATGGCGATATTCAGTTATGTAGTTCCGTTCAAAGTGAGTATTTAATAAAGCCTCTACAAAACTGACACATTATATCTACCTGTATTAGGTGCACTTATCACACATACCTCCTGAAACACACGTGATCTCTCACACCAACTAGTAGTATAGTAGTAGTAGTGGAGATAGTTATTATTGAAATGTGAATCTGAAGAAAGAGCTGTTTAAAAATCCGCACACTCCTGCCTCTGTGAAAATGTAGAGTTTTAACTGACGGCCTGTACAAATCCTAATAAGAAGAGTAGGTGTGACTACTAGTAGTATATTCTATATATATATATATACTAGTAGTAGTGTGACTTTACCAGGAATAGAATGTTCGAATGTAGGGAGAATATGTATGTTAACAATTATAGTGGCTTCTTGTTCTCTTAGAATCCGTACCCATTAAAAACTGTTGGGTTGCTTTTAGATGATTAACCCTTTATCTTGTCTCCGTAGTTTTCAAGTGTCTCCTTATCTGAAGTATTTCTCGTTAAATAAATAGTTTGTTATGCGTGTAGTGTACGTCTGTAGCACATTAACAATTAGAATATGATAAAACTCTTTTCCACCCTTGCTGTCTTGTTGACAAGCCTCGTGTAACCAGCCCACCTGATAACGCGCTCTCGTCTCTGATTGGCGTATTAGTGGAATACTGCTCTCTGATTGGTTGGCAGTGTACTAACACACACTGTGTAGTGCCAGCCATATTGAAGAGGTATCGCTAATAAGGCTTCCTTGGTTGTGGTTATTACACACTACTCTCCTGGCTTTGTTGCAGAGTGGAACTGCTGCTAGGAAATGATTGCCCTGATTTAGGTATTTTGCTTTGCTTGCTCCTTACTTTGTACGCCTGATTGTTGTGGATTTTAGTGCAGGAATCTAAGGAATGTGCTCAAGCCCCGGGGTTGAGAGAGTTGGAGCTGGTTTTGAGAGGAACGTCTCTTGCTTAAACTCTGTCATCCATAGGGTACGATACTGTCATAGAGAAAGAGGAGAGAAATATATAGAGATGTATAGAAAAGTAGAGAGATATATATAGAGAGAGAGATATAGAGATATAGAGATATAGAGATATAGAGATATAGAGAGATATATAGAGAGCACTATAACTTAAGTGTCACGTGGAAATGTTCTGTATAACTTTTTATCTTTCTGCCGAATCCATTAAGAGTGATAATACTGTTATACAGCTGTTTTACTTTCAACAACTTGTTAAAAGTCTCGCACAATATAGCCATGAGAACTAAATGGTTTTATTTACAATATCAGTAACAATAAAACAGGTCGTAATTTATTTATTATTGTTAAAACCTGTTACTTACTTAAAGTGTTACTACTATTTCTTAACGTGTTTCTCTTTCAGTTGGCTCACCAAGAAGACATCCTGGATAAGATGGAGCTGGAGATAGGTCTCATTAAAAGGGAAAAGAAAGAGTGAGTCAGAGAATATTTAGCATTTTTCCATCCACCCTTTTGTAAAAAAGAAAATATTTAGCATTTTAAAATATTATAAAAATGATATAATCTTGTCAATCTATCCATTACACCACATATTTACTCAAGCTACAGTATCCAACCTTGCTTGTAGTGGCTCCAACCTTGCTTGTAGTGGCTCCAACCTTGCTTGTAGTGGCTCCAACCTTGCTTGTAGTGGATCTAGCCTTGCTTGTAGTGTGTATTGGCTCCATTTTCAAAAACACATAACAACAGAGCAAATTGAATGAGATTCTTCGCCGAGATTGCATGTAATGCTTGACATTCTCTAATAGCAGTATAATGCTGAGAAATGCTGAAAAGTGCACTGTTACAAACGACACTTCTTGCTTATTAAATGTACTTAAACAAGCATCGGACTGTGTATAATTTATTATACAATACGACATGTGCAGAAAGAAGCTTAACCTTGTTGCCTGCACAGAGCAATTCTGTTATGCCATCAGCAGTTAAGTTATCTGCGGTGCAGTTATGCCATCTGCAGTTAAGTTATCTGCAGTACAGTTACACTATAATCACAGTACAACACAATATATCTGTTATACAGGGTGGGCCGTGGTTACCAATACACACACAGTCCCGTCGAAAGCTTTGTCGATATTTTAGGTTTAAAAATTCCCAAATTTTTTGAAACGAGCGTTAGTTTTAGTTAGTTTGCTCTAGTGGTACGAAAACATACCGCATGAAAAACTATTGCTCATAACTGTCGAGAATTCGAGGCCTCGGTCTTTAGAAATATAGATATTAAACGCTCATCTTATTGGTAAAACTGGCTTCAAAAGAAATAGTGATTAAAGTTGTGCAATAAGCTCTGACTGGCACATAGACCATCATCTGAACATGTGCTAGTTAATATGTTCAGTTCAACCCTGCACTGGCGGCGAGGAAATTACTTAACTTACAAATACGAAACATTTACTTACTAACTTTGAATATGATTCGGTATAAAATACCAGACAACTAACGGTTTATGTGAAGATTTAAGGTTGCAGACTTGATTTACTTCCGCAGTTTAGTATTTAATCTTTGTACCGGAGTATTCGCTAACCTTGGAGGTAATTCTGCTTAAGTTGTAGTATTTGGTATCCGAATATTGGTACTGGCACTTCACCAGAGTTCATTATACTCACGTCACTACGCCCACTTACCCATCCCACTTACCCATCCCACTTACCCATCCCACTTACCTGCGTGCTAATAGAAATATTAAACAACACACGACGTGACTAACACATTACCCCGCAGTATTGAGAGGCTGAGAAAGGACGAGGGAGGGAGGATGAGGTCTGAGAATAAGGAGCTGGAATATTCACTAGACAAACTCAGACAACAGAGAATAGAGGCAGAGAACAAACTCGAACTCATGGTACGTGTATTGTATTAAGAGGGAGGGGGGGGGGGGGCGGAGGCAAGGGGGCCGGGGGTTCAATACGAGGGGGGGGGTTTCTATATATGACTAGAGAGATTCTCCCGTGATCCCGGAGGTAGTTTAGTTTTCTTATGACGTTAAAGACTTTGTAGTTATATAATATATATCACTAACTCTTTTTATAACTCTCGTACCTGTCATAGTTAAATACTTAACTTGAAATTGCTAGAGACTTCGTCAAATTAAATAGTTGCAGAAAGTTAAAGTATTTAGTAATTCTCAGACGACTCTCGACAGTCGTCACATTTGACAGATAACCGCTCAAAACCTTGCTAAAAATGCTATTATTAGCAACTTGAACTAACTTATATTGAAGGTACTATTAGTAATAATGATGGATTAAGACATACCAACTGCATATCGTGTGGAGAGCCTCTAGTAATTCTGCAAGAATTATGTAGCAATTAGGGGCAGTCGGTATTTTGAGGAAAACCAGTCGAGCAGAATGATTTATTAATTGGATTTATAAAATATTACCTGATTTCTCTCAAACGGGAAAATGCAGTGTATTAGTCTGCTTTTGGAGGGGTCACATTATCACAGCTGGGCATCACTAAAGTGGATCAGTAAATGCTAAACGAAAGCCGAATTTGGAAAAACCCATTACACATTATGTAAGTGTGAGAAAATTTCAACTTTCTTTAGATTTGGCAGATTTAATTATGATGGATATCTCCAGACCCCGCCAATTTGGTCCGCCGTAATTACGTCACTAACGGTAGTTAAGAGAAGCTGTTTTTATAATGCGCTAATCAAAAGTTACCTGTACAGTCCTCTCTCTCCCGGGTCATTGCCGCCACATTTGCACTGTCTGATATCACCTGACCCACACCAGCAGCCAATAGCAGCTCTCTATTTGTACCAGCAGCCAATAGCAGCTCCGTATTTTTACCACGTGAACTAAAGCAGCCAATAGCTGCAGAGTATCCGCTACCTGGTCATGGTGTAGCAGCAGGAAAGCCCGATTAATTATACACTGTTATATCTGATAGCTGTGAAGGAAGCAGGCTTGTGTTGAGCAGATATCTGACTGTCTGTCCAGACCTACCTGTCTGTAATTACTAATTAGCTAGATGTTTCCAGTATCTTCGTGGTGGGAATATCCGGTAATCTCTTGCAGTGGTGCAGAATGAAGAAGTCAGTCATAAAAGTAATATAATTATGTTGACCTGTATCTGGTGCTAATGTTGATCTGTATCTGGTGCTAATGTTGACCTGTATCTGGTGCTAATGTTGACCTGTATTCTAGTGCTAATGTTGACCTGTATCTGGTGCTAATGTTGAACTGTATCTGGTGCTAATGTTGACCTGTATCTGGTGCTAATGTTGACCTGTATCTGGTGCTAATGTTGAACTGTATCTGGTGCTAATGTTGACCTGTATCTGGTGCTAATGTTGAACTGTATCTGGTGCTAATGTTGAACTGTATCTGGTGCTAATGTTGAACTGTATCTGGTGCTAATGTTGACCTGTATCTGGTGCTAATGTTGACCTGTATCTGGTGCTAATGTTGACCTGTATCTGGTGCTAATGTTGAACTGTATCTGGTGCTAATGTTGACCTGTATCTGGTGCTAATGTTGACCTGTATCTGGTGCTAATGTTGACCTGTATCTGGTGCTAATGTTGACCTGTATCTGGCGCTAATGTTGAACTGTATCTGGCGCTAATGTTGACATGTATCTGGCGCTAATGTTGACCTGTATCTGGTGCTAATGTTGACCTGTATTCTAGTGCTAATATTGACATGTATCTGGTGCTAATGTTGACCTGTATTCTAGTGCTAATGGTGGTATATATTGCAACTCTCTGATAAGTATGATGTAGTGAGAGAGTTAGTCTTGATAATGGTTACACAGAGCTCTCATTCTTCAAGTACATAATCGTTCTAGCGAACAACACAATACATGTTTGGGTACAGTGTACAGTGTATACAGTGGTACGTTAAGGGCACATACTGTACAGTGTAACAGTGTTGTTATCGTGTAGAGTTGAGTAAGACCTTTACACTGTACTGTACAAGAAGGAACGCAATCTGAAATTCTGCATTTTCCTCTAAATTACATTTCTCCTTTTACATTCTGGGAGGTTTTTGAATTAGGTGTGAAGACGTCCACACCACAAATTCTAACATTAGTTCCTGACACTTGTAATCAGTACTGCTGTTATTATACTATCCAGAAAGTATTGTGCATCTTCATTAGTCGACATGATGGAAATTCATAAAGAGGTTTCAATGGTGAAATAAATAAATTCATACTAATTAAAATTAATTAAATCTGAATAGTATGAATAGTAGTAGAAGAATAGTTCTCATATATATAACATAGAGCTACATACCTGGTACTATGACAAGACATAGCTTGAAACTGGCTGGAGGGGGGCCGGGGGAAGGGGGGGGGGGGGGGGGGGGAGGGGTTCGTAGTCCCCAGCATAGCAAACCTGTGTTTCATTTGTTAATGTTCAAGGAAGTCGTATAAAACTACTAACTGGTTGCAAATTGTTAAGGAAAACTGACAGTTTCAGGTGAATAAAACAGTAGCTCTGATATGAGTGTTTACTGTTTTAAATTAACCCATCAAAATTGACGTACTGCACATTGTACCACAATCCCTGCAATATCCTTCGTCATTTGATACAGATTTTAGCGACAGTTTAATTAAAATCATGATTAAAGGACAAAGAATGCCCACTTTAATACTACTACTACTACACCTATAACACTGTCAAAGTTAAATGATCTGCAACTTTCAGGAGCGAGAAAGGGAATCCAACAAAATGCAACTCGAGGAAGTCAGATTACAGGTGAGCAACTTCTACAAAATAATCTATATATATCACATTTTATAAACTCCACAATTCACATGTACAATGTACATACCAAATGTACATAGTACATACCAAATGTACATTGTACATACCAAATGTACATTGTACATGCCTAGTACAACTTATACCCCAGTCTCGAAAGCTAGTAATTACAATGTAATAACACTTAAATTAATAGCTTGATAGTTAAATAACGTGTTTCTCAGCTACAACAAGCTATAGACGAGCACGTGATACAGAAAGAGAATAACAACGAACTCATCAGACAGTTGGAGAACAAAGAGGTTATTATTTATTTTGTAGTTTTTTTGTTTTATTTTTTACTATTCATTTATTTAATTATTTTTTGTTTAATTATTTATCTATTTATTTTGTAGTTTTATTTACTTTTTCTTATTTTAATTATTTTATTTATTTTATTCTGGAAACCAGTTAATTATTTTAACTCTTTTTCTTAATGAACTTCATGACGTCGCGACCCAAGGAATATAACGGCTGGCTTCTGCTTTTGACACCGTAATCACCAGTACCATCTGCACCAGTTACCAACTGCACCGCTCTCACTAACCAGAAATGATTTATGTAATGATCCTCATAAATCCACGTGATAATGCGCCGGAATGTTCTGGAAGAAACCACCCAAACCTAACGTTTAGTACTCTATTACAACTCCTCGTCTACTGAAATAATGTTATATAACTTTGCAAAGTTTACACTACGTAATCCGGGGATGTATGCACCAAAATGCGAGTTTAAGGATGATTTGTTAGCAACTGTTCCTCTAATTTGTCTCCTGTGTAGTAAAGTGTATAATGGTAGTATAACGTTACCTCTAACCCCCGTCTTGTGAAGATACACTAATCTTCTAACGTATCAAATATCTGTCTCTATGTTTTAACGATAATATCGTGTTTATAATATTAGGAATATTACGTTTTAATTAGGTACACCTTATGAGATATTAAATATGTGCTGGCTAAAGTGGTCGTGAGCTGTGTAGTTATCTAGATCTTTAGTAGTACTAATACGTAGCAGCTGTTTTTACCACATGTTCAACACCTGTTTTTTATAATTTAGTGGCTCCTCAATATTTACTTAATTTTGAATTCATTCTCTAACGTGAAATTCTATATTATCGTGGTCCGATAGTTTCATTGCGTCTTAATATGATATCGCAGACTGTATTTAACAAATCCAGTTGAATTCTTGGCACTTTTGGTCGTTATTTTCAAGACACGACGATCTTTTCTTTTAGAATCTTCTTAAAGATTTAATATAAATTCTCCCAATTTAATATTAAACATCTCCTAAATGTTTCAAATACCCCCTTGCTATCTCCCCTGTTTAACTTAACTATGTTACCAAGCTGAGCACACCCTGAACACTGAAGTAAGATGGTGAACTCTAGTGACACAGAGCTTGGCATAAGTTCTACAACAGAGCGGTACTTGTGGGCTGGTCTGAACCTCTTCATCCTCATATCCTCCTTATTTGGAGATACTACGATCCTGATATCTTCCTGCAAATACCATGCAATCAGACTACACCGCATCACTCTAGCTATCATTCAACATCTAGCTGTTATAGACCTCATTCTATCAGTCAACAGAGTCTTCCCCATCACTGTCTCCTTGGTAACCAACAGGTGGATATTTGGAGACCTCCTCTGCACGTGTCAGCAGTATGTTGATAAGATGTGTTACAGGACTATATTCTCCCTGACCTGCGCACTTACCACCACCAAGTTCCTCACTATTAAATACCCGCTGAGATGTGGAGTTTGGTCCACCAGGGAGGCTCACAAACTGTGTTGGTTTGTGGAGATGGTATCTCTCTGTTTTGTGTTCCCCTTCCTGGTCCTCTACTATCAAGCTGGGAAACCTGCCCTCTCTTTCAGTTTCCTCACTTACAATTGCAATATTGAGGCTGAGTTCCTGTCCTCACAGCTGCCTGCACGGAGGTTATTACACATCCTGTTGGACACGGTACTACCTGTTTGTATCTACGTGATTCCCGCAGTGAGCTCAGGTATGATGCTGTATGAAGCTAGAAGAGTAGCTCACTCTCACAGACAGCATCTGCGATGGGAAGGTGTGGTGACTGTTCTACTCACCTGTGCTATGTTCTACATATCCTTCATTCCACACAATCTAACTACAGTCATTACCAGCAGGAACTATTACAAGGCAGCTGAGTTCCTCCTCAACCTCAATGTCATGGCTAACTTCTACATTTACACTCTCACTGTGACAAGTTTTAGGAGCTTCCTCAGGTCCTGGTGTAGGTCCTGGCTAGGATGGTGCACGTGTGGTGTGGGTGTCAGACGTGCAACTCATCTAGAACTCACGCGCCTCCGATTAGTTCACTAAACTTGTTTATTTACCTAACTAGTTTAGTTCGCTTATCTCTCTGTTGCCTTAATTCACTGAATATACATTAATGTATTATTTTGATTTGCGGAATTTTTTGATGTGATATTTGAATATTTGTGGTATAAGATTATCTTGTTTTTAAATATTGTTTAAACTTTGCAGTTCCGTCTTTTTATGTCGGATGCCTAGCCAGTATATGACTAGCTGGTAAAACAATGGTGTCAAATTAATGGATTGTTTGATCATCTGAACATAGAGATCATCTGAACATAGAGATCCTTAGGATACATTCTTTGACGGTTAGAGAGGGGTAGGGAGGGGTAAAGATTGGCAGAGAGGGTATAAGGAGGGAGTAAGAAGGGGCAGGAATTGAAACTTATTTACCACGCTAAACCGATCACATTTTCAGAGACAGTTGAGTTCGTTAGCAATCGACTACAAACTAGACGCTGACCTTAACCTGGCAAGTTTTATGAACCTCCTTATTTCACGCGACCTCTACAAACCTCATCTTAACCTCAATAAACCTCATCTTAACCTCAGTAAACCTCATCTTAACCTCAATAAACCTCATCTTAACATGGACCCACTGTCACAACATCACTCACTCAGGGTTCCCATCAAGGTTACAGCACAGTTAAAGCAATGTACACAGTTAGTGCTCACGTTATCATCTCCAGGAATTTGTGTGTTAAATTTTAAAACAAGTGTCAAATTTCCTAATCAAATCTGCTCTGGAATGTTACTCGATTTTTGTACTAAAAACACAAAACTTATTATATTACTGTAACCACTTTAAGTTAACAGTGTATGTTTTAGTTAACAGTGTATGTTTCAGGCTACACAAGTCAAGATAGACGAACTAAACAGAGAACTACTAGAAATGAAGCTACACGCGGACCGACTGAAGAGTGACAAAGAACTACTAGCTGCTAATCTTACTAAAGTCACTTGTGAACTGTCTAGGTTAGTGCACCCGATTCTACTCGTTTCTAAAGACCGATTGTAACATTATTAAAACCTTGATAATTTACTGATCCTCCACCTCCTTCCTGACTTAAAATTCCGCTGTAAATTATTGCTTTCTAATGTCAACACAATTTCTCGACCGATTTATTTGTCGCTTGGTAACATGGATTTGAGTCAGTGAATAATGGATGAAGGAAGAATATTGCTTGCATGTTTAATTAAAGAGGCTTCTAGAATCTAGATATTATAGAAATTATCCGTTTTTGAAGTTGACATTGTTGAGATTATATCCAATGAAGGCATTTAATAAGTATAAGGAAGACAACGTTTAATATAATATTGATATATTAATATTATATATATAATATATATAATATAATTTTGTTAACATATTAAACATATTTCCGCTGATAAACGTGTATTTAAAGTATTATTAATTTTCCCACGACGTTGCGATTACAGAGCAATATTATTTCGTAAAATTTTCAAGCAAGCATTAATTTGTTGTCTCCCTTCCCATAATTCCATGCTTGCAATTGCTCAGTCATTTACAAATCAGGATAATATCACTCGTCGCAACTAACGATATCACGTGTTTCCAGATCTAGTCCAGTAGTGTTCCTCTAGTTGTGTTCCTCTAGCACTCACACAGTGAACATGCCGGCTTTGAGGGGTCACAACTCTGACTTTACAGAATGGAATGTAGTTAATTTGAACAATGTACTATTTAGTTAGCGTTTAGCTATCCAAACTGCACGTGTATAATGGGAAGTATAGCTGTACAAACCACTAAAGTTATACCAGAGGCCTCTGTAAACACAGTACTATTGCTTTACACCGCCCTCTGTAGTTCCCCCAATTAGACTGAACCTTTTATACCACTTAAATATTATAAGGGTGGGTGGTCATTTTATGTTCATTAGAAAACTACTTCTGCTGCTTCCAGGTTTCGCTGCTTCAAAGAGTAACCTTTCGATATAATTCTAGGTTATAGCGCTAATTTGACTACAAATATTTGGTTAACATTACCTCTCTATTAAATGTAACTTCAGGCTAAAGCAAGGAGTGCCCCTCTCTCCTGACTCCAGCTCAAATTCCTCCATTACCTCACCAATCGTGGTAAGCATGAGATTTGATTACATTTGCCAGAACACCCTGTGACGTAATGTGATGACGTAATGTGATGAACATGACTGCAGGGCTTTATAAAGACATCAGTAAATTGTGAACATTGTGTTTATTTTAACACTTAATAAACATCCGTATGTGTGTGTTTGTGAGTGTGTATCGAGATATTGATAGCATTTATTCAAGGATGAAATATATGGCCGACAGGATCCGTCAACATGGGTATGGTATTGTGTTGCATGTAGAGTTTAGCATTCTTAAGCACTGGTGTAGCCCCTTATTACGTAAACCCCTTTGAAACATTCCGCGGCAGTGATTACCGGATTTGTGGAGGAGGTGTTGTAGCAAAATTGTGTGATTTGTGTGAAATTCTGCTACTAAGCGGCGCGCGCCGTGACTTTTTGCTGATCTTTCTCTTAATTATGTGAGCGCGCACGTGCGTTTCTATTGTGGTTTTGTAGATATTAAAGAAATCTATTTCAGAGCTATCACACCTTGCCGCCAGTATTTGAGGAGGGAGATACTATCGACGAGCTTCTCCGAAATAAGGTGCAGTGTTTTCTTTACATATTGCTCATGTTTATTAAATATCACGGTGCAATGTTACTGTACATACTGTGTTAGAGATATCAATTTGGGTGCACCTAAATAAAGAATACATATTACATAAACTAACAAATATCTTTTTGCAGACAATTGATATGTTAACAGAGATCGAAGAAAGTGGCAACATCAGCGACATAATGGACGAGCGTTGCAGATTAATTCGTAAGTTCCTCTTTATACTCCTAGATTTGGAGGACCTGTCAAAACGTTGGGAATTCTAGAATTTTTCTTAGGCTCCGCTTTATAACATAACGTTTAGTTATTTATGAGTGATGACAGTAATTGCATCTTGTGAATAATAAGGCTGAAAAACTGGTCTTCCAAAAAATGTTCAAAGAAACTCGTCTCCCACTGCTGCAATACTTGAGGCTGTCTCTCCAGGCATTACTACAGATGCAAACTCTTCCCTCTCTTCTTGTAATGGTCTGCGAGAAACCCAAGAAGTTTCATTACGCGTAATTTGTTTGCCTAGACAATAATGTTAATTAGAAGAGAGGCTTGACGCTAACGAGATAATTACTAGTTTCCTATCATGTGGCCACTGTTAACTGTATAGACAAAATGTGACAAAGAAAAGACATGTCTATTAGACATGTCTTTTCTTTGTCACATTTTGTTGTTTTCGAGGTGTTTTCTTTGGATACAAGAAATCGGATCAAATTGAATGTTTTACATATATTTCTATTTTGTTGACATGATTATTGATTATTAGTAACCCTACCTCTGACCAAGTACACAGTAAACACACTTCTCCAGAGAGAAACGAAATGTTAGAACAGGAGCTGATTGACATGAAGCAGCTTATGTACGTTGTAGCGCCCCAACACTACATTGATGATGAATACAGCAACTCACTCCAGTATACTAACCCTACAGAGATGCAGTACGAGTGTTTTAGTAACGAGTTACACAACATCTCCTCACAGGTCTGTCTGTCTGTCTGTCTGTCTGTCTGTCTGTCTGTCTGTCTGTCTGTCTCTTGGGCTGTCTGTCTCTTGGGCTGTCTGTCTGTCTGTCTCATGGGCTGTCTTATTTCTGAGTTTTTAGGGTTTTAAAATTTTATCATACCAAACTTCCGCACGGAGGGTAGATTTATCATCTTTTATTGTAATTCCGCTGAACTGACTTATACCCTCAGATGAGATTGACTCCGTCTCTGGACATGGAGGTGGATATGGAGGTGGATATGGAGGTGGACTCTGACACGCCGGACAACTCCTTACTAACCCTGACAGGCATTCCAGACATCCAGGAGCTACAGATTCCAGGCAGATCTTGCATACCAGAGGACTACAGGGTCCTACACAGTGCTCCCCAGCTATCAGAACAGTTCCTCCCCGAACATGCTACATCAGATCACGTGTCAGATCACGTGACAGAGGACGGTCTGGTTGAAGCGTGCAGCAACTCTGCGCGCAGCACACACAACTCTGCACACAGCACGCACTCCTCCGTGCACAGTGCACTCTCTTCTGATCAGGGCGGCTCCGAGTCTAGAGATCCTAGTGACGATGCTGACAGTGGCGTCCTCTGCCAATCATCGACTGGTCAGTTTACTTACATTAGATAACGAGTGTGGCTCGTGTTTTGCTTATTACACCACTTACTATGGGTCTGGGACTCTACCTAATTTTGTTGCGCCGACAAATCTCCCGCCGTAGAGTCCGGCCACCTTTTAACTGTTCTAGCTGTTTTCTCATATTGCTGTGTTCTTATCTGTATTCCATCTGACCTAGATCTTGGAGACCACAACTGTGACACCTGCACTTTGTGGAACCCAGAGAAGGAAATGCTGATCAGCAAAGTGGTAAAGTCAGAGCTGGATTTAGAACAAGTTAAATGTGAACGAGATAGGTTAGAGTACGAGCTCAACCAGCTTCAACCCCCCAGGTCCGTTAAAATAGGATTATTTTTCATTGTAATTTTTTCATTCAAACTCCAAATTGAGACAACTAAGATATTCCCCCTGTTTGGTACTGTGGTGTGATTGTTGTTAACAGTTCCTGTTTTCAGATGGCGAGGGTGGCTCCTTCATATAACAGCTTTAGTAATCGTACTAATATTCTTCCTTACCTCCTTCCCTCTCTTCTCTGATAACCAGTGTAAACACTCCAACTATCAGCCCTGGTCGGATTTCTTTAGTTTTAAGATTAGTCACCCCAGAGACAGAACCTATCAGATCGCACACTGAACCCCTGCTCATGGCAGGGAGGTGGTGCTCAATTAGGTTTTTAAAACTCTGAGCTGCCTGTAAAAGCTTCAGAATTCATTACACAGTGGATTATTGCGGAAAATGAGTGATCTGAAGCTTTTGCAATCAACCAGAATTGAAGTCTTTGTAACCGTACAAAATATCTAATTTTGAGTTTTTATTAGCTGTGTCGTAATTTATTTGATGTGAGAGTTTAAACGTTAAATTCAGATATTCGCGATGCCGCCTGTAAACCGGTTAAATTTATGTCATTTTTGCAATTTATTTCTTACTGTTGAGGTTTATTTTCATGGCATGTTTATGTATCACTTTGTATGCTACAATTTTATACTTTAATTTTTTACCATATTGAGTGAGACTAGAGAAAATTTTGATGTTTTTATTAGCAGTTAGTTGCCAAGGAAATTACAGATCTATTGAAATTTAATAGTACTTTCTATACTGTATTATTAATATTATGAATTAAGTTATTTTAATGATATTATACAATTTGTCCGGACAGCACTTTCCTGTTCAGATAATTGAATATTAAGCTATCATGGTAACGAAATCATGCTAACGATGTCAACTTGTAATCATAGTATTTTGAAGTTTCCTTGGCTTGAACGTTATTTTCTTGAATTACGTTTGCTGATAACTATTTTGTAAATTTCTTTTCAGTTGAGCAATATAATGTGCGGTATTTTAAATTATTTGTACATACATCTTGATATATATATTTGATTTTTATCCAGTCAATTTTATAACTGGTTCGATAATTCAGTTTATTAAATATTCTTGACTTTAATAAAACTAAAACTTTTATTTCAATAAGTTGTGGTAACTTCTACACTGAACTTTAACTTTCAAATGAAAACAAAACCTGAAAATACGAAAAACTATAGATGCCATATGACACGATTGAGGTGCTTGAAGTTTGATTTCGGTCGGAGGAAGCCCACAGCAGGAAGTTTAAGAAAACGAAAAGTGGTATTTTCAAAATCCTGTCCCATTTTCAAATATGAAATTTTCTGAACACAAATTTGACAGATTGGATGAACTTTTTGCCCAAAAACCAATAAGTCAGTTAATTGATGATGGTATGAAACCAAATTGAGGTACTGGGAGTCAAAATCCGGAATAAAATTGCAAAATCATATTTTCCCAATCTCTGTCCCATTTTCAGTTTTTGAAGATGAAATTTCGAGGACCGAAATTTTACAGTTTTGACTCATTTTGTCACCCGCAACCAATTAGTAAGTCAACTATAGATGCCATATGACACGATTGAGGTGCTGGAAGTTTAATTTCGGTCGGAGGAAGCCCACAGCAGAAAGTTTAAGAAAACGAAAAGTGGTTTTTTCAAAATCCTGTCCCATTTTCAAATATGAAATTTTCTGAACACAAATTTGACAGATTGGATGAAATTTTTGCCCAAAACCAATAAGTCAGTTAATTGACGATGGTATGAAACCAAATTGAGGTACTGGGAGTCAAAATCCGGAATAAAATTGCAAAATCATATTGTCCCAATCTCTGTCCCATTTTCAGTTTTTGAAGATGAAATTTCGAGGACCGAAATTTTATACATTATAGTTTTGACTCATTTTGTCACCCGCAACCAATTAGTAAGTCAACTATAGATGCCATATGACACGATTGAGGTGCTGGAAGTTTGATTTCGGTCGGAGGAAGCACACAGCAGAAAGTTTAAGAAAACGAAAAGTGGTATTTTCAAAATCCTGTCCCATTTTCAAATATGAAATTTTCTGAACACAAATTTGACAGATTGGATCAACTTTTTGCCCAAAAACCAATAAGTCAGTTAATTGATGATGGTATGAAACCAAATTGAGGTACTGGGAGTCAAAATCCGGAATAAAATTGCAAAATCATATTGTCCCAATCTCTGTCCCATTTTCAGTTTTTGAAGATGAAATTTCGAGGACCGAAATTTTATAGTTTTGACTCATTTTGTCACCCGCAACCAATTAGTAAGTCAACTATAGATGCCATATGACACGATTGAGGTGCTGGAAGTTTGATTTCGGTCGGAGGAAGCCCACAGCATAAAGCTTAAGAAAACGAAAAGTTGTATTTTCAAAATCCTGTCCCATTTTCAAATATGAAATTTTCTGAACACAAATTTGACAGATTGGATAAACTTTGTGCCCAGAAACCAATTAGTCAGTTAATTGATGATAGTATGAAACCAAATTGAGGTACTGGGAGTCAAAAACCGGAATAAAATTGCAAAATCATATTGTCCCAATCTCTGTCCCACTTTCAGTTTTTGAAGATGAAATTTCGAGGACCGAAATTTTACAGTTTTGACTCATTTTGTCACCCGTTACCAATTAGTAAGTCAACTATAGATGCCATATGACACGATTGAGGTGCTGAAAGTTTGATTTCGGTCGGAGAAAGCCAACAGCAGAAAGCTTAAGAAAACGAAAAGTTGTATTTTCAAAATCCTGTCCCATTTTCAAATATGAAATTTTCTGAACACAAATTTGACAGATTGGATGAAATTTTTTCTCAGAAACTAATTAGTCAGTTAATTAATGATGGTATGAAACCAAATTGAGGTACTGGGAGTCAAAATCCGGAATAAAATTGCAAAATCATATTGTCCCAATCTCTGTCCCATTTTCAGTTTTTGAAGATGAAATTTCGAGGACCGAAATTTTACAGTTTTGACTCATTTTGTCACCCGCAACCAATTAGTAAGTCAACTATAGATGCCATATGACACGATTGAGGTGCTGGAAGTTTGATTTCGGTCGGAGGAAGCCCACAGCATAAAGCTTAAGAAAACGAAAAGTTGTATTTTCAAAATCCTGTCCCATTTTCAAATATGAAATTTTCTGAACACAAATTTGACAGATTGGATGAAATTTTGTCTCAGAAACCAATTAGTCAGTTAATTGATGATGGTATGAAACCAAATTGAGGTACTGGGAGTCAAAATCCGGAATAAAATTGCAAAATCATATTGTCCCAATCTCTGTCCCATTTTCAGTTTTTGAAGATGAAATTTCGAGGACCGAAATTTTACAGTTTTGACTCATTTTGTCACCCGCAACCAATTAGTAAGTCAACTATAGATGCCATATGACACGATTGAGGTGCTGGAAGTTTGATTTCGGTCGGAGGAAGCCCAAAGCAGACAGCTTAAGAAAACGAAAAGTTGTATTTTCAAAATCCTGTCCCATTTTCAAATATGAAATTTTCTGGACACAAATTCTACAGATTGGATAAAGATTTTGCCCAGAAACCAAATATTCAGTTAATTGATGATGGTATGAAACCAAATTGAGGTACTGGGAGTCAAAATCCGGAATAAAATTGCAAAATCATATTTTCCCAATCTCTGTCCCATTTTCAGTTTTTGAAGATGAAATTTCGAGGACCGAAATTTTACTGTTTTGACTCATTTTGTCACCCGCAACCAATTAGTAAGTCAACTATAGATGCCATATGACACGATTGAGGTGCTGAAAGTTTGATTTCGGTCGGACAAAGCCAACAGCAGAAAGCTTAAGAAAACGAAAAGTTGTATTTTAAAAATCCTGTCCCATTTTCAAATATGAAATTTTCTGAACACAAATTTGACAGATTGGATGAAATTTTTTCTCAGAAACCAATTAGTCAGTTAATTGATGATGGTATGAAACCAAATTGAGGTACTGGGAGTCAAAATCCGGAATAAAATTGCAAAATCATATTGTCCCAATCTCTGTCCCATTTTCAGTTTTTGAAGATAAAATTTCGAGGACCGAAATTTTATAGTTTTGACTCATTTTGTCACCCGCAACCAATTAGTAAGTCAACTATAGATGCCATATGACACAATTGAGGTGCTGGAAGTTTGATTTCGGTCGGAGGAAGCCCACAGCAGAAAGTTTAAGAAAACAAAAAGTGGTATTTTCAAAATCCTGTCCCATTTTCAAATATGAAATTTTCTGAACACAAATTTGACAGATTGGATGAAATTTTTTCTCAGAAACTAATTAGTCAGTTAATTGATGATGGTATGAAACCAAATTGAGGTACTGGGAGTCAAAATCCGGAATAAAGTTGCAAAATCATAGGTATTGTCCCAATCTCTGTCCCATTTTCAGTTTTTGATGATGAAATTTCAAGGACCGAAATTTTATAGTTTTGACTCATTTTGTCACCCGCAACCAATTAGTAAGTCAACTATAGATGCCATATGACATGATTGAGGTGCTGGAAGTTTGATTTCGGTCGGAGGAAGCCCACAGCAGAAAGCTTAAGAAAACGAAAAGTTGTATTTTCAAAATCCTGTCCCATTTTCAAATATGAAATTTTCTGAACACAAATTTAACAGATTGGATGAAATTTTGTCTCAGAAACCAATTAGTCAGTTAATTGATGATGGTATGAAACCAAATTGAGGTACTGGGAGTCAAAATCCGGAATAAAATTGCAAAATCATATTTTCCCAATCTCTGTCCCATTTTCAGTTTTTGAAGATGAAATTTCGAGGACCGAAATTTTACAGTTTTGACTCATTTTGTCACCCGTTACCAATTAGTAAGTCAACTATAGATGCCATATGACACGATTGAGGTGCTGGAAGTTTGATTTCGGTCGGAGGAAGCCCACAGCAGAAAGCTTAAGAAAACGAAAAGTTGTATTTTCAAAATCCTGTCCCATTTTCAAATATGAAATTTTCTGGACACAAATTCTACAGATTGGATAAAGGTTTTGCCCAGAAACCAAATATTCAGTTAATTGATGATGGTATGAAACCAAATTGAGGTACTGGGAGTCAAAATCCGGAATAAAATTGCAAAATCATATTTTCCCAATCTCTGTCCCATTTTCAGTTTTTGATGATGAAATTTCGAGGACCGAAATTTTACAGTTTTGACTCATTTTGTCACCCGCAACCAATTAGTAAGTCAACTATAGATGCCATATGACACGATTGAGGTGCTGGAAGTTTGATTTCGGTCGGAGGAAGCCCACAGCAGAAAGTTTAGGAAAACGAACAGTGGTATTTTCAAAATCCTGTCCCATTTTCAAATATGAAATTTTCTGAACACAAATTTGACAGATTGGATAAACTTTTTGCCCAGAAACCAATTAGTCAGTTAATTGATGATAGTATGAAACCAAATTGAGGTACTGGGAGTCAAAAACCGGAATAAAATTGCAAAATCATATTGTCCCAATCTCTGTCCCACTTTCAGTTTTTGAAGATGAAATTTCGAGGACCGAAATTTTACAGTTTTGACTCATTTTGTCACCCGTTACCAATTAGTAAGTCAACTATAGATGCCATATGACACGATTGAGGTGCTGGAAGTTTGATTTCGGTCGGAGGAAGCCCACAGCAGAAAGTTTAGGAAAACGAACAGTGGTATTTTCAAAATCCTGTCCCATTTTCAAATATGAAATTTTCTGAACACAAATTTGACAGATTGGATGAAATTTTTGCCCAAAACCAATAAGTCAGTTAATTGATGATGGTATGAAACCAAATTGAGGTACTGGGAGTCAAAATCCGGAATAAAATTGCAAAATCATATTGTCCCAATCTCTGTCCCATTTTCAGTTTTTGAAGATGAAATTTCGAGGACCGAAATTTTATAGTTTTGACTCATTTTGTCACCCGCAACCAATTAGTAAGTCAACTATAGATGCCATATGACACGATTGAGGTGCTGGAAGTTTGATTTCGGTCGGAGGAAGCCCACAGCATAAAGCTTAAGAAAACGAAAAGATGTATTTTCAAAATCCTGTCCCATTTTCAAATATGAAATTTTCTGAACACAAATTTGACAGATTGGATCAACTTTTTGCCCAAAAACCAATAAGTCAGTTAATTGATGATGGTATGAAACCAAATTGAGGTACTGGGAGTCAAAATCCGGAATAAAATTGCAAAATCATATTGTCCCAATCTCTGTCCCATTTTCAGTTTTTGAAGATGAAATTTCGAGGACCGAAATTTTACAGTTTTGACTCATTTTGTCATCCGCAACCAATTAGTAAGTCAACTATAGATGCCATATGACACGATTGAGGTGCTGGAAGTTTGATTTCGGTCGGAGGAAGCCCACAGCATAAAGCTTAAGAAAACGAAAAGTTGTATTTTCAAAATCCTGTCCCATTTTTAAATATGAAATTTTCTGGACACAAATTTGACAGACTGTATGAACTTTTTTCCCAAAAACCAATTAGTCAGTTAATTGATGATGGTATGAAACCAAATTGAGGTACTGGGAGTCAAAATCCGGAATAAAATTGCAAAATCATATTGTCCCAATCTCTGTCCCATTTTCAGTTTTTGAAGATGAAATTTCGAGGACCGAAATTTTACTGTTTTGACTCATTTTGTCATCCGCAACCAATTAGTAAGTCAACTATAGATGCCATATGACACAATTGAGGTGCTGGAAGTTTGATTTCGGTCGGAGGAAGCCCACAGCATAAAGCTTAAGAAAACGAAAAGTTGTATTTTCAAAATCCTGTCCCATTTTTAAATATGAAATTTTCTGGACACAAATTTGACAGACTGTATGAACTTTTTTCCCAAAAACCAATTAGTCAGTTAATTGATGATGGTATGAAACCAAATTGAGGTACTGGGAGTCAAAATCCGGAATAAAATTGCAAAATCATAATGTCCCAATCTCTGTCCCATTTTCAGTTTTTGAAGATGAAATTTCGAGGACCGAAATTTTATAGTTTTGACTCATTTTGTCACCCGCAACCAATTAGTAAGTCAACTATAGATGCCATATGACATGATTGAGGTGCTGGAAGTTTGATTTCGGTCGGAGAAAGCCCACAGCATAAAGCTTAAGAAAACGAAAAGTTGTATTTTCAAAATCCTGTCCCATTTTCAAATATGAAATTTTCTGAACACAAATTTGACAGACTGTATGAACTTTTTTCCCAAAAACCAATTAGTCAGTTAATTGATGATGGTATGAAACCAAATTGAGGTACTGGGAGTCAAAATCCGGAATAAAATTGCAAAATAATATTTTCCCAATCTCTGTCCCATTTTCAGTTTTTGAAGATGAAATTTCGAGGACTGAAATTTTACTGTTTTGACTCATTTTGTCACCCGCAACCAATTAGTAAGTCAACTATAGATGCCATATGACACGATTGAGGTGCTGAAAGTTTGATTTCGGTCGGAGAAAGCCAACAGCAGAAAGCTTAAGAAAACGAAAAGTTGTATTTTTAAAATCCTGTCCCATTTTCAAATATTAAATCTTCTGAACATAAATTTGACAGATTGGATGACCTTTTTGCCCAGAAACCAATTAGTAAGTCAACTATAGATGCCATATGACACGATCAAGGTGCTGGAAGTTTGATTTCGGTCGGAGGAGTGGCGAGTGATTTAAAAAAAGGTTTATTACCTACTGTCGAGGGGTATAGTATAATGTATTAATTTAACCTGAGTACCACTGTTTAACCTAGCGTGTGCACAAAAATACTCATGAAGTGTTAACTTTAAAATGATGCAATTACGAATACAAATCGCACATTATTTTTATCAATATCATTATAAGCCTGTTTAAAGTACTCCTTCAACATTGAAAATTTAACCAATGTGAAAATAAACCTCCAATAGCTTATTTATTTTTATAGACCATCAAAATATTAACGAACATCTATCTTTATTCATTCTGTTGTACGCGATTGACACAACTTACAACAAGTTCGTGTGTAAAATACAAAAGTTTGCCCGGCTGGAGCTCACCACGAGATTGTGTGCTACTCAACAGTAACTATTCATATAGTCGTCTAACGGGGTTTTTACACAAAGCACGTCAAGCTTCATGTTTTATCTGTCTACCTTACTTACACTTCGTTATTTCTACCAGAAGTGACAGATCAGCAATCACCTGTCTTCAAGTGTTTTAATCTAGTTTTATCATGTTTAATAGTTACACCTCTGCTAGTAACAGAAACCATTGATACTTTGCTTTTTGCCACTTGATACTTTGTTTCCTGCTCCTCCTATTCCTCTCTGATGGGTTGTGGCTGGTCGTGGCTGACAAAGAAAGAGGAAGCGTTTGTCCCCAAGTCAATACCCCAGGACATACCCAGCGTGTTATTATTAGGGCTGGACGGTGCAGGCAAGTCCTGTCTCTTCTACAGGATGAAGATTAAAGTGTGCTTTACTACTCAGCCTACTACTGGTTACAATGTGGACGTGTTTACCCCTGTCAAGGGTTAGTTAGTATTTACAACTAGTGTAGTTAGTTCATACCTTGTATTACTACTGGTAATAATATCGATGCTGATTGAGTGCGGATCTATTGTATAACATCATGTAGAGTTTTAATTACTGCACTACAATTACTACACTACCAATTTACACACCCAGGTTTAAGGTTTGCGATGTGGGATATCGGAGGTGGAGCTAAGTTGAGGAAATTGTGGAGCAACTACTACGCGGCCTGCAGAGCTGTTATCTTCATGGTGGACAGTGCTAATCACTCAAAGTTCCAGGTTAGTGCATCTAACCCTCCATTTAGTGACTGTCATCTTCAGAAATCCCATCCTCTTCCTGACTCTTTAACATAGACTATTTCCAAGAATTATATAGATTGTAGGGCTTGAAGTTGGGACCTTGGCCGAGACTGTGCTGGCTCTATGTATCTTAAGCTTTTTGTGAAAACAGTCAACCTATAGGCCAAATACAGCCGATAAAGAAATAAACCTATTTGCAACAGGAAGCCAGGTCAGCTCTACACGATTGTATGTCAAACCCAGCCATGCCTGATTACGCTCCTGTCATCATACTGGCGAACAAGCAGGACGAACAAAATGCAGCAACTCCGGAACAGATATCCATGTTCCTTGACATACATCAACTAGGCAGGTCAGTCTTGTACCTTGACATACATCAACTAGGCAGGTCAGTCTTGTACCTTGACATACATCAACTAGGCAGGTCAGTCTTGTTCCTCGACATACATCAACTAGGCAGGTCAGGCTTGTACCTTGACATACATCAACTAGGCAGGTTAGTCTTGTACCTTGACATACATCAACTAGGCAGGTTAGTCTTGTACCTTGACATACATCAACTAGGCAGGTCAAACTTTTACCTTGACATACATCAACTAGGCAGGTTAGTCTTGTACCTTGACATACATCAATAATTTTCTTTAAAATCCTCAATTTTGATATGACACTTGTGTTAAACTGTAAAGATCTTTCTAATTTCTAATTTCCATACACATGATTAATGATTATGATATTTGTGGTAATATTAATAACCTAATGCTCCCAGGAACCACCCCTGTACAGTGATAGGCACCTCTGTGATAAAGAATGCGGGTGTTCTGGAGTCAATGGTACAACTCAAACACATGCTCAAGAGTACCAGCCAGCTCAAATACTGGACGTGATTTTAATGTGACAGCTATTTTTGTTATTTTTCTATATGAAGGAACTTGTATTTACTATACTTTGTTTTGAGGAGGATGGATTACATTTATGTAATTGTAACGTGATAATTTTGAAATAACAATAACTGCATGAAATTTTACTTTTTATTCTCTACAATTTCCATATTCTGATGACACTCATTAATTGCAACCTTGTGTCGTTACTCGTTCATATCTTTATTTGTAATATACTATATAGATATGAAAGATCGCACAAATATGAAAGATCACACAGGTTTTGATGTCGTAAGTAAAACGTTGTCAGCACTAATTCTAAAGTTTATCTTATTGTTTGGTTTAACTGAAATTTGAGCCGTTCTAAATTAGAGTGGGCGGATAAGGCAGTACATGTGATTCCTGAAACGGTTGATAAGAGTGTCAACTTACTGTAGTATCAGTTACGTCATCAACTCATCCTTCTTTTGTTATCATTTACTGCTCTCAGAGTTACAGTCGCTCACGACTGCCATCATTTTCTAGTTACGGCTTTTGTTTCAAATTTTGATTTTATTGCAAGTCTCATAATGCTGACTAGCGACTATTACGAGTTTCGGTTGTAGGAGTACATTGTACACTTTCATTGACTTGCATTTTACTTAATACTTGAAATTATAATAATTTTAAACTCAGTTCCCTTGTCGTTTACATCGCATTCCTCAATTAAAGACCAGTAATTACCAGTACTAAGAACACCATCCCTCCTTAAGTTGCGCAGTATGGGTTGTCACGACCTGCTAGAAGGTACGATTAGGGTCATCCTGTTCGGACTCAACTTCTGCACCCTGCTAGCTGGTGGGGTGCTACTAGGGTGTGGAGTTTACGTAAAGATGAGTGTCAATGAGTTTACTGATATGAACGATGTTACCGCTATTGACATTGCAGCGTGAGTGGGATTATTCATGAACAATGAACATCCAAATGTTTTAGTTGTGACAAGATTGGATAAAAATGACAGAGATCCGCTCATTGCTCAAACGTAAGTACAGAACCAAAATAGGTCATGAACTCAATCACAATCTATTTATCTAAGTAACCCTTACCTTCAGATATTTCCTGATAGCTCTGGGATGTTTGGTTGTGGTATTGTCCTTGTTCGGGTGTTTAGGAGCCTGTCTGCAAAACCACGTGCTACTAGCCTTCTACTTCACTCTAATGCTGATCTTACTGCTGCTGGAGATAGCTATAGGTGTGTTACCATCAGGACATGTTTTATAGCATATAATATTAAACCTGTTACTGCGTTAAAAGGATTTGTAATTTAAGAAGTTAGTACAGTAGTTACTAATGAACAGAAGGAAAAGTTAAAAGTTAATTTGAATACGTGAGCTTTAACTTTACTGGATAAACTGGAAAAGGTTCTATTATTAAAGGCTATTTATCAAGCGAATATTAATATCCGACTAAATGATTTGAGCAGTCTGTCTTGTGTTCAGGGATTCTATACGCAGTGGAGAGGAATGTAATTGAGAAACAGATTGACGAGGCAGTCAAAGACACCATTGAAAACGTAAGATATCACTATTATTACTTTTATAAACGTAAGATATCACTATTGATCACTATTATCACTTCTATAAACGTAAGATATCACTGTTTATCACTTGTGGTGCATATTGAGAAAGTGAAACTCCAGTTGAGGATGGAGGGGACCCCTCTAAATCAACATTTTACATACACCTTCTGGTACATCCTCAATAAATGTAATATAATAGATGTGTAGTGTTGTAATTAGTTTAATGGTTAAAAAAATGAAAGTTTCAAAATGTGTTTTTAACAGCACCAAAACCCCAACAATCTGTCTAGTTTGGAGACGAACTATATCATTATTGTTTTTAACAGCACCAAAACCCCAACAATCTGTCTAGTTTGGAGATGGTACCAGCAGTGCTGACCAAGCTGTGGACGCTATCCAGGATCTGCTACAGTGCTGTGGTTACAACGACAAGTCCGACTATAAGAAGAGTGCCCTCTTCTTTCCTAGCTCCTGTTGTGAAGGTAACACGTCTTATAGTGCACTAAATGAGAACTAGATCAGCTGAATTCCAAACTTCTGATATCTATATCATGACATTAGAGTTTAGACGCAATCTAACATCTAGTTCCACAACTGGTTCCACAACTGGTTCCACAACTGGTTCCACAATCCACGACTGGTTCCACGACTGGTTCTACAACTGGTTGCTGACAAACCTCACATCATTACTATCGAAACTTAAACAATTACATCTAGTGACATTATCCTTTAACAAATGCCTTATTCTATAGGAGATCCTGACACTTGCCTAGAAGTAATGGCTTACGATACCGGCTGTAAGGCTAAGATAAACTCATTTCTGGCATGTAAGTGATAATACTATTTATGTATATTAATACTTAACTTATATAAAATATGTGTATTATGCTTATCGGACATTATACTATGACACAAACTTGATTTTAAGTTAAATAGTAGCTTTAAGAGTTGTATAATTAGTAACAAAACAGAGACTAACAAGTGTGTCCCCTCAGCCCAATCAGTACTAGTAATAGTGGTAGTTTGCAGTGTAGCTGTACTAGAGATACTCACGATGCTGGCTGCTTGTTATCTTCGTCAGAGGGAACTCAGGGATATCAACGAAGAACCTTACTCTATGTGATAAACATTATCACAGATATGACAGCTTTAAAGTACCTGCCTGCACAATATCCGAACTCTGACCCCCAAATGGTTTTTGTGATAGAACCATGTACATAGACATGATCATAACACGTCACGTGACGGGACAATAACGCGTTACACTTCACGTGACGTCACAATAACGCGTTACACGTCACGTGACGTCACAATAACGCGTTACAAGTTACATTTGCGAACGATCACGCGACAGAAGCATTGTGGCAGGTCTAAGGTTTTTTGCCAAGTACAATGCTGCCAAACTGATAATATTTGATAACTCATTCAAGTTGGGATTTCAAGTTTGATAAGATACGCCAAGATAAGCTTGTATCTTGGTGCCTGTCCAAATCCAACATTATGGATTTTATCAATTCATTCAAATATAATTATGATTATTAAATTTACTGATCAATATGCTGAAAATAATTCTCCTTATTTTGCAACAAAAATAGATATAATTTAATTAGTTTGGTTTTTATGTCATATTGTGTTGTGTAAGATTTTAACGTGAAATTGGAGTGACTATTGATGTATTTGATTATGTTATTTAAGATTGATAAATTTGTTTTTTCTTACAATTGACAAAATTATAAAATAAGTTTTTCGCTGATCTATGTTAACTATAGAAGAGGTTTTATTTCACAATAATTGTAGCTAAATTCAATAATGTAAATAAACTTATCGGCAACTCAACTTGTCTCCTTCACTCAATTACGAAGATCAAAAGAAACATAATCATAAAAAGTCGTGTTTTGCTTCCTGCAAAATAAACCGTCGCAATCATAAGACCAAGAACGAGATTACAGCCGGCGAGAGAACACACGCTCGTCACGTGTCAGGGTTAATGTCACGTGTCAGGGCAAAAGTGCAATTTCTCGCCGGTAATAGTCAAGTAATCTATACACCAAATTGTACACCACTCATACTCGGATAACTATAATACAACAAATTAAACTTAAAATAATAAAAACTTAAAAGTGATTAAAAATAGTTAATAATTACGTACTTAAGATTCAACTTAAACTTGAACACATAATCACGGTATAACATCTCGCTATAGAAAATGCACTATTTTGGTTCACAATCTGTCTGTTTTTACCATATCGATTTAAAGATGGCTCGGTGTGATCAAAAACGTAAAAATAAACCTAGTGAAAGTAAAACTAAGAATCGAACAAAAATCAAGGAAACTTTTAATTGAAAATCATCTTATGGCTGAGAAGAGGAAATCACTGATAACATAAAGCAATAAGTTGGGAGAAATAAATATCAATAAGCAACGACCCACTTACAATTAAGGGTTAATAAGTTTGGGACATTCCAAAAAATCACATGTTGGAAAAAGAATGTTCGAAAATCCCACAACTATAGGGCATGTCATTGAAAATTATACGGGGATCTAAAGATTTACCCAAAAAAAATCAAAAATCAAATACTAGCAGCCCTTTCAAACCCTCTCAAAATTACACAATCATAGGTCCAGATTATATATACCGAAACCACTTTTCAGTGTCCCTAAGTGTAAAGTGTCTCCTATATTTCAGTGTCCCTATACACTATAAAGTGTCCCCTATATTTCAGTGTCCCTATGTGTAAACTGTCCCCTATATTTTGATCCAATGACTGGGCATGTCCCTGGGGCCCGCGGGGCTTCCTGTTCGTTTCCCAAACTCAGACTCGTACTTCATATTCGGTAAATCCTGGTGTGTGGCAGCGTTGTTGTTACCTGTGAAGGAGCAAATTTAGTTATGTTCGAGAGAGGGGGGAGTGGTGGTGGTGGGGGAGTGGTGGTGGTGGGGTGGGGTGTAGTGGGGTGGTGATGGGGTGTAGTGGGGGTGGGGGTGCCGGGTGGGGGTGTAGTTGGGTGGGGGTTTAGTGTATGGGGAGGTGTCATCATGTAAAGCAGCTAAATAAAGTATTTACTAAATAATAGTACACTGTTCTAGTACTGACCTGTTAAAGATTTGATGTTCATGTTCTGAGATTTACTCTTCAAGTTTTGTGATGCTGTATGAGCATTATCCGAGATGTTTGCCAGAAGTCCCTGAGCCATCAGTTATTATTTTAGAAACTACAATCTAGCTGGTCAATAAATTGGTACACCAACCAGCTCATGATTTGCAACGGAGTTAACAACTACAGGATGATTTTAAAATAATGTTGGAGTTTTAACAGTTAATAAGAATTAATAAAAACGATTTTGAAGGAGCAAACCTTGAAGCCGAATCCTTTTGTTTTCGACTTTTTGCCAGTAGAGGGCGTTCTACTGTTGGTTTTCTCGAGCTTTTCTTTACTTATAGAAGCTTTTACAACTGAATCAACTGAAAATTGGGATTACTGAAAATATTCTTCAAAAAATGGTAACTATTCATTATATCAGGAAAATAACGCAGTAAAACTGAAAGTGAACTTTACGAACATGTTTCGTAGTGATCCTCATCTTCTTCATCACCTTCGTCTCCTGACTGAAGACATTTTGGTTTTCAATTCTTGTTACACACGAGAAATAATTTAAAAATTAAACACTAAGTGCTAACAATAATAAAGATTGTACGGATAGTAAGGCTGATAAACTGTTACTAACCGAAGTGTTCATATGAGAATCGGTCACATCAGAGCGGGGGATTGATAGTTCTGAAATATAAAACGTGTTATCTCGTTACACATTACATTACATCTGAGTGTTATAACTTTACCAACCCATTTCTGAGTCAGAGACAAACGATGGGTTGCCCCCCCCCCCCCCCCAATGATCCTGAACATTTGTAAGCACCTTGTAGTTGACATATAGCGTGTTCAATAGCGCTGAGCGCGCACGGGTCATGTTGACAAAGAGTCAAGTTAGGCACAGCTACAAGTTCTCCCAGTACCACGTGACTGACATCCATTACCAGTCTCACATCACACAACACCACGTGACACACTCCCTCGTATAGCTCGTGGCTCAGCTTGTAGGTCTGGGACCTGAAGTTTAACTGCACGGTGAACTGATCCTTGGCTAGGAACGGTTGGTAGGGTCGGAGGAACAGGCCTAGTGAGCGCAGATCTTTCCACGATCCCTGGACCACATCCCCTTCTCTGATTATACGCGGACATTTTTCAAATACTTTATTTTCTGATTTGAGTTTCTCTTTTATAGTTCTGGGGTCGAGAGACGCCAACTCGGCCCAGCTAGCAGAATTCAAATACCTGTCCTGGATAACAAACCCTGAAACAGTAGTCGGCTTCTGCCTACCGAAGTGTTTGAAACTGCTAACAGTACTTCTCAAGGAGCGCCTTATACTGCCATTCCTCTCGGGCACAAAGTGTTTCAGTTCCTTAGTCAGACTAGAAATATTCTCCAGAGAAGGGAGATAAGGTAGGAAGTGTGGGCTGTGTTTAGGACTGAAGGAGGAGGCGCTGGCCGGTCTTGTCATCTTCCTCTTAGAGGATACCCTAATAAAGGATCTCTTACGAGTTAGCGCCCCAGCAGCAGCGTATTGAAACCGGGGGTTCCTGTCTAGGTGCAGAGGTATCTCCTCGTAGTCTGAAGTGGTGGGTGAGGTGGTGTGAGAGACCGCTAGGGAGGGGGAGCTGCTGTATTTCAAACAGGAGGGCAGGGAGGCTGACTTCTTATTCCTGAAAGCGTTGCGGGACCGGGAGCTGCGGCTTAGAGTGCTGTTTGCTAGAGATGTGAAGTAGTCGTGTGCCTCATTGTTTGAGGGAACCTCAACCTCTGTTTCTTCTGTCATTCTGTTAGAGTCGTACTGTGACATCCTCCGTCAACCCAGTGACGTCACACCAGATCACGTGACGTCGCGTGGGGAGCTGAGGTAGTTGGGTCAACATTCAAGCATAGAGGCAGCAAGTCAACAACTTTACAAGGCTAATATATAGGAAGACAAATGGTCTTTTCAATACTGATTCTATTTTTGGATGGTTACAATTGCAAAGACACGCAAGTATCAAAGTAAGTGTTATCATACAATGTTATCATAAATGTGCACACTCAACTACACTCTGCTACTAGAGTAAATGTGCACAACTCAATTAACAAAATAGGTTTACTTCTTTAATACCAACAAAGCAAAACTGCTTACACTTAATTCAATATCTTACACTAATTAAATATCTTACGCTTATTTAATATCTTACACAGAATGAAAGTAAAAACTACTATTTTATCAACAACAAAAAGAGAGAAATACCAGTAAAGCAGTAAGTATATTCACAATGTGTCACATAACTTGTAAGTGATGAAAAACCGCACGTCTTACACTAAAGAATTTAAAAACTTCTCATCAGATTAAAACAAGCCTCGCATAAAATCAAAACATTCAATCACATACTAATTATATAATTAATTACACACTAATAACTAAATGAAGTGAGCTCCTTGCTCTACAAACCAACTACAACTACAAGAGAAAGAGAGATTGTCCTCTCTCAGAGACATGACTGATTTATTACAGACAGGACTGATGTTGAATGAGCTAAAAGTACAGCGGAGTAACCCTCTCTCATACCTCACCCTAACTATACTATATATATACTACATGTGCTCCCAATAAAATACCATACATACCCGAATAGTTGTCGTCGTCAAAACGCGGGGAACTCAGTCTGTTCGTCTGACCTGGAAATGAGATGTAAGTGATCAAATCTAGATCATATCTGGATCATATATCTAGATCCTGGGTTCAGTGGGATATCTTATCTCCCAACAATTATTCACGCAAGTAATTAAAAGGAATTCCCAGTTAGTGAGCCGTACAAAACACAAGGAGATCCAAAGTGGCGTATTTCAGGAACGTAACAAACTACTTACCAAATACTTGGCTGTATGCCAAATCATCGTCCTGTGTTGAGAGTTGATTCTGTGTCCCTGCAGGGGTAATACATTATCTTTACACTTCATAGAGGTACTAATACTATAATAATATAATAATAAACTAATAAGGGTCGTGTTTAGAGAACTCTAATTATAATACATTTATCATTTAATAATGTTAAATCTCCCACCATCTGCTTTGTAATAATCAGGTACAACAATGAATGAATCAATAGTAAAATATGAACATAAAATTCCTCACTGTGCTAAAATTAAATACAGATCAATAACAGTTGCCGGGGAGATATGAAGTGAGGTGACCACATCTCCTTCAGTGGGGAGGGGGTGACAGTGGATCAATCCTTTACGGTACAACCACATATAATAATTGCAACACTTTTCCCCCCGTCTAAAATCGTGTCAAGTTCCACCTGACGAATCCTTATTGCACGAAACACTGATCATAGTAATACAACATGAACAGTTGCAGTTATTCTAGGCTGTTAATTTTTCCCACTATCCAGTGAGTATCAACTACAACAATAGATCAAATATTCCATATTCACCATTAACAAACATGTAGACTGACAGGGAGACAATACGTGATTCCAGGTTTACACAGATCACCACAGATCACCACAGATCACCACAGATCACCACAGATCACCACAGATCACCACAGATCACCACAGATCACCACAGATCACCACAGATCACCACAGATCACCACAGATCACCACAGATCACCACAGATCACCACAGATCACCACTTAGATTGGTACTTTGGATGATGAGCAGAGCCGCCACCCTCTCCGCACAACAACTAAACGGCTCTGGTGTAGGTGGTCGCTCTCTCTGAGTTGCAGGGTGGTCTATAAGCAGCTCCACATCTTCATACGGTACAGTGAGTTGAGTGTCAAGTAGATCCTGTATCTCCACATCTGAGTAGCTACTCTCAATAGTTGGAGAGGTGGAGACTGTGTGTATAGTTATATCAGAGTAAGGGTTCTCCCCGCTCATCACCACAGAGCCCTCTAATACCGTCTTGGGGAAGATCAGTCCTTTAGGTCGCTCAGGTTTCTTGGGAGCTTCTCTTGTTTCTTCTAGTGGGTCTGAGAATGATTTCCTCTTTGTGGGAAGAGGAGGAGGAGGAACTTTAGGGCGCTTGTGGTCTGGCCCTTCAGAAGTCGGTTTGGGTAAAGAGACTTTCTTTTGACGATCTCTCTTAACCGGCTTCGGCTTAGCTCTCAGAGCAGAGGGGTTCAAATTGAGCAGGTCATCTAAATCAAGGAGGGAATCTGGTCTGGACTCTGGAGGTTTAGAAGAGCTTGAAGAGTAGGATCGGAGGATTGGAGATGGAGTCAAGCAGTCTGTAGGTGTCTTAACAACATCAGCAGCAGAGAATGATAGATCTATGAAACAGAAAGATCGGGTAATATAACAAGTTTCAATCCGTCTTTGTAGAATTATTTCAATGATATTAAAAAGTTAAATGATTGTTCAAAGTTCTCACACAATTTTCATAATAACAATCACACACATATTTAACGAACCTAAAAGACTATCGCATGACTTAGAGGATGCAGTGGATGAGGAAGTCTCGTTCTTTTTGGAATTATCAGTTGAGGGGGGCCCAAAGATCTGTATCTCCTCATAACAACTTGTTTCTCCTATTTACAAAAGTAAATCGTGTAGCTAACATTTGCAGAGTTTTTGAAGCTCATGATTTATATAAGTTACGTTTCAGGAGTCTAAAGAGCGGATTGGGAGGTCCCTCCCCAAAAAGCTCTGTCTTTTCTGAAGGACGATAAAAACAAAAGCTTGTGACTCTGATGAGGTTAACACTACTACTATTGCAGAATGTTGGTTTCCAGGGTACTGCCTGCTTGTACATGATAACGAACCTAAAGAGACACCCTTGGCATGCAACTCCGGCTTTTCAGATAGATGATGTTTTAGAATGTTTAAATCTCAGGATAGCATTCCTCCTTACCAGTGTAAACAGAAATATCGTGAAGAAGAGAAAGAAAAAAGGTGCCTATAATTGATCATATGTATTATGTGTGCTTATTAGTTTGCTTTTCTTTACCAATAGCTAAGGGGAGAAAACTTGACAGGGAGCTCGAGTAAATTAGGTGCCCTAAAAAGAAACCATGATAAGTGATTTACTTAAATATGTTTACAGAATATTATATCAAAATGGTTACAAATAAGATGACTTTTCAGGAATGTTAAGAATGTTAAGATTTGAAAGCAGCTCATTACTTACTGAGATCTAAGGGTGGTTTAATTGTTATCTCTTCGTAATCTGTTTAATTTTAACTATGTACACTTTTTAATGCACAAATCTTAAGATCTTTAGAACGATTGAATCTAAAAAACTTTTAAACTATTTTTGTTGATTTATACATACCAGAACAGAGAGTAGAGTTTAAAAAAGTAGAGTTATTGGAGGGAGGAGGAAGAGAAGAGCGGAGAGGAGAAGGGCTGGAGGGGGGTTGTCTCGAGGGGGTAGGTGAAGAGGGGGGAGCTGAGCGGATCTTAACTGAAACAAGAGTGGTTAATAATTGTGTGACTTGGTCTAACCACAACGACACTAGGAATGTGTTAAAGTTAGTCACGTACCAAGAGGGGATCTAACAGCAGGAGTAATGATGTGAGGAGTTGCTGTAGGAGGACTCCTCGTTAGAGGAGGGGTTGCTGACGAAGGAGTCAGAAGAGGAGGTGCGGAGTAGGGAGCCAGAGGAGGGGGTACTGATGAGGGAGTCAGAAGAGGGGGTGCTGAGGAGGGAGTCAGAGGAGGGGGTGCTGACGAGGGAGTCAGAAGAGGGGGGCATGACTCCATCGTGCTTGGTTTACTTCCTAGAGGAAACCGAGGTTAGAAACTATTATAATTATAAATATAATCAGCACTAAACAGTCACAATCCATGAAACAACAGCTAGAATAGAGTCTTAAATCACATGGAAACACAATAAGGTAAATGTACACTGTACTACATACTGCTATTACAACTATAACGATCTACATGTTCGGACAGTCTTGTACAGCAGCTTCATGAACTGTTTATTTGCACATCTGTTCACACCCAACAATATAGTCAATATTAGTACATACACTCAACAACAGATTCATTATTGGTATATATCTTGTATTAATTTAATATCAAGACCATATCACTCATACCGAAGACAAAGATTTGTAAACATGTTGCACAAATAAGACACCAATAACTCAGCCATACACTGCAAACACGACAACTAACAAAGACTTACAAAACTAAACATAAACCAGAACCAGTAAGATGAGACTAACAAAGCCTGACAAACGTGCACTAAAAGTACTCCGCAGAACTAAACAGAGAGATCTGCAGAGAATGTATACTGCTCATTTAGCGACCATCTAGTTCTTTTAATCAAGACCAAAGTTTCTTAACCACCATTACTGACAGTTTTACCGAGCAGTTAGAAATAAGGATAGTAAGGAGCGGAGAGTGTGACGATACCCAATCAGAGTAGTGACTTACAAAAGTGGGTACGGTAGAAGTCCCTCGATAAAGGGGAACAGAGAAAGTTTTCTGGTGGAAAGGCACGAAGCTTCCCAGTAGAAAGGAAGGAAGCTTCCTGGTTGGAAGAGAGAAAAAAAGGCCAAATTTCCCGCCTTTAGGTACTCTCAGGTTGGATCATTCAACAGTGTAGTATATAACATTTGCTTTGTTTAACAAGAGAATTAACTTACAATGTGTCTTAATATAAGTAATATGTTACGGTCGAGTTTCCTGACAATTCAAAATGTACAAACCTAGAATTATCCTCATAGAAGCTTTTACAATTTAATATGGCTGGGGCTAGTTCAGCTCGTGATGAGAATAATCGAACTAGAGTATTTAATGCATTATTATAACTTTTCAACTTTACATCAATAAGATTATAACACATTGTGTCATGTGTGTATAAGCGACTAAATAACGTCACTAAAGTGACACGATTTCAATTTTTGAGGGATTGCCTCACAGAATGACAAGATTCAACCTCGATAAAATATCTAACTATAGTTACGGGCATGTTACCATAGTTACGGGCATGTTACCATAGTTACGGGCATGTAACCATAGTTACGGGCATGTCGATTTTATCTTATTGTACAGTCGTTGGTGTAGAGGTATGGGGGCCTCGGTTAGGAGATGAGCAACAGCCAAAACAGCGGTATATCCTGTGCTTCACTATATTTACATTAGTTCAGCCCATTAATAAAACCTTTTGTGCTTGATTAACTATGTTTTAATGAGTAATTACTCCTGCTAAAAGTCTGTAGTTTTAATGAGTATTTCTCCTTGAGTCCCTCCACAGCTGAAGCGTTCCTCGTTAACATGTTCCTCTCATAAGTAGCCCAGGACCTTGCTCTAGGCACGAACACGCTGTACCCATCATCTGATTCTACTCCCTCCTCACACTGTGACTCACTAACTCCTTCCTCGTAGAGATACTGGTACTCACTAACCCCTATCACGAGAAACAGGAATACTACACATCAATTCTTAGATACAACTATGAAAATTAGAACATTCCCTTTTATTCTTATTTATATTCGTCGTGCAAGTAAATAAACTTTGTCTCACAGCAGACTGTTGGAAAGAATAACCCCCACCCCCCTAACCGTAACTTTCGTTCCAAAAACAGTCAGAACTTAAGACATAGAACAATACAAGAAATCAAGAGACATGTATATGACTGTTGTCATAACAACAAACAACATGCATTACAACATGGATTATTACTGGGATCAGAGACAAGATGTGTATCTAGAACTGTTGTAGTTAGACTCTGAACCGGATCAGTCTCATCATCAGACTCTGAAATATCACAAGTTATATGGTGTCGGGTTATAGGGAGAAATTTAGGTTATTGAACAAGAGGGACCTGGAAGATTTCTAATTTCACTCAAAACCGAACAATTATTAAAACATACGTAACGGAATTGAGATATAAGTACAATTACTTCAACACGATGATATCAGATATGTAATAGTTGAGGTACTAGGCGGAAACGGATTTTACAAGAAAGTAACAGTAAACGTAGCGGAGTTGTTGTGTACGATACTCAATAAGTGCAACCAATCAAAGCGTCTCGATATGGGCTTGCAAATCATTGGGAAGGGTCATTGACAACGTCGACATCCACATTCCACTTATTTAGATGTCAGAATTGTGTACCATTTTGAGATGGTAACAATTTAGAAAAACTCAGTTGAATTTTTCGACAATAATTTCAAATATTGACGACAAAGTATTCTCTAACTTTAAGTTAATATTAAAATCCTCGACCAATCAGCATGGTGCCCATGCTTAGCACCTCAGCTAAATGTTCCACAGCAAATAAAATGTGCTTAGCAAATAAAATGTGCTTAGCAAATAAAATGAGCTTAGCAAATAAAATGTGCTTAGCAAACATATACACATGAAGGTTTACCAAGTGTGGGCGATGCTGGTAATGGGGGAGGGTCTGAAATTATCAACTGCTGGTTAACAATGTTATCCTAATTATTTGTTAAATTAGCTGATTATACGAACGTAAGTCAAATCCACTTGATATCTAATTATTGCGTGAATAGAAACACTAACATCATAATAAATATTTCTTCTTCAGTTGATAATCTACTAACCATCAGTGGGTGAGTCTAGGTCGAGTATTTTGCCAGTTTTAGCAAAGGGGTTAACAGAAGCGTAGACCGGTTCCTCAGTCACAGCATCTCCACAACTAACATCTCCACAACTAACATCTCCACTAACAGCAGCAGTAGTGTTAGCAGCTCCTTCCTGCACTGGACAGCATATCATCAGAAGGTGTGGTATGAGGACAACTTGCTTTGTCGCAAGGAAGAAGAACAGTTTACGACTTGTATCCCTTTTTGACTCAATGTTAAATCACTTGAGTATCAGTATACATATAAATGCTTAATTATATTATAAAAAGTTAGACGCTGGGGGTGCACTGCGGCACAAGAGGTCGGTTCTAAAAGAGGCAAATAACTTACCTATTAAATTAACACTAAAATAACTTACCTATCAAATTAACACTATAATAACTTACCTATTAAATTAACACTATAATAACTTACCTATTAAATTAACACCCAAATAACTTACCTATTAAATTAACACTCTCCCCGGTCTCAGCTTTATTATCGGTTGGTTTTCCCACCGTGCTCCTAGGTCTCTCCGGTTTAAGCGGTTTACTGGGTTTCAGTAGCTTCTCATCGGTTGTGGTGAGGGGTTGAGTGGAGGGTGGTGGTGGTGGTTTAGTCTGGGGTCCGGTCTTGGGGGGCGGGTCTGAGTCCAGCTGGACAAGAATACCATCTTCCTGGGCCAGAGTTCTGAAAATATTGGACTGAGTTAACCTTGAATTATTTTATAGAGAGTTAGCATATATTATTAGATAAAAATAAGGGTATAACCGTGAAACAGATATTCAGTAATTAGTAATTATTAATTAGTAATTAGTAATTAGTAATTAGTAATTAGTAATCACTTTTCTACGTTTCTCCCGTCTATCCCCGTGCTGTTAGAAGTCGTATCCAAGAAGGGTTGAAAAGTCCCGACAAGAATCTCTAATCGACGCTCGTCTAAAGAGTTGGACTTAACTCCGCCTTCAGGCATGTCACTTGGATTAGACTTGGCAGTCTTTTTGTGAGACCTTTTATGAGAGCTCTTGCGGGAGCTTGTGCGACTTGATTCTTGTTTGGAGTGTCTACTCGTGTCCTGGTCTTTGTCGTGATTCCCCTCCGCGTGTCTTCGTGACGACTTTCGAGAATGATGCTTCTTCTCCGACTTCTCCTTCTTTTCTGACCTTCTCCTATTCTCAGATATCTCACAATGCTCATATTTGACTTTGGAATGTTTTGTTCTATTATCAGGCTGCTCAGGTGTCTTGTCGAACTGGTCTTGTTTAACGGAATGTTCGCTCCTGTACTCATAGTGATCAGTGAGGTGTGACTCTGAAGTAGACTGATCTGTTACTCCTGTTACAACTGAAGACATGGCTTTAGTAGCCAGTCTCCCAACACGCTTCTTTGACGACACTTCTCTGGGAATCTTGTCAATCCCACTTGCTAGCGTCACTTCTGCCTTTCTGTCTTTCTCATGAGTATTTCTGGATGTTTCTTCAAGCAAGGGAGAAGTGATAGAGCATTCTCCTAAAGTGTGAGAAGGCTTTCCAGGCGTGTTTGATGGATTTGCGCATGTGGTAGCACATTTTACCGGGACTGAAGAGCATCCTCCGGTAGTGGATAAGCATTTTGGCCAGGTGGTAGATGACTCTTCTGAGGTGGTAGAAAGTTTTTCTCCAGTGATAGAAGAATTTGGCCATGTTGGAGGGATAGTTGATGTGGAGAGTGAAGACACTTTTACAGATGCGGATAATTGTTCGCCCCCGGGGTTGTAGAAGGGGTTTCCTCTAACTGTACAACAAGGACACTCCCAGGAATGGTGGACTGGAACTATGGTTGGGGTGTCGTCTGCAGGACTGAGTCCGGGGTCACTGAGGGTTAAACACACTTCCTGCTCCGACACCTCTACTTCCTGCTCCGACACCTCTACTTCAGCGATAGTGAGATCCAGAGACTCCAGGTCTTCAACAACTAGAGTTGGAGCAATGTATGGCTGAGAAACGTTTTCAAAACAGGGATTACTATCAATATTCCGGGTAAGAAGTGTAGTGACGTTTGTGGATTGATTAGGATCGTTTCTTTCAATAATCTCAACCTCATCAATTACTGGCTCTCTCACAGTATAGTTCTCACTAAAATTTTCTTGATGATTCTCACTTTGAAAAAATTGTTCACCGGGAGTATAATTTACGGGGGATCCTGAATTTTGCCCGGAGGTATTTGAGTAATTCTCTGAAAGTTTCGTACAGACTCGTTCAGTAACACTAGCAACATGAGATAAACTTGTATCAATATCAGTGTTTTGCATCATTACCTGCCATAACCTACAATACAAACAATCAACTGAGTAATAGGAAGTGGTGTTAGCAAGCATCTTTAATTGCGCTATTTGAAAGTTAATGATATCACAGGAAAGCACTTAAAGTATGAGCAAAGTTTTAAAACAAATGATTGTTTCTTTCCGTTACTTACTGTATAACATTTAATAGTGACAACAGTGAAACCGCCAATCCCAGGGCTAGTTTAAATGAGGCTGGTCTGCATGTAATTAAAATAGGGCCTGGGTAGTTTAGCGGTTATAACACCAGTCCGGATAGCTGGAGGTCCCGGGTTCAATTCCCGGTCCAGTCCCAGTGCCTTGATTTTTCCGATATGCTTGTTCACTAATTCAGATGCGAAGTTTGAGCTCTATTCGCAAATACACACCACCCAACAAAATCATACAAAAATATGCAATATTTAGACTACCCTTGGAGTGAAGTGCTTAAGTGTGTACCATATGTGTACAGATACACGAGTATTCCATAATACTTGCACTTATCTCCCACCCCAGTATAAAAATTGATAACATGTAACTGTCTATACCTGATGTGTGGAATGCAATGAGTAGAGTAATGATAATAATAGCTATGATTACGTGAACAAAGTCGTTGGAAATTTCAGGGTATCTAGGGCCTGGGTAGTTTAGCGGTTATAACACCAGTCCGGATAGCTGGAGGTCCCGGGTTCAATTCCCGGTCCAGTCCCAGTGCCTTGATTTTTCCGATATGCTTGTTCACTAATTCAGATGCGAAGTTTGAGCTCTATTCGCAAATACACACCACCCAACAAAATCATACAAAAATATGCAATATTTAGACTACCCTTGGAGTGAAGTGCTTAAGTGTGTACCATATGTGTACAGATACACGAGTATTCCATAATACTTGCACTTATCTCCCACCCCAGTATAAAAATTGATAACATGTAACTGTCTATACCTGATGTGTGGAATGCAATGAGTAGAGTAATGATAATAATAGCTATGATTACGTGAACAAAGTCGTTGGAAATTTCAGGGTATCTAGGGCCTGGGTAGTTTAGCGGTTATAACACCAGTCCGGATAGCTGGAGGTCCCGGGTTCAATTCCCGGTCCAGTCCCAGTGCCTTGATTTTTCCGATATGCTTGTTCACTAATTCAGATGCGAAGTTTGAGCTCTATTCGCAAATACACACCACCCAACAAAATCATACAAAAATATGCAATATTTAGACTACCCTTGGAGTGAAGTGCTTAAGTGTGTACCATATGTGTACAGATACACGAGTATTCCATAATACTTGCACTTATCTCCCACCCCAGTATAAAAATTGATAACATGTAACTGTCTATACCTGATGTGTGGAATGCAATGAGTAGAGTAATGATAATAATAGCTATGATTACGTGAACAAAGTCGTTGGAAATTTCAGGGTATCTAGGGCCTGGGTAGTTTAGCGGTTATAACACCAGTCCGGATAGCTGGAGGTCCCGGGTTCAATTCCCGGTCCAGTCCCAGTGCCTTGATTTTTCCGATATGCTTGTTCACTAATTCAGATGCGAAGTTTGAGCTCTATTCGCAAATACACACCACCCAACAAAATCATACAAAAATATGCAATATTTAGACTACCCTTGGAGTGAAGTGCTTAAGTGTGTACCATATGTGTACAGATACACGAGTATTCCATAATACTTGCACTTATCTCCCACCCCAGTATGTAATTAAAATAGGAATTTAACAGGGTCGATAATTAATAACTAACAAAGCAGCATAAAGATAAGAAAGATAAGAAAGATGAGAAAGATAAGGGAGATAATAAAGATTTTAAAATGAGAAAGATAAGAAAGATAAGGAAGATAAGAAAGATAAGGAAGATAAGAAAGATAAGGAAGATAAGAAAGATTTTAAAATGAGGAAGATAAGAAAGAAAGGTACTGACGGTGAATGTGGCACATTCTCGTAGATACACTCTGATATCGCCTCACTGCGTATGTTCAGCATCTGTATTGCAGAGTCGAGGAGCTGTATGGCAGTGTAGTACACGAAACCGAACTGTTGTTTAGTCTGGCAGATCGCTACACGCTCCGTTCTCATCCTTTTAACCAGCTCAAACAGACTGAACTGTGGGATTACTCGTGTTTAAATGGTCGTTATTAGACATATTGTGACCTTTTGAAACGCTTCTCTCAGAAAAGGTACTTTCTTGTGATAAACTCACTAACGATAGTAAAATGTAGTCTTAAAACTTGACGAGCATGAAAGTTATAATAATTTAATTGGAATGGTTAAATCTGATAAGTAACAGGACTAAAGATTACGTTTCTGTCGAGGCGTTGGTTTCTGATGAGAATGTCTATAAAGTCAATAGCTAGCACTGTTCCTGTCCGACCACACCCAGCACTGAAATATCTAAAGTTAGTCTTCTGAGTAGAATAGGAATATTAGGAGAGTTTTAATACTACTGTGCCAGTTTCACGTCATTACAAGCGCTCTCTGAAGTAAACCTACCTGCAGTGGATGACAATGGGCGAGCCCGGCGATTCGGAGGTGGTTTTAGCAGGGCACTTATCTCGGACGATTGCGAGCATCTTGTTGAGTGGCTCCCCATCAGTAGGGACATCTCTATCAGGCCAGTTCAGGTACTGGTACTGGTACACCTCTCTAGAAACCTATACCAATCAATCAGTAATATTTGGAACTTAGGCAGGGTTGGTTAAACCTCTTTCATTTATTTGAGATGATAATATTTTCAAATATAAGAAAACCGAAAGTAAAACTCACATCAGCACAGGTGAGGACTAGTTTCCGTACAATGTAACTCTCTTTCATCTGCTCACTTACAAGTGTGACAGAAAAGTTACCTTTCTTTAAAGATTCTCCCGGGCCTCTACCCCAATAGTTAGCGCACTTGTGCTGAGGAGATTTTATAATTAGATTATTACGTTTTAAAGGGTAACATTAGATTTAATGGTGCTATTTGTCATAATAAAAAAGGATTTATCAGATATAAGAACGCTTAGAACTCCTTAAAATATCATAAATCTAACACTAAAATTAATCTAGTAGCATGTATACCCACCTTACCCATCTCCACCTCTTTGCAGACCATAACAATAACTGTGGAGTGATTATACCAGACCATCCTCCAGAAGTCGAACACCGTGCCTGGCAACGGCCCTTGAGCTGCTATATAATTCACATATCCATCTGGGCCCTGTCAAAATTTATCGATTATTTTGGTTTTAGCTGGCAACAAAATGTTTTAATATCCGACAACCAACATCATTTGGCTAATTTCAACCGTACGTGCGCGCGAAAGTCACGTGATCAAACCAAACAGATTTGTCCTCGCGCGCTACGCTTATAACTAAGGAAGTATTCGCGTTTTTGAGTATCCAGTTTTGCTTCCTAAATGTATACGTTATATATGTGCGAGGACACACTTACAGAAATATGGGAAGCGTTTATGTAATCTGATCCCGCAATGTTGTTAATTACTGGCAGCCTGACTCTCGTCTTGTCATCTGGGAGGATTATATTATCAGAACATAATATCAAGTTATAATTTAGAAGTCGACAAACTGTTAATGTAATCTTTAGTTGTTAGAGTTCCTTGATCGCATGTACGAAATTATCAGAAACTCAAAATATAACAACATTGCGACTCATAAATAATGTTCCTATCCGGATATTACATGTAAATTTGATGCACTCAAAATTCAAAACATTGGCGGTTATTTTAAACAAATATTTGCTTAAAATTAACGAAGGCAAATGAGAAGAAGTGACTTACAAGGCAAAATGTCTTTGTATCTGTTTTTGCACCTGTTGTATTGCAGCCACCCATCCTCTCTTGATTGAGTCACATTTAAAGCATCACTGTGAGCTTTCAGTTGCTGAAAAAGTTTTAATTTAGGATTACTTGCTACGTTAATCGTATATTTCAAGAGGACTTAACAGTTTTGACTAAACATTTGCTTTCCGCACCCCAAATTTCACTGTTTTTTCTTGAATGACCATCTAGCAAGGTCACTGAGGATGGCACGAGACACGATTGAGGTACTGAAAGTTGGATTCCCAAAGAAAGCTTTGATAAACTGGAAAATCATCAGAACAGAAGAAGACATTTCAGAAAATTTTTGAAGAGAAGCTTTAAAATTGTGGATTTCATAGTTTAAAAAACTCACATCGAACTCTAGCTTGTATTTATCTGAAGTTACATAATCTTCTTTGAACTGTTTCTGCACGTGCTCCAGAATCTCTCTGTATGATATGATGTCCTCCATGACATTCTCAGCTGTACTGATATTGAGAAGGTTTAATTAATTAATTAATTAAGGTTTTTATTTTATTTGACATTTTGATAATGGGATTTGATTGGTGGCTGCTGAGCACTATTCGATAAATTGCTGTCATGTGTAATGTTAGAAAAATATGGATCACCATATTTATTCTATTCACCAACTAATGTTTCTCAGAGCATATTTATTATGATTATTTAAATAAAGAAATGAAAAAGAACCAAGAGTCCTGAAAAAGTTGAATATTGAATTGAATCAAATTCTGATTGGAAAAAGTTACTTAAAAGTTCAATGTGCTTTTAGAACTAAATAATTTAAGGTCATGAAGATCTCATTTCATAAGGCAGTTATGACTCATAACTGCCTTATGAAATACAAACTTTTCTCTAACGTATTAAGACTTGAAAATGCTTCAAATTCTTTGAAGTGTAACACTGAGAAATAAATTGCAAACTTAAAGCCTGACATCAATACAAAATTGCAACATCAATACAAAATTGCTGCAAATTAAATTTGTATCACTTCTTTAAATGAATTTCACCCATAAAGTATCTTCTAACACATAACACACTCTAGTCTCTAACTAGCACTAAGCAAAGTTCTCTTTCTGGCTTGTTCTTTAGTTACTCTAGTTTGTAGTATCTGAACTCTGTCCTGCACATTTGTCAACACATTGTTTACAGTGGTCACTCTACGTTTTATGCTCATCAACTTTTTTACGTAGTGCTCTAAATTGGGCAGATCTTTTTGCATGTCAGATATGTTTGTGAGGTCTGCAGAGAGGTGTTCTATGCAGTCCTTGAGCTTGGCTTGTGTCGTTCTCAGAGTCTGAACTTGTGTATCCACATTATCAATGGCAGGTTTTACAATACTCAATAATCCTGAAAATATTTAAATTTGGTGAAAAACATAAAATTGAAGCAAGATGATTTTAGAAGCTGATAGAATGCGTGTATACACAGGTCCCAAATGGGGTATACAAGGCGCTTGACAGGTTATTTGAGACACTGGAGGTACTGGGAATCACCCCTGCAGATTTCGTCGATTTCAGGTGCCGTCGGCACCATAAAAATTAAAAGCAAACATAAATTTTTTCCCCTAAAATCGAACCCTTTCTGCGCAAAAAATTGACCTCAACAGAAAAAATTAAACATGGCTTCAAATCCAAATTTGAACCAGAGATTTTTCACTTCCTCTCGATAAACTTAATTTTCAACCCAAAATAAAGTCTCAAAGGGGTAAATTACTCAGGTCAGGATTGTAGGCAATGATTATGCCAAACCATACATTTTTGTAAATTCATTAAACTTTCAATTTAGCCTAAAACACCCTATTTCGCAAAATTTTTCCGGGGGGCTACGCCCCCCTAGCCCCCGCCAATGTGGTCCGCCCCTTACCTGGACCCCGCGCCCCCAGACCCCTGCCACAGCTTGCAGCTTCGCTCGCCGACAGCCCCCCCAAAGAAAAATCCTGGCTACGTGCCTGAGCAAAATATAGGTTAAGGGCTTTTCAGATGATTTGGCTCCTCAACAGATACCGACGTACATAACGGTCAATATGTAGTTTAGGTTTACCTGGCCCGTAGGTTACGAATGTGCCCGAGGAGGAAAAAAAAAGCAAACTTAAGAAAATTTCTCGGGAACTTAAAAGTTCACCTCAAAACGAAATCTGCACCTATGCTGGGAATTGGGATCACGTTAACCTTTCTATAATAGGATTTTTTTATACTCTGCACTTTTCGTTCCCCAAGAGGCCCGGTATATATAGAGGTCTAACTGTATTATATAATACAATAATACCTTGGCTACCCCCGATAATTCTGGACGCTTTAGCGGAGGGATTGCGGGGCACGAAACTAAGCCAAGATATTATTTGTTATAATTTTTTTCGGTTTCTGTATGAAAAAATGTGTAATGTGATACGTGCGCTGATACAATATAGTGTGTAATATATAGTGCGCAACTGTTATTTGTTTTGAAACTTCCCGCCAGCCAGTCTGAGGTGACTCGCAGTCTGTCCTGATAATATTATTCCTTGTGGGAAATTATCGGTTACCAGTGTTCACGACTTTTCGGGGATATAATTCCTGGAAAGAATTATAAGGGGTTGTTGGTCCAGCCTGACTTTTTGTTGTTTTATTTGATTTAATGATACCAATAACCAACATACCTTACAAGACATAATTAAATGGTACGAAAGTCGGTGGTTTTTCATTTTGATCATGAATTGCTTTAAAATAGTTTTGGACACGTTCCATTATGATTAAAAGTAAGCAAGTTCTGTCACTACTATATTGGCCACGGTGGTGAAATTTCGGGAGTAGTAGATAACAGAGAAATTGTTTACAAGATGAAACAGCTGATCAGAGAAGATTATTGTACTTAATTTTCTCAAATATTGGGTTTCATTTTTGTAAATGATGAGATGAAAAAAATTCCCAAATACCATAATTTAATTTGGGGTACGAAATGTGGCGGTTTTCAGAAAAAAATCCCCATATTTTCGTTCCCAAATCATTTAGGTCACCGGAATTATGTCAAACATAAATTTCTCGCAAGGTACTAAGACATGTGACCAAATTTAGGAGAATGGGCACCCACACCACGGTTGAAAGTGGGCCGATATGTTTTAAATGTGCCCAAAAGCAATCTTACATACAAATTTTCATTCTGATGGAACTGTGAGCCCAAAATGATATGGCCAAATTGGCCATATTTTATATTTAGACACAATATAAGGGGATACATAGCCAAAAAGACCATAAAAATAAACATATTTGGCACTAGTTTGTCGGTCAACTGAACTGCTATCTTAAAATCAATACTCCACTTAAATGGATTAATACCAAAATTTCTACTCGGTATCAAGATCTTACCTTCCGAGAATTCTTCTTCAGCACTGTTAGTCATTCTGCAGCTGCAACAAATAAGGGATGAGACATTTCGTTAGTTTTGATAATACTCAGTATTACACTGGTACAGTAAAACCCTGATTTACCGCAGAATTCGGGAAAAGAAAGAACCCACGGTAAATCAGGGTTTTTGGTGACAAATAATAAAATTGTCTTTTCTCAGTTAAAAAATTGTCTTTACTTGGTTTGTGGGGTCCGAAATTGATTAAAAAAAGATATTAAAGGATTGAAATCAATATAATGTGATATTTTTGATAATTTCATGAATATAGTTAGCAATTCAGTATTAAACTATTAGAAAATAAATTTGTTGCCTCTGCAATATCATATTATAGATTGTGTATATTGCGTTCAGATCGGATCACATATTGATCCTGTATCACGAATCAACCCTTCTTAAACCCATTGGTACCCTGTCATAGAATGAGAGAAATGATACAGATGCTGAAGAGCGGTATCCCTCCACTTCAAACACTTTGAAATTGAAGGAACAACTGTTCGAGGCATCTACAGGGTGTTTCAAAAATAATGTCCTGATTTTGAAAAACAATAAAAAATTTTATAAAGGAGCAAAATGCCCATTATCGGTTGCCATTAGTTCATAAAGCTTACAAATTTAATTTGTTAAGCTAATTTGAACCAGCGATTCAACTTTGTTAATTTTTTTGTCTCTGTTCCAAAAAACCCTGTAGAATAAATCAGTTAAACAAAAATTCAGTTAAACAAAAATTCAATTTTATGCCATTTATTACAGAGTAAACAAGTTTACAATAAATCAATTTGATATTTAAAGGAATCCTAATTCAATGTGTATGGTTGTCACTCTTTAAATAGATTAGATATAGGTTGATGGGGCAAAGGAGTGTGCGTGCTGTTCGCTATTGCTCACACCAAACGGCAACCTAGTAAATAATCATATATTTACTGGGCGGTGCTCAGCCTTTCATTCCGCCGAATCTCTATTCTATGTTTATGAACATTATAGCCTGGGGTCCCCAGGTAATCATATATATATACCTTCATGGAGACCTTGATACCGATTCAAGGTCTCCATGATGGCATTGTGGCACATGAAAATGTATCTGTAACCTAGTTTACAATCAAGGGCGTGGTAGACACTGTTCAGTGGAAGTGTTGAGAGTCATGTTGAGGCTCCCGGCCCTTCTCTCTTGCTTGGTCTAGGTGGTTCTTAAGTTGATGATCTGGCTCATTATAGAGCACCTTGAACCTTTGGGAGAGAAACTCCTTCTTTTGTTTCCTCAGTTTTTCTTTCTTTTCTTTTATCTTGCCCAGGTCCAGCTTGGTGATATCCGGTCTTGTTGGTTGATCGAACTAACAAGGTCTTCAGTTACCGCTACTGAGTAACATACCTTGTCATGAACATAATATCGAAACTACCTCTGTGATCACATCTTTCTCTGGGTGCAAAATGAATATATATATAGGTTTATTAGTTTTATAGAAATTTAAAAGTTCTATAGAAATTTATTATATAAGGATTATAAACATTTTGTTTGTGTGTTTTGTGTTATGCATTTTTATACCTATTTTAGAAGAGATTTTTATAGAATGTTACAAGTGCAGTAGGGTCAGTTTCAGACGAATTAAGCATAAATGACATCATTGCCATGTCTGAAGTGGTTTGTAAATGGGCCATTGTTAGCCCCAAGCGTTTTGGTCCCTCATTCCTGCCACTCAGCATTGCCTACTGTAAAGTAGAAATTTTTCTAAGATAATAGAGAAACTGACCTTGTCTCACTAAATTCAACTACTTACCATAATTAAAATACTAACAACCAAATAAAGTTTTTTAAATAATTATATACAATCACCGAAAGTATTTCCTCAAGTTTACTTCTAGCTAACTAATTTGTGGTTTAAGCTCTTATTTTATTTATGATTAAAGGAATGTAAAATAAAACTTTTCGTTTCATTGAAAACTTTTCGTTTCATTGAACATATTCACGGGATGTTATCCTGACAGGATTGATGATGCCCAGCCCGCCACATCGAACAGGAAGTTTGAGGATATCTCTCTTGTGCTCGTTGACTGGACGACCAAGGAGGGCTGGAATGAGCACATGCATGATCTTGCTCTCCAGTGGAGCAAAGTACTCAGGCAATATCAGGTATTGTCCTCATAAAGAACCTCCATCGGTGGCATACTCTTTTGGTGAATGCTGAATAAGCCAGCTGTGGTTCTCCAGATGCAATATCAGCAAGTTGCTCAATATCTGTTATCCATTTCTCAACTTTTTCATTGATGTAATCTTCCCTGTATTTCTTTGAGCCTACCACAGTACCAAGATGGTGTTCTCAAGATGTCGTGATCTTAACTCCAAGATGCCCAAATAAAGTCTCTGCTTCAGTTTGGTCTTCGTGATTCTTGACAATTATAATGGTCTTTTTTAGTGTTAGGGTAGTACCCATATCCCGGACCGATGTCACAAAGTCTATTCCACCACTAAAGTAGTTGGATGAATCTTCCGCATGCGGAGCTTTTATCAGCATACCGCACCATGGTTGCTTCTGCATAAGCTATGAGATCATCTGTTATGGGTCGGCTGGCTATGGAGTAAAATTGCATTGCTGCAACATCTCCTTGAGTGTTTCCTTCTCTACCCCAGATGAACTCCCCTGACTTTGACCCCGAAATGAAGAGCTTTGTCCTTACTTCATAGGTGTTTTTGAGGAAAAACACAGGGCAGGTTGTTTCAACAGTATTAAGGGCCTGCTCTCGGTGTAAACTGTTGAACGCATTTGATGCATCGAGTAGGAGAAGGCCTTTGCTGTTTTCATTGGCAAAGTTCTCAGCCATTGAGTGAACACAGGAGCCTCTAAACCTGACTCAATGCCACTACAGGTTTGAAAAGAACCACTTACCCCGTAATGTGTTCTTTGATGGTTCTTGTTACAGTTTTTGTCATAAGTTTTTTGTATAGTTAGTATAGGTGAAAGTGTATGCCATAAACAAGGAGGAAGACATTCATACAACCAAAAATTAATTTTAAATTTCCAATCGCAGCTTGTATTGGTGGACTGGCCGGATTCCGCGGGAAAACTGAGCTTTAAATATATAATTTTTGCCTCGAGCAGAGTTGGACCATGAATTTTAGGGATGGACTACGGCGCCGACGAAAATAAAAAACCCAACAAAAGTGTTTAACAAAAGATTCAAATTGTGAATTGACAAAAAAATCGTATTTTTCAAAAACAAAATATTTACGAATTTTAAGGGAAAATTCAAAATTGGAAGACTTCGCCGCTTTGACGTGCCGCGCAAACTATCATTTTTACTTCGCATCCTGACTAGATCGTTGCTCTGCTAATTTGCAGAGCAACGACCTGGAAGTTCACATAGCCATGAGTCTATGCGTACTGCGTGACGTTGATTCACGATGTCAATCCTTCGCAGCTCGGTGAGGCACAGTGGTGCATTTCGCCGATCTACCGAAGTGTGTGGTTGCGAGAAGCATTATTTGATGCGCGCGCGACCCAGTAGTGCATCGCGCTACAATGCGTGACGCGCTTGTTTCGACGGTCGCGCGCTACTGCAAGCTAGAGGGCTCTGGTTAGAGCAAATCTGGAAGGGTTGACATCGCGATCGTCAATCAAAATTCAAAGTAAAGAAGTTACCAAGGAATGAATGTTAACTGGCACGCCAATCCCTGTACACTGTGCGTGGCGTTCTTTTCAAGCTTCAACGTGATACAACATAAACAAGTGTCACATGTGAGGAGGAGCGAGCAATATATAAATAAGACTAGCAAGGTAGTTAATAGACTAGTAAACTAGTAAAAATTATTAAAAGCTCGTAGCGGAGCTTATACCGCAATAGTGCATAGCTACAATGTGCCGCGAATTGCTCTATCCAGAGCCGGAGCCCTTGCGCTTGTAGTAGCGCGCGACCGCCTCACGGCGGGCGCGCTTGTGAAACAAGCGCGCCCGAAGTGGCGCGAAAGCACATGGTTAGGTGAATGCCGCGAAGGCAAACATTATTTAATTGTTAATGCGCTCGGCCCAGCAGTCAGTTTGTCATACGTTGTATGACCCGCCGCGCGGCTCCCCTGTATCGTAAAAACTCTATAGTGACATTTAACGGGTGATAGTTTACGAGTATCACTGATACTCGTAAAATATCTGTTCCATATATTGGAATTACAGGACCGTCGACGAGTCCAACTCGGCGCGCGTCCTGGTAGGTTGTAAACCTACAATAGTGACATAAAACGACATTGGGAGTCACGACGTGACACAAGGTTATGACTAGATGATGCACCACTACACAATAGTACTAGACCGGGCGCCGCGCACGAAATAATGCTTCTCGCCACCTTGACGAGATTGTAGCATGAAGCAGATCAACATATGTAATGGCATTGGAGGACTTTGCCGCTTCGACGCGCGAACTAGCATTCTTGTTGCTGCAGAGCAACGATCTCGATGGGTTGACATCGTCAATCAAGTAATTGGTTGTAGCGCGATGCACTACTGGGTCGCGCGCGCATCAAATAATGCTTCTCGCAACTACTTCGGTAGATCGGCGAGATGCACCACTGTGCCTCACCGAGCTGCGAAGGATTGACATCGTGAATCAAAGTAATTGGTAATGACACTGTTGTATCACGTCGTGACACCCATTGTCATTTCAGTTTTCACTTTAAGTATCGTGGCGAAAGCCACGATACAGCCGCGCACGAGTGCGCGGCAGGTCTACAACGTATGACAACTATCGTCAGAGTATTGACATTGTGTCATGTAGGTTTGAGGTAGGTTCATACCTACCACAGATCACTATCTCTTGAACTTGGCATTATACTTATATCTTGTATCACGTGGTGACCCCCACTGTCGCTTCACTATAGTTTCTAGATACAGGGGGAGTTTCTACGATACAGGGGGAGCCGCGCAGTCGTGCGCGGCGGGTCATACAACGTATGACAACTTATATCGAGACAAGAAACAGTGATTAAAAGTGCATAAATAAATATCAGAATAAATTATAACATATTAAACTCCGTGCTTTGGTTCCACCAACACGATTAATCGATAAACATGCCACATGAAATGGAAATTGAGAGCATAATTTAAAAACACATTCAATGCTAATTCTCTCTCTTTCCAGGCCAAAAGTTGAAATACAATTCCTCCCAAAATGTCATAATAAAAAGCTTATATACTTGTATATAGACATACTTATAGTCCTTCAACTTTAAATATGATCCTTCAAATCATCTTATTCTGAATTTAAATCTACAATCTTTTGAACGCCAGTGTTCAGATTATCAGTGCTATCTGTCCACTTCATCAGCTGGTGCAGGACAGTGGTTTTTCAGCTTCTTACATATCTCCCTTTCTTCCTCTACACTGTCTTCCACTGAGCAATCAACATATTAGGGGGGGGGGGGGGGGGGGGGGGGACTATAAAAATTTTAATTATGAGCGAGACAATTCTGAACATCGTCTAAGCATATGAAAATACTGCATACCTAAACAAACTCTCAAAGTTTCAAAAGAAGCGGCAGCATGAGGAGGGAACTGTACATCACAACGCTCCACTAAATGCAAGAGCAACTTTAAAGTTATTTGTAAGGTGGCGTCGTATGATTCAGCTGTTCTGTCTTCTGTAGCGAACCTGTCGCACATCGCAAATAACTGAAAAACAATCTTCATTGCTCCCAAATTCGGGAAAAACCATGAATATACTATGAATTGCGCGTTAAAAGTCAGCAAATCTCAGAATGAACTTGTCTATGTGTACCTGATGAGGTACTCCCATACTGGAGTAGAGTTGACACTGATCCGTCGACTCTACACACACATGGTTGATTAGGAAGAGGGATTTTATCTGCAGCTTGTGTAGGGGGGATTGAAGTGCTCTTACTATCACATTGTAACCCTCGTGCTGATTAAACTTCTCCAGGGCTGCCGTGTTTCCCCGCACCAGACCTGAAGACCAAACATACTTGGAGGGGGGTTCTTGAAACATATAGAGGATACTAAAGGTTTTTTTAACAGGAGCTTTCAAAATACACCATGAACTATTTTCAAAATATAGAGCAATCTTCTATTGTTGGTCACTATAATTGTTGGTCACTATTGTTCTATTGTTCGTAACTATTGATCTATTGTTCGTGACTCCGAGTACCATTCCTTATAAATACTTACAAGAGACTGCGAGTAAACTCTTAACTCTGACAGTATCGTTAGCGCTGTTATCAACTAGCTTCAGGAGGTCACTCAACACAAAGGTATCGCTAGCGAACTGAGCTATTTTCTCGTTGTTCTGCACTGCGTTGGCTATCACCTCGCACGCCAGACTCTGTAATTCCCTGACCAGGGTAAAGTGTTGAAATTTGGGGGGGGGGGGGGGGGGGGGGGGGGGATTTAACAAATTGATAATATTTGAATTCATTGAAAACCTCCTTTAAAAACCCTGTAACCATATTAAATCCCCTAATATAAAACCTACGGATCGTTATGTTTTATGTAGGCACAACAAACTTGTAGTCCACCCATTAGATACAGATCTGAGGAATATTCTGATGAGAAAATAATTTCAGCAGTCTTCTTAACAAGTTTTAAAATGAGACAGATAAATGTACACAGTTATATCACCATATCCCCTCTCGTTCCTACTAAAACCCACCGTTAGCCTCGTCCAGATCCTCAGCATGGTCGGCTATATCCTCCAGAGCCAGTACACACTCCTCTTTAGAGCTGTCAGGGTTCTTTAGAACTACCACGTGTCCTCTCATACTCTTCACTGGATCCGCTACCATTGCAGAGTAGTTCTCAAACGCTCTCGTTAGAAACTGCCGTCTCTGAGAGCATCTATGGTAAATACATTGCTGGCAGAAACACTTGCCACCCATAATGGTGACTCACGGTTATAACAATGGGATTTTTTTTAACGTTATTTTGAATGAAAAACGGTATTCCTACTATCATGATCAGAGATTTAATTATAAATAACAAACCTCCTGGTCCATGGGTTCCAGTACTCTGTTTTCTGAGGGCTCATCTTGGAATCTGAGTGACCACTGGAGAATTGCATTCCAGTTGGGGTGGTTCTGAAGGTTCTCATCATCTCCCATCCTAATACTGATAAGCTGTTGGATGAGAGGGGGGGCCGGGGGGGGGGGGGGGCTCTCAATCAACTGATTTAATTTAATATATCCGTAAATCTATCATTTTAATCATGAAAAGAGCGATTGCTTTATTGGTATCTTTTACATTAGGTAGTATTGTACTTGTAGTATGTATATTGAATAGATTTTAAACAATTTAATGATAATCAAAAGGCGAAAATTAAACTATTCAGGAATGCTGATGAATTCCTAGGAGATTTAAAACCTTATAAATAATCCAATAAACTACAGTTAAACATATAAATAATAAAACTCCCAAAGAAGACATGAACACTAAAATGTATAATAAAAACCCGTCTCATTAAACCACTAAACCAGCAGGAGTCCAGTTGAGGAAGGCTTTAAGGACCTTCATCTCGTAATTACCCTTCACTGTGTCACTAAGATAAGTACGAAGAGAATTGGGGATGAGTTTAGAGTCCATAGCGGTGAGGTGACAACACAGGGCGATATCCGCTATAGAGAGCGCATCTCCGGCTAGATAAGAAGAGGATTTGAGGTAGCTAGCGAGGGTGTTGAGGATCGTTCCTATTTCAGAAGCCGACACGTTCACCCGCTGTGGTAGGGAGAGGGGTAAAGTTAGTAATGTTATATGTGAGTTTTGGGAGAGGCGACCATGAATAATTATTCAAAATATACTCCTCTGTAGACAATTTCCTTGCTCTAACAAACCTCAAGTGAGTCCACGACAGAGAGAATCTCATCAATAAGGGCCGCATTCAGAAGGTCTTGTTCATCGTATAAACTGGAGTATTTCCTCTCTCGAGCCACGAAACGCAGAATATTGCTTAGTCCGCTGACTGCTACCTGACGACCTGACACAAAAAGTTAGTTTAATATTAATACAGCAGCCGAATGATATCGGTTTAATATTTGAAAACAATTGTGATACGGTAACCCGGTATGTCTTTTGCAGTATAGGTAAGGAGATCATCGACTACCAGGTTCCAGAGGAAAGGGGAGAGTATGCCTCGTTGAGGGCACCCCCGCCTGATCCGAACCCTTCTCGACTTATCCTTATGATTTAGGGTGATGAATCGATTGGTTACGATCAGTGACCTTTAAAGACGTGTGACCCGTCTATTTGAGCTGTTACCTGGACATGCCATGAAGTAGGGAGAGGAAGTATCTTTGTAAATGAGGTTGATGCCACAGTAATCTGTCTCTCCTTTGTTGACACGCAGTAACTTGTTTGTGATGCTGCTGTCTACTTCTTTTGTGTTAGTCGAATGTGAGAACACCTGAAATTTGTAATGGTCACCATTACGCTGCTCAAAACCACGTGCAATGATGTTCGCAGATTTCACGTTCTTGTAAGATGCTATAAAAACAGGAAATGTTACCTTGATAAGACAGTTGACTTTGCGAGCCATGATAGCAGTCATGTACACAGCAGGTGATCCCACACTGCACCCTACAACCAGGTCAAATTTAGAGGTGTTCTCTGCAGCCTTCACTCCACAGCAATCAGCCTGTAATAGTGGTCATATTATAATAAAAAATCAAAAGCGTTGAAGAAATTGTTCTAAACATGGTCTGAAGTATGTGTAAAGTTAGACTCTAAATCACGCACCTCTATCTTGTTAAGTCTCTGTTGGAAGAGCTCCAGCTCACTGAGACACTTGTCCTGTCTTGCCTCCAGATCCTGGACCCACATACCATCCTCCTTATCAGGCAAGGAGATGTCGTCATAAACTGGGGCCACTTTGTACATTGAGATCTTAGACTCTGCGACTAATATATCGTCGTAGACCTTGGGCGTGGCATACATATCCTAATTCAGGAGATGTTTCTTTTAGCATCATGAATCATTAATAATTAATAAAATTTAGCTTATTATGCATTTAACTGGGTAATATATCATTCAGCAAGGGAATGAGTGTGTTGAGGGAACTGCACTTGTTTGACAAGAATATTTATTTTGTATGCACAACAGGGACCGCTTTTCTATCAAACTAATATGTTGTAATTAAAGGAGCTGTATATAGAGCCCACCCCTCCCCCCTCCCAAAGACACACTCTATCTATTAACTTCGTATTCACTTTGATAAGGCAGTGCGGCACATAATAGCGGCCATGTTTATTGCGGGGGAGCCCACACAAATCATCCTGTAAAATGTAATCTAAGCAGATTGTACTGTACATTCAAGTTAGACGACAGCATTTTCTCAATAAAATGGGAATTCTAGAAAATAATCAACACTACTTAAATTATTATATTATAACGAATAATTTGAGTAGATGAATATATTTCAACTTGTAGTCAGTTACATTGGAACGTGGAACTGCTACGTTTCACTAAAAGAGCGGATTCGTTCGGCGTGAATACCAGAAATTTGGAACACTCAACAAACAATTAGTGATCACGTGACAGCCAATTAGTGATCACGTGACAGCAGCAGAACAGTAATATTAAGTAAACATAGCAGGGAGTAACACACACTTGCTTTTCTTATAATCCGCTTACCGAGGTTCTGCAAATTTACTGAGTTTTGAGAACTGTGTATTTTAGTTTGAGTCCTTTGTTTTGAGTCGTTTGTTTTGAGTGCTTTGTTTTGAGTCAAGCGTGAGAGTGATGGAGGGTCGGTCCAGCACTGGTGATAATGGGGAGACGATGTCCACTATGGAAAGACACAAACGGGTGAGGGAATTTACTTTCTATACTTTACCTGTATACTTTACCTGCACTGTATACTCACTAAACGCAGTTAGAGTTTACGCTTAATGGACAGGTCCTCGTTTTTTTTTTAATCTAGACACTTATTTTACTTCGGTGTATTCCAACAGCCACAATGTTACACAAGTGCAACCAGCCAATTACAGGAAGCCGAAGGATCTTTTTTGGCCAGTGACGGTTAAGGTAGTGTGTACCATACTTTCTTCGTCCGAGACTTTGCTGCAATGTGCAGCTCCTCATTTAACCCTCACACCCGATTTCTCGAGTATTCGGCTGAGTAGACCGGGGGGCTGCATAGACCACTCATGATCCTTAGCTGAACGTCGACGACGCTCACCCCACGACCAGGCAGTCAGTGGGTTTCGAACTCGCAACCTAACGATTGTAAGACAGGCGTTCTAACCAACTGCGCTACCTTCCCTCCAACAATAGTGAACCGTAGTCTCTCAGTTATATAACTTTCAAAATCTAAGATTAACTCATTAGTATTTAGAATCTCGCTAATCAACGAGCCGCATTAGATACTACAGTAGACACACCTGGAAGATCATATTATAGAGTAAATATATAGAGTAAATATATAGAGTAGTCCCCTGATGATACTCATGACGGGGGGGGGGGGGGGGCCAATGGCATAAAATGGCATAAAATGGCATAAAATGGAGACTTTTTCTATGGAGAAAATGGAAAAACCCATGAGTAATTCTCCATTTTCTCCATTTTATGCCATGAATTTTTTTCTTCGAAATTTCATCTTTAACACCATTTAACACCTAAATTGGACATCCTAACATGTTTATTTACGCTTACTAGGGGCGTAACAAGCTTATGAAAGCTCATAGTAGGGTACTATATGCTTATACTAGGTTAGTAGAGGCACACTTCAAGCAAACTCATAATTACTCAAGCCTAGTGTAAAGTCATTTCTACAGGCTACAGCAGGAGTGAGTAATAGGGGAGAGTAATAGGCACTGAGAAGTGAGACCTACATCCTCGAAAGTCGAAACAAGCTCGCACTGCAAAGGGGAGGCCTGCCTTCCGAGATCGCATTACCAGGGGGAAGCCTCGAGTCCAAATTTGTGTATCGAGGGGTAGGTGCAGACTTAAACCGAAAAACCAAAAAAATATTTTCGGCTAATAATGAAGAGGGTAGCATGAAACGTGGAGAAAAGTGGTTTTTAGAAAAACTTTGAAAAATGTTGACTTAAAAAATTTTCGGCCCGAGTCATTCTCGATACGTACCTCTCGTATCGAGAGCTCCCGATTCCGAGCTCGTGTTGCAAAGGGGAGGCCTGCCTTCCGAGATCGCATTACCAGGGGGAAGCCTCGAGTCCAAAATTGTGTACCGAGGGGTAATTTTCTAAGTCAAAATTTTTCAAAGTTTTTCTGAAAACACTTTTCTCCACGTTTCATGCTACCTTGTTCATTATAAGCCGAAAATATTTTTTTCGGTCAACATTTTTCAAATTTTTTCTGAAAACCGCTTTTCTCCACGTTTCATGCTACCCTGTTCATTATTTGCCGAAAATATTTTTTCGGTTTTTCGAAGTCCACACCTTCCCCTCGATACACAATTTTGGACTCGAGGTAATGCGATCTCGGAAGGCAGGCCTCCCCTTTGCAACACGAGCTCGGAATCCGGAGCTCTCGATACGGGAGGTACGTATCGAAAATGACTCGGACCGAAAATTTTCTAAGTCAACATTTTTCAAAGTTTTTCTAAAAACCACTTTTCTCCATGTTTCATGATACTCTGTTCATTATTGGCCGAAAATATCTTTTTTTTTAAATAATTTTTCTCGAAATTCTCAATTTTTCAGGTTTTCAATGGCATAAAATGGCATAAAATGGCATAAAATGGAGACTTTTTCTATGGAGAAAATGGAAAAACCCATGAGTAATTCTCCATTTTCTCCATTTATGCCATTGGCCCCCCCCCTCATGACACTCTTAGTTGGAAAGCTACCGTTAGTTTCACTTGTTAACGTGAATAAATTTATAGAATTATAATAACATAGAGTTAACATATTTGCCGTTATGTGGCGTTTATGTAGCCACATAGTTTTGTTCAATAATTACACACTATAACACAGTCCTTTATATAAGTGGTGTGTTTGATGTTGTAAACGAATAAAATTTTCCGTTCAAAGCCTCTCTTGTAAAAGCGTTACATTTGTGCTAGTCACAAGATAATAGCTCTCTTGAAATTCGGATTATACATCAGAATGGTTTCAGAACTTGAGTGGAGAGCTCCTTTCTTCAGTCTTGTGTTTTGTTATGGACTAAAAGCTCCATCTGTGTATTTTATGAATTCAATGCGGCGGGTATTTTCAGTTGAATAATAGGGTGACAGCCGACAGGTAAAGCCTTTACAGTTAAATCTCGATCGAACAGGATTCCATGGGGATTGTACACTTAGTTTAAAGGTTAATCTAAAATCCCAGTATGCACATTCAAATGAACAAATGTGGATCTGAAAGTGCGCACGTGGTTGCCAATCTGTACCACAAGAGCAGTATTTGACCCCCAGCAAGGTGTTTAAATCCAGAGAGAGGTGTAAAAGTTAGATCAAGTTACCTTTGTTTATATTGAGGTAGTAGTACTTGAGGACCAGATGTGCTACTCTTTAATTACATGGTGGCTAATAACTCACAGCCCTTTATTTGTCTATCCTGAACATTCTCCACAACTTGTTGCCGATAATAATACGTTACACCACGTAACACAGTCACACTATTCAGTGTCTTATAATGGGGCTTTTGTTCAGCGCTTTAACTAATAATGTTTCCTTATCCTCTGTTTTATTGACTGTAAAACTCTCATGTCGTGCGTGATATTCAGTTTATTAAACGTTATCCACTCTTCCTCTTTTTAAAGCCACCGAGGAATGGTAATATCGGTGGTCTCATGTAATGGGCGTTTAATCTTTGTGCAGATAACTGAAGCGTTATTTCTAGTTCCCAAAATCTTTGTACTGAGTGGAGTCCAACCTGTGGGCTGTGTGAAGCTGCTAATTAATTAATTACCTAATTACCACCCTAGTTCTCGGATATGAAGACACTGGACAATAAGATAGCGATGTTAGAGGAGATGATAGGGGACCCTGACAAGCTGAACAAGGCTGTGTATGACGTCATAACGGGGTCTGACATGAATAATGATGAGTGCCTCAGTAAGGCTGAGTTCCAGGTGAGGTTATTTTAAATGTTATGTTTCTGACTTTCAAGTTTACGACTATGGAGTACAGGTCGAGCATAAGTGTAGATAAACAGGGCCCCCTCCTGGTGACTCAGAATACTCCGATAACCACCCAACTTTTCCAGAAAGTTCTACAAGATTTTGGTATCGGTGATTTTGACGCAATAGAGGATCTGTTCGAGTCACTTGACCGAGATGGAAATGGTTCAATCAACTTCAAGGAATTTAGACATTTCTTCAGGGCGCAAACGTTAGTGCAATTGTAGGACGAGAATTATAAGTGTTGCATTTGCTATGGTACTGAGAAAATACTTAGTGTAACTATGGTACTGTGAGAATAATCAAATCTCTATTATATTCTACAGAGCAAGTTTACATACACTGTATCATTATCCTCATGTGATCATGTGAACCCTACTAACATTAGTACAATTAACAGCCACACTTAGAGTGTAATCTACTACTACTACTAACAGTATAACCGCACATAACCGCACAGGAGAATCAAGCTGCAGCATATGAAGGAGCTCAAAGCGATGAAGGACCGGACAAAAGTTAAGAATCAAATTCCGGTGGAGGACTCGAGCAGCAGTAGTTCAGATGATGAAAAGAAGAAACCAAAGTTCAGCTTCAAAAAGTGGAAATCTACTAGGAATTAACAGGGACTTTATCTTTTTTCTTGTTAAATTTTCAGGACTATAATACTTGACAGTTTATTAATATTTCTTAACAAGAAGGTATATTATATGCAGATATATGAGAATAATATGTTTGATAAATAATTTCAATAAACTCTAATCAGTGAAAACTTTGGTGTGGAGTTTGTACTCACAACTTCAGGCCCTCCGTGGTGAGATCGATGACATCATCCTATATGAGATGGTTTTATTAGATAATAACTAAATTGAGCATTTAATGGGTAATGTAATGGGTCATTCAATTTAAGAACTTTTATTAGATCAATGTTTATAAGCAGTATTTAGGACAATTTTAATCGCTTATTCAGATATTCTAGCAAGTATTTATTACAACTATTATCCTCTATTCTTTGTGCACTTCCAACGAGATACTCGCTAAATAGAGGTTTGCCTGTTATTTTCATGCTCAAGGTAAATTGCATGGAATTTAAATAATTAGTAAAACTAAAAATAAGCTTTGAAATGAAGAAGTGACTGGGTTGAAAAATTCAAATAATTTTACTACATAATTATAAGTAATCAAATTTAAATAGTATGTTTTAAGATGTGAAAATTGTTGCGATCATTCCCAGTAGGGAGTTAATAAAAGTTCAAAGTAGTATCATTTGGGGTCAAAATGAACTCCCACACTTCACAAAGTTTTACTTAATTGTGTTAAATAAATCATTAAAAGAGCTTTCCCAAAATCTAATGTTAACACAAATTAAAGGAATCTTATACGCATTACACGTTGTAATTACTCGAATATTTTGCACTGAAAATAATTCTGGACAAACTCCCGCGTAACCATGGTAACATCCTCCAAGTTTACAAAAATCAATTTCAAGCACGTGTAACACATCGCCAATATACAAAAACCCACGTGACCCTCTCTCATACTTCTCAGCAGGTTCAGTCGTTACCCAGATAAGTGTAAATACTCCTCAAAGCAGCGTTAGGCACGAACCTCTCCCCATCGTACATTGAGAAATACTTTCCCACATCTCTGTGAGAGATAAACACGCTCCGAGTCTCCAGCAAGTTCTCCTGGGCCACGTACCTTAGAGAATTGTTTATTAAATAAATAAATAAATAAAGTCAATTTTTACAGCACAGCAATATATATCTAAATATCAGATCCTCTGTAATCATAATGTATAAAAAAAAGGAGCTTTTCTCTGTGCTGAAGGATGAATCAAGGCAGATCATGGTTCTGTTAGCAGGCCACCCTAGTTATGGACAATACATATATATAAAATAATTAAATTATAATTTTAAAATTGTGTCAAGATTGAACTAAAACATAACTCAGGGTAAAATAGACGTATTCCCTTCGTCAAATTAACTATTTACAATACTAAACTTAAACGAACTCCGGGTAAAATAAACGTAATCCCTTTGTCAAACTTGCTATTTACAATAAGTTAATAAATTAATACGGTTGAAAATTATTTCATATTCAATAACAATGTAGCATCAATATAATTGATACAAATGAGGAGCATACAGTGAGAATTGCACATAACAGGAGGACTGGAGGTATGGAGCAATAATGATTGACAGTGCACCTTTCCACTGATGTTCCTAATTTCCTGTAATAGCTTAATAGGCATGGAAATACTTTGATTGCAGGGGATAGATTGGATTCACTTATGTACTGAGATAACTTAACCGAAATAACATAACTGCCTAGATACATTAGCTAGTGTTGGGTGGGATCATGAATTTATCGTAAGAGTTATCCCCTTGGTAATTCTCATCAGTTAGCAACATATTCATAAGAGTTTCTTTGTATAACTTAGAAAATTTCTTAACGTCGTCACACTCTCTAAGGGACTTTGATAATATGTTCCAGGCCTTAGTTCCTAGATAGTTAAACTCCTTGTGAGATCTTGATTTAGGAGTATAAAGATTGCAGTTTTCTGCCTCACGTGATCCACCAGAAATATACGAGATTATTAAATAAAAGTAAAAGTTTATTCAAACAATACACATTACACACAGATAATTTCAACAATGACCATTGTCCAGCTATAAGGTTAGACACCCTTGAATATAAATAACCCAATAAACGTACCTCTCACTATCATCCTCAGCCAGAACCTTGTAGTAAGGCTGACTCGCCTGGTGATCTAACTGGGATATCCCCATCCTCTCCTGCCACTGCTCTCCCATCATACAACACTCATCCCACCCGTACACAACGCACGTGTAGTTGTAGCGCACGTGCAGCATCACACTCCCTATCTTGAACAACACTCTGTCAGGCTTGCTGCGCTTCACACTGAGGTGCTCCTTCAGAGACTCGGCTGCTTGTCCTACCCTCCTGCAGTACTTAGACCACACGTCCGGCTCTATACACGTAAACTTCTGCAGGAAGGTACACTTGATACGGAGATCTAGAGAAAAGTTCATGGCATGCACTGCTGAATCGTAATCCTCTGGAGCTAGATAAGACATTATCTTGTAGAGGTTCAGAGCGAAGAAGGCTCTGTTGTGGTGAATGGGAACAATCTGACCGAAAGCTATAACATTTCTAACAAGCCGGGAGAGGACCTGAAGACATGTAGTAGGCTGGAAGTAATAGTCCTTATCAGCAATATTAGACATTGGACACAGCTGGAGACACTGGGTCCGGGACAGGATGTCACCCTCGTTAAAACAGTCTATATACATGGTGTCTCCACTGGTGCCCTGGAAGGAGAGGAGGAAGTGTCGAGGGAAGTTGATTAGGGAGAGGGAGAGTCCCAGTCTAGTGGCCACCTCGTGGTATAAGATAGCTATTGTTATTGGAATACCTGTCTTCTTATACAGCACCTTATCTATCCGGTTATTCTCAAAATCATAGTAATTATCAGCGTTCTTTCTCAGTCCGAAATCTTGATAAAGAACTCTGTTGATGACCCCTAGAACCTCCTCAATGTTTGATGCTGGAGTGAGCCGAGCTCGGCACTGGTTAACAATGTCCTCAACAGTCTGATGCACTGGAATACACTCGGTAGGCTGCACAGAGTGGATGATACTGAGCTCGCCCAGACACGCCCCCACCCACCGGGAGATAAGCAGACTACCCTGGAACACTGCTCCGGGCTCTGTAGGAACACACTTCATCAGCTCCCTGATAATACCTGCCTGAGTCAGGGCTACCAGCAGGTGCCGGGAGTACAGTTTGGAGGTGAGGGAAGTGAACTTGTTGGAGGAGAGGAGGGAGTTGGAAAGGTGTCTGTGGGTGATCTCCCTTAGGTCAGGAGACAGGAGACAGGAGACTATGGGGTCCTGGTCCAGGTCTATCTCCACTATAGTGTTGTGGATGTGCTGGTGTGATAGGTTCTCCAGGTGCTCCTCTAGCTCTCTAACACACAGATACCGACCTTTAAACTTCTCTAGATTATTAACACATCCAGGAGCATCAGAGGAGAGCACCAGGAGGTTGCTCGCCTTGAGGTGGTGCGTCCAGAGGAGGCGGGAGTTGTGGACCAGGTCATGGAAGGAGGAGGAGAGGGAGGAGAGGTGGACTAGGTCCCGGAGGGGGAGCCGGCGGAGGATCTGTTCTACTAGTTCGAGGGGGAGGTCCAGGGGCATTCATACACAATGCATTACATTTTGCTATGATCCTAGGGGTACTTGGGGTTATTGAGCTTGAAGCCTGGTACAGAACAGGATTACAGATAATTCGATATACAAAACAAGATTCAAAAATTGTCAGGTTAATGATAATGGAAATCAAGACGAATAAAGAGGCGGGCTGACTGTTGGATTACATATTATACATGGTTATTTACAACAACTAGGGAAATATACCACTAAAGTACAGCTACTAAAAATAATTTGATAGGAAATGGAAATAAATATAACAGTTAAGTATGAACAATACTTAACATTAAAGTTAAGTCAACGGTATGTACAATGTACATACGGATCAAATTTCAAAAGCCGGCAGTTTTGTATCAACGTGAGTTTGTTAACTGCCATTATTTTGAAAACAAATTAAATTATAGATTGCTTCTCGGTTGCTTTCTAAATTAAAACTAAACTAAAAAAACAAAACATATTGTCCCGAACCCAAAAAAAAGTACAAAGAATTACGTTAAGAATTTACTGATAAAATAAATAAATTTCTGATATACTCATATATGAGAGAAGGGTTTCATTGTTCTTCAAGCACAAATCTTGATGTCCAGACAACGAAGAAGTGATTTCTTAGGATTTCAGTCTCAAAGCAGATGGTTGCTCATGAGTAAAGGAAGTTTCAATCTGACTCAGACACTGTAGTGATAACAGAGATAAGAGTAACTGATGAGAACATATTGTAGTAGTACTCACTGACTGATGATTACAAATCGTTCCCTAAACTTCTATGTTAAAGTTAGCTGAGAACTCGGGGGCCTTCTGGAGAATGTCTTCAAACTCAGCGGGAGTCAATGTTCTGAGGGGAAATAATTGTTATTATAATTGTTGTAGGATAGTTGTGCAAAGTAAGATAATAGTAATACTCCAATACTCGTGGAGTAATGTTAAACATATTTTGCAAAAAAATTGTTCTATGACAATCATTGACCGAAATAATGAGATATTCACCCATAATTACTACACTACACATCTGGAAAATTTTACATAGCGACAACAAATGCCCTATCATTAAATTAAATTGGATAAATATTTAATCTTTGAGTTTGATTTGTCGGGTTATATGCTGGGTCCTTTTATGGACACGTTCATAAAAAAGATGAAATTCAGCCAAAATTTGTTAACTGTGATTTTTGTGTCTTCTTATCAAAATGAGAAACATGATAATCATCCCATGGTTAAGTTAAACGTTCAAATTTTGCGATGCTGAAATCGCCAAATAATTGTTTTCCTTAGTTACGGAGTGATAGTCGTTTAGTTTGGGGCTCTGAAAATAACACAAAAGTCACAAAATTTCTATTTTTGGTTTAACACAACCTCTATTATGGGGCCTATTTTTCATTTTGTATGGTCAATATTGATAGTACAAGTTCTTATCAGTCATATGATACGATTCTACACGTTTTTATTCGTTAAGAGGGCCAATTTAGCACAATAATCACATTTCAATGTAAAAAATGGCCGATTTTCAGAGGTGAATTTGAAGTGCTTAATTCACTAATTGGATATTAAAATTTTGCTAGATGTCATCGTGTGTGTATACATTCTTGAGTTTCGTGATTCTGCTTGCCAAAGTGGGGCTAAATTCCACACAATAATCACATTTCTTTGTAGTGTGTTACTAGGCAGTAAATTTGTCAGTACTTCGTGTGTTTGTTTTTGTTTACAGTGTTTTAGGTTTTGAACTGCTGCTATGTATCATGAATTTGACTAAACACTTTAAATAGTAATCTGAATTGAAAACTGTAACACCAGGCAAAAACTTAACACGAAAATCACATATTTAAAGTTACTGTGACTATCAACTTCCTGTTCAGGCCCATTTATCGTACATTTTTTCATTGCTCTTTGGTCTATATCCCTTATTGAGACCATTTTAGACTTGAAAAGTTGGTTTCAATCGATAATCGGTCAATTTTTAGCACAATAATCACACAAGATAAAGTCCTAACTTATTTTCTATTCTTGTAGTTTTCAAGTCAAGTGTGATATTTGAAGCGGAAATCGGTTTTGAAGCTATCAAAATCGTTTATAATTGATTAATGAACAATAGTGTCAGGCATGATGACAAAAAAGGCCGACTTTGAACACAAAAATCACGTATAAAAGGCGATTGTGACTATCTAATTGCAGTTTCAGCCCATTAACGATTATGTATGCGTTTTCTATGCTATCAAATCTTTTTCTTGAGACAATTTTAGACCTGAAAAGTTCATTGAAATCGATATTCGGTCAAATATTGGCACAATAATCACACGAAAAAATCTCGACCTATTTGCTGAACCACAGAGTTAATTTTATTCTGCGTTCTATATCATCAACTTTTATTGTCTCTAGTTAATGAAGGAGTTTCGGCATGTGTGCTGTGTGATATTTGAGTCAACAGTGGCACCAACTTACCAGTTTTTAACGTTTTTTAACAGCAATTTCAGATCGATTTTATAGTTCTATGATACAACACAGTTGGTCTTTCTCTATCATACATATTGCAATTTATTGGATTTAATTCAACCAATTGATGTGATTTTATTGTCTGAAACAAGCCCTATATCACTTGAACATAAGATAGGAGAATCAAACAAGCTAAGATTCATCATTTATATTCTATTTCAGAAGATAATTAAGTGACGATGGCAAATTTGAGAAATAAACTCAATCTCTCGCATTTCAAACTTTCAAACGTGATAAATGTGTTTTATATGTAGCCTTACATGCTCAGAACAGTCTAAGATAATTTCAAATGTAGCAAAACAAAATAGTAACAGTCTAAATGTCTAATTATGAGTCTAGAAAATGATTAAAACTTTGTTTTAAAATTAGATGTGATTTTTGTGTCGATTGTGACCGTTTAACAGAAAATAATTGATTAATTTCTTGCTTGCACCATATTTTGAGCTGTAAAAAATTGTTTCAGAACTTTGATATTGGCTATCTATCGTTAAAAACGTTAATTTCCACAAATTTTGCCATATTGTGATTTTTTTGCTCTATCTCAGCCATTTATATGTGACTCTCTGGCCCTTTATCGCTTAACTTACCTAAAAGTGTGTATTAAACACCTTCAAGTACGTTGCACAACAATCTGGTTTCAAATGAATGGGTGAGTGGCTTCTAAAGTCACAAAAGTGAGTTTTGTGTCATAACTTGCCCAAATATCAATATTTGTTAATTATTCTGCCAACATAGCCTTCATTATGTAAAAACAAGCATATTCTGAAAGTTTGGTTGAAGTTGGTCAATATTAAGGTTCATTTTTGACAAAAAACAAATTTTGGCTAAAAAAATTGAGAGCTGAATTGCACCTTTTTTATGAACGTGTCCTTATAATAACAGGTCTCCAGATCAGACCTCTGGTTGTTTCTTAATGAAGTATTACCAGGTCCATTGGCAGGCCTTGAGATGAGATGTTAGGTTCGCAGGTGATATCCACGGCCTATTGTGTGGGATTACTGGGCTGACCAGTTTACGAAATTGTAGTTTGAGGTTTACAGTTATAATTTACACGTTTAATTATTGTTCATCTTAAATGCATTTGTTTGCTGGGAACAGGGAATGAATTGTATTTTATTTTATCGGATATTTATCGCTTATCTGCCTCGGTCGAAGACATCACAATATCGTCTTGAAAAAAATTTGTCGAATTGTCCATGCCCCTATGGGTTCTTGGCCTCCCCACAGTCACTAACAAACCACACAAATTGGCACTGCGCCAGATAAAAGCACATTTAGACGGGAACTTACCCATTCTCGTCCATGTCACATTCCTTTAATATCTCGTCCACAATACCGTCCACATCCTCCGTCTTCATCCTGAACCCTGTCACTCTGTTAACTAGTTCATCCAGGTCAGTGCGGTCTATCTCTCCGTCATCGTTAAAATCATAGATCTGAAACGGAAGGTTGTGAACTCAAGAGTCTGTGCCTGTATAATGGGTAATGTTTACAGGTGCAGCCAATATAGAGTTATAATGGTAATGAATGTTGAAACCGAACTCAATCCAGCTTTAAGGAACAGAACAAGCTGTGTATTATGAAGGAGTAACATGAAATAGTTGTTCCATCTGGCAGTAAAATTATGATTTCCTTTGTAATTAAAGAATAGGGGAGGAAAGGTGGACGAGGGGGGGAGGGCTTCAAAAAGCTCCCCAATTTGTTCTGATAATTATGTCACACCTTGAAAGCGTAAGCAGCCTTGAGATCTTTAGGGGCCTGCATGCTCATAACACTTAACATGTCCAGGAAGTCACTAAATGTCATGTCTCCGGACAGATCTTCTGAAAATACCTGCGGAAACATTGGTCAATAATCCCCGGCAGAACCAACTACAATAATCATTACCATTATCATTACAGGCCCTCCAAAATATACACAGTAACCTTCCCTCAATCCCCCCCCCCCCTGTTCAGTAACACATTACAATCCATCTTGATTCTTGATGTTAGCTTTGTGTTACGAAAGTTGATATCTCATCTGCCACCGTAACTGGTATCACTAATTACTAATCTGCAATTCTAGAGAGTGACGGATTACTCAATAATTGTGAAGTATAATTCTCTTAGTGCAGCTGTGTATTACTTATAAGTAACAGAAATTGAGAATATGCCAAAATTCTTCCGGTGGTTTCGTTTAAATCTATTCTATTCTGAGATAATTTGTTATGTCTTACCAGTGCAGTGTAAGCTCCTATTTTTATTGTTATACATTGTTACACGGCATAATTTAAAAAGTAAGTTTGTCTACTTTATTTTCAGGTATCTATTAAACAAACCTTAATTTTGTCTTGAACAACTCACTAAGTTGTTCCTTTGGGCTTTTGAATAATTTATAACTTGTAGTTAAATGATGCATATAGACTATTAAGGGTATTAGGCTTCATGAGTAAGATATGTCAGTTCTTCTAATGGACAAGTTTGTCTCACTTTAAAAGGAATATTCATGAACCTTTGGGTTGTTATATTCCGTATAACTGCGTAATTTGGCTTAATACCAAGTCGGTGCGGAACAGTTCTGTATCACTCTTAGTCACTGTTAGTACCGTATTGTAGGAACATTAGTGTTCATATTGAGGCTAGTGCGAGTGGGAGTGTATGAACTATAAACATGGCACATGTTAACATCTCAGAAAGACAGTAGTGGAGATAACAGACTCTGGTGAACTAATGGTTAACATATCATGGGGGGAATGCAACGTCAATTAATGTCAATTAATGTCAATTAATGTCAATTAATGTCAATTAATGTCAATTAATGTCAATTAATGTCAATGTCAGTTTTGCAAAATTTTGGAATACTGACATTAATTGACACGATATTTTTCGACCAGAGATTATGTAGTTCTACCATATTTTTAGCACTTTAGAACGTTTATATCATCAATTTATTCACTACTATCACATATGGAAATGTGAAATGTGAAAAAATTCAGATCATTAAACAATAAAACTGAAATAATACGGTTTCCCGAAATTTAATTTTCTTAAATGGGCGTGGCCATCCAAGGGCGTGGTTCTCAACATCATCAGAACTTAAAACCCACATTAAACGAAATGCCTTCATGACATTTATATTTGAATAACGAATCTTAAACAGCTAACATTACTCCTTCATACTAAAAAAGCCGATTCTAGATATTTTCTAGATATAAGAAACCAATAAAATATGGGCGTGGCCGGTGGGGACCGAAGATGGAAGAGTTGGAAGCTGAAATTTTTTTTGTGGTCTTTGAACCGAAGGATCAACAGATAAGAACATACTCATAATTATTCAAGGACATTTTGTTTTTTTGAACCGGTCTAACTTACATATTAATCAACTATATACAGCAAACACAAGATAATATAAATTAAATCATAAAATCGAGTGGCCGAGTAGTCTCGACTCACCCATAACTTCTCCAAAGGCGTCTATCATGAGCTTTGTACACTAAATCGTTGAAATTACTTAAACTAAATCTTTTATTTACAATCACAATAATTTGTTTTGTCATAATGTCTTTTAATAATAAATCAAATAAATTTGAACGAGGTCTGCCCCTCCTTCCTTTGTAGTCAAAACATCCTAAACATGCAAATCTGAAAGATAAGAAGGCGGGAGTGTCATCACCGCTTCTGAGAACGTGCCCAAGCATCTTCCATCTTGCTTTCTTGATCCTTTCAGTAAGGGGTCTGACATTACATCTCTTATATAAATTCTCGTTGCTGATAACCGTAGGCCAATAGGTGTTGATTATCTGTCTCAGATGCTTCCTTTGGAGAACGTCGACAGATGCCATTACGGTTTCAGGAGCAGCCCAGCTGCTACAGTTATACAGCAACACTGAAGTGACAAGAGCTTCGTACAGCTTCAGCTTTCTACTCTCACTGATCTGAACAGAGCTATTCAACCAGACTTTCTTGTAGGTGTAGAAGGCAACATTGGCTTTGTTGCGTCTGTTGACAATATCTCTTTCTGAACAGAGCTTTGATCCTAATAGCACTGACTCTCGCCACTCTTCATCTCCTCTAATTTTATTGCCATGGGCATCTAAAGCATCTGTATCTGCCAGATACACTCTTGTAAACACCGTCTTTGATTCGTTAACAAAGAGACTCCAATCCTTTAGTATATCACTGGCAATCTCTAGTATCTTCACCCGGCTCTGACCATCTTCACTCAGAAGCTCAGCATCGTCAGCATAGGCGGACTCTAACGGGAGGCCTCTATCAGAGACTGGGGGGTTCGGTCTAGGAATCGTGACACTGATCACGGCTCTGATGTGATTCAGGGCACCGGCAAGGGTCAATGTAAACACTTTACCTGCCAGACTGTCTCCCTGGTAAGCGCCAATATTAATCACAAATTCACCAGACTCAGATCTGTTGACCGTCACCTTGAGCTTTGTATTTGAGAGGAGGTACTGAACTAGGCGAATGTCGTCTCTAGAGCATCCTGCATCAATGAGGAGGTTGATGATGGTCTGTCTGCGGATAGTATTAAACGCAGCGGTCATGTCAATGTTGATTTTACTATACTCAAACTCGCGCCTGGTAACCACTGATGTCAACATTCTCTGAGACCATACCAGGTCAGCACAGCTGCGACCCTGCTTGTATGCCGCCTGCCAAGGCCCAGTGTACATATCAACGTGGTAATTGATTCTGTTCAAGGCTACGAGGGATAGGACTTTTCTAGTTCCATTTAGCAATGTGAGGGGCCGGATAGACTTTATCGGACCTCGGGGTTTTCCTGGCTTCTGAAGGGGTGTCAGGATACCTTCTCCAATAGCTGGGATGTATGTGTTGGTCTCAAAGGAGAGATTATAGATCCTAGCCAACTCACAGTGGAGGGGATATCCAGCAGCTTTCATTAGCTCATTAGGTATACCGTCAGGGCCACACGCTCTACCGGATTTCAGCTTCATAACAGCACGGCCAACTTCTTCAGGTGTTATGGGACAGAGGAGGCTTCCAGGAGGGTCTATGAATGCTGGGAGGTGGGGTTCATCTTTGTCATTGAACTCATTATTAAAGTATTCTTTAATAGCTTCTGCTTTTAATGAGTCAGAACCTAAGGTATTCCTTACATAGACGTGAATATCTTGAATATTTATCGAATAATGATAATCTCAAATTTCAAGACATATTAATGTCAATTAATGTCAATTAATGTCAATTAATGTCAATTAATGTCAATTAATGTCAATTAATGTCAATTAATGTCAATTAATGTCAATTAATGTCAATTAATGTCAATTAATGTCAATGTCAGTTTGGGGTTTTTATGGAATACTGACATTAATTGACGTTGCATCACCCCCCATATCATATAGGGGGGGGGGGTGTGAAAAACTACATAACACCACCCCGCCTAATACCGTTCAATGGTATATAGTCCTGTACCTGAACTAATAGTTTTTTAATCAGCTACTTCTACTGACAAAACACCTGCTGATAGTTGGGAACGTTTTAGGACATGTTTACAACCCACACCATGCACCAATCAACAGATAGTATGACTCTGCTATCTGCTGAATACGCTCTAAAGTTGCTCTGTTCAACAGCTCAACAGTGGAGCTACTGATTGAGTAACATGTGTTAATATATCACATTGATTGAGTAACGATCCAAAAAAGTGCTTCACGTCCACACTCCACATGTAACGATCAAATAACAAGACCTGTCAAAAACACAGCTACAAACGATCCCGACAGCCTATTTCAAAGGGATCGGATTCTAAGGACGACTTATTTTGTATAATTAACTTTTAAAAACAACTTATAGCCTGGTTTCTGATGCTTCCAATAGAATGTTCTAGTTTGTATGTTGCAACTTCAATTGTCAATCTAGAGAAGGCTGTGGAACTATTCGTTGGAACTACTAATGTCAATTTTTAAGTGTACAGCTTACAATCGCGAGATGAGTAGTTACTGGTTATTTTTATCACATTTAAGGCAAAGTTTTCGTGTGGTTTTTTAAAGCTTTTTACAATAGTGGAGTTGGCTTTTTTCGTTAGGATTGAATTAATTTTGTTGAACGAATGATGTAATTGTATTGTCAAATATACGTTAAAATGTCCCCTAAACATCTTATTAGGGGCCTGGTGCCTTCCCTGCTCGATCAACTGTACCTATGTGGCCTTTAAAGCATGAAGGTTTAAGGATCATCAGGGCTTCACTTCTGCTAAGTACATAATCTATAAATTGAATTCTCTTAGAAGAAAAGGAGCACCTGAGAGTAATCACACAGTTTTTAGTCTTTATAATTATAGCTTAGTATTTACCAGTATTTACCAGTATTTACCAGTATTTACCAGTATTTACCAGTATTTACCAGTATTTACTCATCATTTACCGGATAATCCTATTAAAACCGTACACATTTAGGTTAGAGTTGAATTTATTTGACCCATATTAAGATAATTTAGAGGTGCAATATGAGTATGGCCGTAAATTATTTTTCTTGGCTCAGCGAATTAGTTTAGAAATATCAATTCACCTTTGAAACATGACCATAATTTAGGGTTGATTCCTATTATATTATATTGTATCCTATTATATTATATCGAAATTAATTTGTGTAACGTTATGGTGGATTATTATAGCTATTGCACAAGTTTTAAATTTGATGTTTCATTTTTCAAACGTTTGTACACAGCTTATTAAATACTTATCCGTTTTATTTCAAGTATTATATTTATAAGGTTCAGTGAAGCAGACCATTTAACTAAATTTAGCCAAAAGTTATTGAATTTAAACGAATCACTGGTGATGATGCTGTTAAATTTAATTGTGGTTATGAACAGCCCCCTAATGACTCTACAGGGCACAGCCACTTGCAGTTTCGAAAGTGCCCTTTTTGAGCGAAAACTGCATCACACAAATCGAATTCCTGTAGGTGGAACAGTTGGGATGAAATTAAATAAGAAAATAGAGCGTCATATCACTGGTCATTGGTTGAACATCTGTGTCTTTCTGACATTTTGCCGGACCTTTACCTTTGGAACCTCCCAAATTGTCACGTTACCATGGGGCGTTACCATGGTGGTGCCGCTATTAAGTGGTTACCTGGTGGTGCCGCTATTAAGTGGTTACCTGGTAATCGATAGTTTGTATTTTAGCAAATAAGCCATTTTGATCTCGTTAATTTTAAAGATGAATAAGCTAAGTTGACATTATTAGTATTGCTAAATCACTTTATAGCAGGTCATTGCAGACCCCCTACGGCCTACAGTTGTCCGATCCCAGTTACTTACCAAATAAACTATTCTATCAAGATGAACGAGTTGGTAAGGATTGAAAACACAAAGCAGAGCTTCTCTGAAGACTGGTCTCCCGCAACTAGACCTCTCCTCATCGTCCTAACTGCTGTTATATGTCTTGTTGGCTTCTTAGGTTAGTCTTCTTATACTTCTCTCTGCCGAACTAACTTTCAAAATAAAATTAATTCGAACATTTGTCTCCTTTCTATAACAACCCTATGATATGAGTGCCAAGTTTCTATGGCAACCCAACATTACGACCGCCATGTTTTGTAAGTTAACACACAGTGAGTGTTTGCAGGGAACTGCCTAGTGCTGCATGGTTCACTACACTACAACGCTCTGCGACTAGAGAAGATCAGTAGGTCGCTAGTACAGAGTATAGCTCTGTGCGACGCCCTGGCTTCTCTTCTCCTTTACTTCCCAGTTGTAGTGACTCTGATATCAGATAGATGGGTGCTGGGTCAGGCTGTGTGCTTTGTAGTCGCTCACTCTAACTACCTTCTAGTCCTCAACGAGATCTGGCTTGTTCTGTTCATGTCAGGGTATAGAATCTGGGTGCTCAAGAAACCAAAGGGACACAGGTTGGAAATTGCTAAATAGTTGCCCTTCAAAACTTGCCTGCTTCAAGAGTAGAGATTCAGTTCTACTATCTAGGAATAACAGATACTAAGTTTTATGTTTCCTTCTAGAGTTGATCGCACATGTAACACTAGCTATGCACTAGTGATCACGTTCGAACTGATTATATCGCACAGGTTATCCAAGAGGAGTGTGTGGATTGTAGCAGGTATCCAGTTGGGTCTCTCTATAGTGTTATTAGTTTACTCGCTCTGCATGAAGATAACAGCAGAATACCGCAGCATCTCTTGTGACACTAACCTCTACTACGATAAGGAAGCGTGAGTAACAGATTGTATCATAGCTTTAAAATTTAATCACAAATAATTCCATATATAATGGGACAGTAGCTAATGGAAACGCGCACTCACACGTGCAAATATTATAGCTGAAAGTTGTTTCCCTCAGGTATGGAGGGTACCTCACAATAGCTATCCTGATAATCCCTCTAGTCTGCATCCTCATTCTCAACACCTTCCTCCTCTTCAGTGTGTGTCTCACCAACAAGGCCTCCCACAGATCCCTGAGCAGCGTCAGGAAGCCCACCATCATGCTGTCCCTGGTGACCCTGATAGAGCTAGTCTCCCTGGTTCCTGTGGTCTACATGATAATGCTCTCCCACACAGACCCCCGTAACACCTGGTTACGGAGCAACCTGGCCTGGTTTAGGATACTAGCTGTGTACATGGTATCTCTAAACGTATGTAGCAACCCTGTTATCTACCTGGCTACTAACAGGTCCTTCAGAGGCTATGTCAGGGGGATCCTGCAGTGTAAGAGGGCCGTGAAGAACAATAGTGTGGTTTCTAGAGAGTTTAAGAGTACCACAGTGGTCCAGAACAGACTCTCCACTTGACACAGTGAATAGGATTAACGACTTTTACAGTTGATATGAAGTTGTGTTATTGAATAAAATGTTTAGAAATTGATGTTATTTACAATTTTATGAAAGATGTACAATTATTAACCAAATTAAACAATTTAAGTTTTCTTGATTCCCTTATTATATAACTCTATCACATGTGCTGATTTCCACAGACTTTATTGCACGAGACATTGGAGCAGATGATGCTTTAAGAACGCCAGATGCAATAAGTGATATTTAACGACTTATTAATATCAAGAATTTGTGGGACTTGTAAACAAGTGCTCCTGAAGGCCGGAAAATAGCAGACTGTAGCGGTATTCTGTGTCACACGATAGCCTTGAGAGACCACGTGATAGCCTTGGCTCTTATCATGAGACCACGTGATTACGACTAAAAACCAGTAATGTAGAAGTTAAAGTGCAAATATTTAAATAACTCAAACAAATGACACCTGTGCAGTGTTAAGAGTAGTTCGTCAACTTTCCTGCAATATTTGCTGCCTTCTATCCTGTTTAAGAACTGTTTGTCACTAAAATTATATCTATTTCAGCTGAGCCGAGAATATTAGAGGTTTAAATAAATTTGTAAATGACATCTCCTCATTCAGTTAAGCAAATAAACCTTGCTGTCTTATACCTCCACCAAGGCAATTGTACAACATGAAAATAATTTACATTTTATTAATAGCGCTCTACAAACTCTCTACCACAGCAATAATCAGACCAGCTGTAGTCGAGAAGTAGAAATGTGTGGTTCCTAATCAGTAATCGGGACCTTCCTTCAAGTCGTGAGCCTCCCCTCGTTTAGCCTCCCCTCGTTGTGAGTCTCACTACTCATTCAGTTAGTTATCTTCTTGTTATTTACTTTCCGAATCGAAACATTACTTATTGTGCAACTTATTATTTACTTACGTTATTGGACAATGGTGATAGTTCGTTCAAATCTCGTTGTAGGAAGACTCAACAATATTGTAATAAAACAGATTTCAGAAGTACCGCCGTCTTGAGAATTAGCGGACGCCAGATTTCCATCAACCGTAATTAATTACAATTAACGATCGTTTCATATTGGTCAAATTACCAAATAATGCTTCTTCATTCACCATTCTTGGGGCGCTACGGAGCACAAAATGGACGGGTTGCCATTGTCGATTATTCAAATTTAAAAAGATAAATGACCGGACACCGTAGCCTGTGTGGTGATATCAAAAATTAAAGTTCTGTTTAAATCTCAGTTGGTATTCGATTTCATCTTTAATACTAATTAACTTCGGTTCAGTGTGTTTTTGTCCGGGCCTTGCCTGCTGGCCCTACCATGGCTCTCAAGCTTGGGCAGGTTAGACTTATGTATTATATATATATACTAATTACCTTACTGCATCAGCCGTAAATTCAGTTTATTTTGGATTGTCCATGTTCGAATGACCGCTATCTTTTGCTGAGAGTTTTAACACCCAGTCTTTAATTAAAGGCTGTTGAGTGAACAATTTTCTTGTTACCAACGAATAAATTCTTATCGAATTAATGGCTTTGAATTCTAAGAACTAGCAGGAACCCGTCTAACTCTAAAGTGGTGTCAAGACTCAAGAGAATGAAATAATCATTACCTATTTAATTCGAGTTTTTGACACCACTTGGGGATCCAAATTTTGGGCATTAAAATCATTATTCCTTGGCCTTTTTTTATTTTTGCATGCTGATTTAAAGGCCATTAAAGCATTTGAACCAGTGAAAAAAGTTTAACTTGTATATCTTTTGCGGAAAGTCGTGTTAAAGTTGATGCCGTGGTGTCAGTAAAATGGTACGGATATATATTATATATATACAAATATAGTAAGATACACCGCCGAATTCGTAAGTTATAAATTACAGTTAAACTGTTAAAGATGGAGAAACCCACTTTGTAAGGGTTCGTGAAAGCCTTATAGTAAAACAAATTACATTTACAACACTACAAACTTACAACAAATATTTAGGATGATATAGAAGGAATATATTTAACACAGATTTGTTGCAAGTAGAATTATTGTTCACTTTAGCCTCACCTGCTACGGCTAAATCTTGCTAGTGATTATTAATTCCGCGCTAGCTGATCATTCAGTCACTGTGTAATGTGGTAAAAAATAAGATTTCTTCAGAATCCTTTCAAAAATCTTTCAATACTCAGTACCCTGATAGTGTTGCTTTATTCGGTAACTATATAATGAATAATTGTGCATATTAACGTAACTGTGCAGACAGTTTAAGTAACCCACACAGCCCCGTGCTATCATACTACTATTAATTAACTAACTACATTTATGATATTATTTTTATTAACAAATGAGACTTCATGGTTTGACTAGACGGAGTTACAATATTACAATAATATAATAGTAGTAACTAGTATCACTGTATCTGTGAAAATGGTTTAAAAGTTCCCCGTCAGCTCTTTTTTGTTTGTTCGTTTATTTGTCTGCTTTTATGTAAAGAGTAATTAATAATCATAATATGGGAAAATGTTCCCTTTTTCTCTGATCCTAGTTCTATTTGGAAGAAACAGTGGCGACTTGTGAGTTGTGTGTCAATTTATCAATCCAACTTATAAGCTGTTTTACTAAACACCCTAATTCACTTAATATAAACGATATTTTCTTCCGTCGTGTTTGTCTGTTATCTCAGAGTGATTTATTAATGTAATTTGAAAAGATTGACTTAGAATTTAATTTAGTAGTAGTTTAGATTCATCTTGCCACTATTTGCTTCCCTAGCAATTATCAGAACAGCAGTGTTTTTTCAACTCTGGATTTTTTATTCCATTTCTAAAAATCTGCGTTGTTTATAAAAGTAACTGTTAATAGGCAGATAATCAGGCAGATATTACCACCCTGGTAATATCCAGGCAGTTTACCCGTACTGTCAACAATCTAGAATTGGTAAACGTTTAATAGCAGCAATTCAATCATGGGGCCTGTTTACTGTTTACCCCAGACCAATTCATTACCGAATCAGCTAATTAAGTTACAACATTCGTCCTTTTTTCTGTTATAAATGTGTAATGTAATATATTTAAAATCTGGTTTATTAGACTAACTAAACTTCAGTGCAATTTTAAAAGGTATAATCTGGTCCCGGTATAGAATTACCCCTCCAGATTCACAGAATTATGCCTATTTGACAAATTTTGTAAGCCTATGGGGAGCCGTGTACGGTGGCTTACAGTAACGTAGGGGGTAGGGGGCCGGGGGTTTATGGTAAATCTGACTCATGTAATATGTGACCGACCCCATTATGTATTTTCAATATTTTAAAGTTTTTAACCATATCTTGTAAGCTTACACAACTGTTATAGAACAGTCTTCCAACAGGTCAGAACACGTTTTTTCTTTTGTCTTTGACTGTTTATACTTTATAAAGTATAAACTATAAATAGTTGAGTAGTTATATGTATTCGACACGAATCCTGTACTAAGAGTTTCCTTCAATTCTTCCTGCGATTTGTTTAAATCGTTCACTTTGTGATTTTAATATGTCAGTAGTTTGTTCTGAAACTTCCTCTTATTATTTGTTGACGATTTAAGAAATAAGTCGGCCTTGACTGTAAGATGATTGATTGTATCACTAACATGTACCAACGCTTTGTTGGTCTACTTGTAAATTGTAAATTTGCTCCTGATTTTGAATAAAATATTATGTGACAGCTTATACCTTTTGCGTTATCATTCAGTTAAAGATCTAACAATAAATTTCGAAAACGAAGAAAAAAGAACAGTTGAAATGTTAGCCGGGCATTGTTAGTAAATTCTTCGTGTTATTGTGCAGATCAAAAGCATGTATTTGCGTTATCAATCAACTTAAAACATATAAACATTAAACATGGCAATTGGAGATTTTAAAGTTACCACTTCTCTGGTGGTTGTTAGTTGTGTATCTGTGTTAATTGGATCCAACATGTCAGAGCTACTCTAATGTCACACGGTGCTATAAGCTTGCTGTTAATTACTTGATGAAGTATGGTGGTGACTTGGATCCCCACGGGTACCAGCCTGTTGTTAACTAAGTGTCTAACTAAGTGACTAACTAAGTGACTAACTGTCCATAATCGCAGTATTTTAATCGCAGTATGATAAAAGCGCTTAATATCGTGTCGTGCTTCTTCTCCAATTTGATAACACGTATCCCTTAAGCGCTCGATTCCAAATAACTGTGGGGCTCTCTGACCTACTGATATCTTATCGCCTGTTAGAGCTACTATTAACTGTGCTCTATGGGGGCAAGTGGTTTTAATTCTGCTTTCCTACTAAATTTAGCTCGAAAGTGTGATAATATTATCTTTTTCCTAATAATACGCAATTATTATTAGTATTCACGTAATTATAATGGTTTCTGGACGAACTACCAACTATCTTAATTTAAATGCACGTGCGACGCCAAATTTGCACGAGCATTTCTAACTCCTTCTAGCTAACAGAAGTTAAAACTGTATAAATTACACGGCTTAAGGCCAGTAGTTTACTCAATCATTAATAATAAGCCGTAAAATTAATCCTATTCGCATTACCAGAGAGGCATCGTGTAATATTTAACTTCCGAATTATAAATAATGGGAGTTCACACCTGTTAGATTGTAAAATATTGTAAGCTAATATTCTTGCTGGGCACCCAACAGATCATAAGCAGGCCCTTGGCAGGTGTCTTGGACAGGTGTTCTATTATAGATGGTGTTCCATTAAAGATTTTAGAAAGATCGCTTTCTATAAATAAAATTCGTATATAATACGACTCTGTTTCTTATAAAAAGCTACTATTCAATATTTAGTCGTACTTAAATCTCTTAAGTGCCCTCAGCTTGTTAACTAGCGCGAGCGCTATTTCCATTTGCTGAGATGAGCTATAAAAGGAGAAGGCTTTAAAATATAAGTGTCTAAGATTTCGTTTACAACTTTTAAAAATCTCATTAATACATAAAGAGACTAAACAAATATTGCTTAATACATTACTTTTCATTAGTCTCTTAACATGAATCTTAATACGCTTAGTTCGCTGTATTGCACTCAGATTACAAGTTTAATACAGCGGTGCTTAATTTATCACATTGTTGCCTAACTACAAGCTCGTTATAAGCTCGGTTTCTTTATTTTCATTCAGTTATACTTGTTTTGTTCTTTGTTGTCTGAGGTGGACAAATCTAAACTTTGTTCTGAAGTTTAGCACACTTCTTTTCTCTCAGCGAAACCAAGGCAATTAGAAATATACTGGAAAACATAAACTGGAAACAAAAAATCAGCGTTTATTTGCGACGTTCTTCGTTTTGTAAATTATACAATATGCCACTTTTCTCGTGGGGTAATTACTAAACACCCTAATTCACAAACGATATTTATAATAAAAATAGTCTAAACAAACTTTGTTTCTGATTGACTTAACTGATAAGATCGAGTTTTTGTAAGCCATGCGTGTTATTATTGGAAATTATGTGCTATTAATTAAATCATGCCTTTACAATCATGTCTTTCTACATATATCATGTCATTTCCTAGTTTGGTCAATTATACTTTTACTCAGTATTTCTTCACCAGTTTAATATTGAACACACATATCTCTCATCCCACTGTCCAGGTGCGATGTTCCCTGGCTTTGTGAACTTAACCTACTCAGAGGTGGATATATCCCAGAGCTGGATCAGTGCGACCAGACCCGTCCTTATCACACTAACAACACTTATCTGCGCTACTGGTATTGTAGGTCAGTAATCACACTAACAACACTTATCTGCGCTACTGGTATTATAGGTCAGTAATCACACTAACAACACTTATCTGCGCTACTGGTATTATAGGTCAGTAATCACACTAACAACACTTATCTGCGCTACTGGTATTATAGGTCAGTAATCACACTAACAACACTTATCTGCGCTACTGGTATTATAGGTCAGTAATCACACTAACAACACTTATCTGCGCCACTGGTATTATAGGTCAGTAATCACACTAACAACACTTATCTGCGCTACTGGTATTTTAGGTCAGTAATCACACTAACAACACTTATCTGCGCTACTGGTATTATAGGTCAGTAATCACACTAACAACACTTATCTGCGCTACTGGTATTATAGGTCAGTAATCACACTAACAACACTTATCTGCGCTACTGGTATTATAGGTCAGTAATCACACTAACAACACTTATCTGCGCTAATGGTATTATAGGTCAGTAATCACACTAACAACACTTATCTGCGCTACTGGTATTATAGGTCAGTAATCAAACTAACAACACTTATCTGCGCTACTGGTATTATAGGTCAGTAATCAAACTAACAACACTTATCTGCGCTACTGGTATTTTAGGTCAGTAATCACACTAACAACACTTATCTGCGCTACTGGTATTATAGGTCAGTAATCACACTAACAACACTTATCTGCGCTACTGGTATTATAGGTCAGTAATCACACTAACAACACTTATCTGCGCCACTGGTATTATAGGTCAGTAATCACACTAACAACACTTATCTGCGCTACTGGTATTATAGGTCAGTAATCACACTAACAACACTTATCTGCGCTACTGGTATTATAGGTCAGTAATCACACTAACAACACTTATCTGCGCTACTGGTATTATAGGTCAGTAATCACACTAACAACACTTATCTGCGCTACTGGTATTATAGGTCAGTAATCACACTAACAACACTTATCTGCGCTAATGGTATTATAGGTCAGTAATCACACTAACAACACTTATCTGCGCTACTGGTATTATAGGTCAGTAATCACACTAACAACACTTATCTGCGCTACTGGTATTATAGGTCAGTAATCACACTAACAACACTTATCTGCGCTACTGGTATTATAGGTCAGTAATCACACTAACAACACTTATCTGCGCCACTGGTATTATAGGTCAGTAATCACACTAACAACACTTATCTGCGCCACTGGTATTATAGGTCAGTAATCACACTAACAACACTTATCTGCGCTACTGGTATTATAGGTCAGTAATCACACTAACAACACTTATCTGCGCTACTGGTATTATAGGTCAGTAATCACACTAACAACACTTATCTGCGCTACTGGTATTATAGGTCAGTAATCACACTAACAACACTTATCTGCGCTACTGGTATTATAGGTCAGTAATCACACTAACAACACTTATCTGCGCTACTGGTATTATAGGTCATTAATCACACTAACAACACTTATCTGCGCTACTGGTATTATAGGTCAGTAATCACACTAATAACACTTATCTGCGCTACTGGTATTATAGGTCAGTAATCACACTAACAACACTTATCTGCGCTACTGGTATTATAGGTCAGTAATCACACTAACAACACTTATCTGCGCTACTGGTATTATAGGTCAGTAATCACACTAACAACACTTATCTGCGCCACTGGTATTATAGGTCAGTAATCACACTAACAACACTTATCTGCGCTACTGGTATTATAGGTCAGTAATCACACTAACAACACTTATCTGCGCTACTGGTATTATAGGTCAGTAATCACACTAACAACACTTATCTGCGCCACTGGTATTATAGGTCAGTAATCACACTAACAACACTTATCTGCGCTACTGGTATTATAGGTCAGTAATCACACTAACAACACTTATCTGCGCTACTGGTATTATAGGTCAGTAATCAAACTAACAACACTTATCTGCGCTACTGGTATTATAGGTCAGTAATCACACTAACAACACTTATCTGCGCTAATGGTATTATAGGTCAGTAATCACACTAATAACACTTATCTGCGCTACTGGTATTATAGGTCAGTAATCACACTAACAACACTTATCTGCGCTACTGGTATTATAGGTCAGTAATCACACTAACAACACTTATCTGCGCTAATGGTATTATAGGTCAGTAATCACACTAACAACACTTATCTGCGCTACTGGTATTATAGGTCAGTAATCACACTAACAACACTTATCTGCGCTACTGGTATTATAGGTCAGTAATCACACTAACAACACTTATCTGCGCCACTGGTATTATAGGTCAGTAATCACACTAACAACACTTATCTGCGCCACTGGTATTATAGGTCAGTAATCACACTAACATCACTTATCTGCGCTACTGGTATTATAGGTCAGTAATCACACTAACAACACTTATCTGCGCTACTGGTATTATAGGTCAGTAATCACACTAACAACACTTATCTGCGCTACTGGTATTATAGGTCATTAATCACACTAACAACACTTATCTGCGCTACTGGTATTATAGGTCAGTAATCACACTAACAACACTTATCTGCGCTACTGGTATTATAGGTCAGTAATCAAACTAACAACACTTATCTGCGCTACTGGTATTATAGGTCAGTAATCACACTAACAACACTTATCTGCGCTACTGGTATTATAGGTCAGTAATCACACTAACAACACTTATCTGCGCTACTGGTATTATAGGTCATTAATCACACTAACAACACTTATCTGCGCTACTGGTAGTATAGGTCAGTAATCACACTAACAACACTTATCTGCGCTACTGGTATTATAGGTCAGTAATCACACTAAGAAGTTAACACTTGGAACTCCTTCTTAACCCCTCTCTGTGTGTTCACAGTAGAAGACTACAAGAAAGACACGTTAAACCAGGTGGTTCCCTCAGGTAACACAGTAGTACTGTACGGGTCCGTGCAGCACAACGCTCTGAGACTGGAGACAGTGTCTAGGACCCTGGTACAATGTGTAGCAACATGTGACCTGCTAGCTGTGACCCTGGTCTACTCCACCATGTTAGTCACCCTTCTCTACCGCTCCTGGGTGCTGGGTCCTGTCCTCTGCTTCATCACGGGGCGTGCTGCTTACCTCATAGTGATGAATGAGGTGTGGTTGATACTGGCCCTGTCTCTCTACAGAGCGTGGAGACTTAAGCAGCCCAGAGGACGGGTGCTGGATAGGAGGGTGTTGGGTCTCATGGCTGTCGTGTTCCTGGTGCTGTCCATCGCACTGACTGTGCTCTCTATGGTTAAATCACCTGTTGTGTATTTCCCACAGAATCTGACATGTCTTACAGGCGACTTGTTTACTAGGTGAGTTGTTATCTCCATTTTCTATCTGATTTTCAACCTTTTTACATTGTAAAAATATCAACAGTAGCTAGATAGCACAATAATCCCTTTCTTCAGACAAGGTCGATATCTAGCGATCAGTCTTCAATTCCTACCACTGGTCCTGATCCTGGTTATCAACAAGTTCATCCAGATATCAGTGTACCGGACCAACAGTCGGAACAATAAACCGGTTTACAACATTAGAAAACCCTTACTAATGCTAACAGCAATGACGTATATTGAGCTAATCTCTCTGATACCTATAAACACACTAGTAATCATGCAGTCCCTAGACTCTGTTCCTCAAGTTTAGTTAGAGCATCTCTTGAGGGGATTATTCACTGGTTTCCTCTCTTTTCCATGTACATGGTATCACTTAATTCGTGTAGCAACTTTTTTATTTACATTTTGACGAATAATCGTTTCAGAAAGTTTTCAAAAAACCTGTTTACTTGCAATTTTTCAACTGTTAATGTTACCGACACTGTATCATCAGGAGCTGAATAATTTTCGCTTAATAATTTTATTTTGAGATGACGATGAATACGATTTATACGGTTTTTTTCAATATCGACTTCATAAATTTCTAGTTTTGTTTCAGATAATAGTTTTATACAATATTTAGTATTGATTTGTTTACACGAAATTAACCGTTATCGTCAGGCAACCCTCCCAAACCCCCCCTTAGAACCAGTACAAGACAACTAACAAGACTAACCCGGCAGATCCTATCCTTGAAAGGACTGAACTTCAGCTCTGATAACTGAGTCACTTCTCCGTAATCCATCTTAATTTGGTAGTTTCCAGCCAAAAACGCCTCACGCACTTTGTCAGGATTCAAATCTGCAAAACTGAAATAGTGATTTTGAACAAGTGATGAGAACCGAGTGATTGCTGGTATTACATGTGTGGATTAAATGCAGTGTTTAATATGGAAGTGGTAGTGAAAGTTATCAGCCAGATGTCACCTCAATTTGCGGGGACCAAATAAATGATATAAATAAGTTACATATTAAAATCAAGGCTCACGACTTAGCGTTAAATCAGCGGGCCCATTTCATGTTCGTAAAGGGGCCGACAACAGTAGAGAAGTCTGGTCTTACCTCTCGTAAATACGAAGGATCTCCTTTCTTGTGAAAAATGTCTCCAGCTGGTATATCTCCAACTGTTTCTCACTGATAAGCGCCGAGTCCGAGTTACCCATCCTAGATAATATAATGTACTAGTTTCTTGATTTCTAGAACAAATACCGTGCAGTTGAGATCGTATAGATTTTCAAATGTAAGAAACAATTTTCGTTATTTTTGGTACTTTATAAAGTAGACAATTAAAAATATCATAAAAACAAATAAATAAAGTAAATAAAAAGTGCTTAAATCTAAGCTAAAAACAAACTTCAAAAAAACATGAGTCACGTGGGTTGATGATTTAAGCTATACTAGCAGGAACCCGTCAAACCTTTAAGACTGGTGTCAAGGCTCTTTGGTGGCCGGATCAGTTTCCTACCCTAAAGTCTCCCAGCAAAAATAATTATTACCTATTTAATTCGCGTTTTTGACACCACTTGGGGGTCCAAATTTTGGGTACTAAAATTCTTATTCCTTGGCCGATTTTCGATTTTTTCATGCTGATTTGAAGGCCATTAAAGCATTTGAATCAGTAACAAAAGTTTCAGTTTTATATCTTGTACGTTTTTTGCGGAAATCCGTGTTAAAGTTGATGCCGTGGTGTCAGTAAAATGGTGCAGATAAATATATATATATCGTCTCGCTTTATATATAGTAAGATTATCATCTATAATTTGATAAGGTTTTTTTTCTGATACGTCACGATGGTTTGGTATCGTGTTCTCTGATGTGTCTTAATATTTCTACATTAGTAAACTGGAACATTTCTCCGCAATGCTCACAACTATACTCTTTAGTCGGTATCTTGCGAGTGCGCGCTGTCTCCATGGCAATTGCTGACTCTTCCTTCTTCTCCTCATCCTCTATCTTCCTCAATGAATCTTCCTCCTCCTCATCCTGGCACTTAGCCAGATGCTCACTTTTCTCCGCTAGACTGAATAAACCAGAGGTGCCACACAGTTTACAAGTCCACGCTCGTTTTAGGTAAACCTCCATCTCCGACGATCCAGAGTCCTGTACAATTTGGGGATCAAATAAAGTAATTATTTTTTCAAAAACCAATTTCTTAGTCAGAAATCTGTTATTTTAAGATATTCGAAGATATATGAGCTATTTGAAATATTGACGATTGGGTCAATTAAAACAAAAATGATCTCAACCATATAATAAAAATCACTTCAAATACATTTTAATAACCGTTTCAATACAGTAAATTTGAGAATCCAAAATCTGAAAATATCTACAAAAGTCAGGAACAAGCAACTGCCCCTAAAAAGTCTCTGAAAACAGCCGTATCAACAACAGGAAAAGGTGTGAGTTTGTCGAACTGTGCCTCACTAAAAACAGCGCTGAGGGTGGTGGGAGTGGCGGATAAAACATGTCCTCCTCTAGATAACTCCTCCGCTAACTCAGTCTGGTGGTTGTTCATTAGATCATCGTTTATAACGCAGATCAGAGGTTTACCCTTTCTGAGTACCTCCAGCGCTGTGCCAGCCCCCGCGTGAGCTATCACTAGGTCTGCACTCTCTATCTCACTCTGGATAGAAGGAGAGTAGTCAAAGTGTCGGATAGTCATGTCGGTTATTGGGGAGATGAGATGAGGGTATCTGCCCACCTGAGCAGTGAGGTGAGTGTAGCCGTGAGAGAGGAGGAGTTCTTGGAAGGAGGGGGAGGTGGTGGTGGATATGAGCTGCTCGAATGTTGTCGTGCCTACAGTCACAAACACCTTCGACATGCTACACTGAGGGAGGCGGTTAGTAACTTCAACACAGGAATACAGCTGTTAATTAACTAAAGAGAAACTGCAGTTTACCTGCACAGAGTTGATGGTGATGTTATCGTCCAGCTTCACGGCATGTTCATATCTCACCAGCCCTGAGAGCTCTGTGCTTCTCACTACACGTAACGTGTACACAACGTCAGTACGTAAGAAGGAGGAGAGGGCCTTCTGGAACCGCTTCTGTCTCTTGGAGAACTCTCGGGGGTCGGTCTGTGTGGAGAGAGGGGTGAGAGGGGTGAGAGAGGGGCTAATACAGAACAAGGGTATAAAACAACTTATTATTGATTGAAATTTGATTGAAAGCCCCTGGCCTCGTAAGGGAATTCTCTGATGGACTAATTTATTTCATACATGATAATTAGTTATAAATCAAGTTCAAGAAAAATATTTGCACGCTTGACTAAAATAAACGGTTAATTTTTTCCCGATCCATGACTCAAAGTGCCGAAGGCACAAAAGAGTCAAGGACAAGGGTTAGCGATCGAGGTTTTTTTTTGATATGGTAGCTTTGCGACCGTGCGACCGACCGTGCGTGCCTGCCCTCGCGCACTGTTATCGCCCACGTGACTACCTGCGCAAAGTTATTTTGCGCACAAATCTGAATTAAATAATTGTTGGCGCGCGGCGCTGAACTGACCAAGTACATTATTAATTTCACAATGTACATATCCCACTAGGCACTAGTTGATAGCATACTATTATTATTTTGAGTTACTATTACTATTTTGCACAGATCCGTGTCACTGTCGGGTGTCAGGTTGCATAAACAATAAGCATATATATACACGATTTTCAAATTCAATATGGAATTATATTAACTTGGTGGCGCTCGGCCTGTCACTCCGCTATATCTGCATGCTTATAAACAGTTAAAACTGGGATCTCCAGGTTGTATGGAATATGATAAAATACGCCATCACGGATCGGGAAATTGAGCGGCCATCCACAAAAAAAGCGGCCGCATTTCTTGTTAGATCTCACAATTCTGTGGTTAAGGACGTCAGCAACCATAGAACTCCACTTCTGACGGATCTTAACAGCTTTGTGGATGAGGTCCTCTATAGAGGTCTTGAGAGTGAATCTGAGCCACATATCACACACTATATCGGTACAATCACCGTTAGTAGATACTTCCTTGCACACTGAGATATAGCATTACTAATTCGTTATTAAATGATTAATTAACGAAACTACGATTAAGACAATATTGACAATCCTAAGTTGTATGGTATGACGAGGGTATGTTTTTTGTGCGAAATGCTGTTTTTTCTCTCAACTTAAACTTACTTTCAAGTTTGAAGTTTAAAGTTTCATAACGTACTAAGTAGTGCGGTGGTGAGTCCCTGTATCCTAGTAACGTTAGTAAGATAAGGTTTGTTAGTTTCCAGGAGAGTACTGTAAGCGAGGAGCTGTTCTGATTGTTTGTTGCTAGGATACAAGTCTTCGTGTAGAGTGTTAAAGATGCAGTTAGGGTGGAGCACTACAAAGTTCTTCCTTTGAGTGTGGAAGATGAAGTCTGACGGTTTCTTCTCCGAGTTGTGCTGAAATAAATACAGTTAGAGTCAATCTTAAACATCCTTGATTGTTGTGATCTTCATCCGATATACCAACGAATTTAAAGATGATTTCTAGAGTAAGATAATATCTGTTTATTGAGCAGCTGCCTCTTTAGTTTCTAGGCTTCTTCTTCTATCAGCAATCAAATAGTTTGCATTGCAGGTGTAAGCGCAGTAACCAAACTCCAACTAATATTACCAAGTGTTAGAATGATGCAATCAATATGTGCAAGCAACTCTGCTAACAAGCCCCCTCCATAGGAGTGGGGGTACTTATTCTGCGGTTATTGTAGTGTTTATTGGTTTCTTAGTGAGTTGTATCGAGATGAGAATAGGGCGCATCCTGGAGGTGGTGTTACTACCAGTTTGTTTAGTGATTGTTCTTATAAACTGCGACAGTTTTGGAGTGGCAAGACTCTACTCGACAACATGTCTTAGGTAGAACGCTATATTATCAACATTTTAGACAAAACTTCGCCCCATAGCAACATACGGAAAATTTTAAATTTCCTCGCAGATCAATCTTCTTGTGCAATTAAAAAAGAAAAAGTCAGGTCTTCTAAGAATTTCCTCTTTGGCACCAAATTTCCTCCAAAATCCAAAATTCCCTCGTATATTATCCACCGATCTGCTGTGTTTGTGGATGTGGGCCCATATCAACATCCCAAGCTACCTTGACAACACCCCCTATTACCGTGACACTACCCCAGGTCGCTACCTAACCCCAACATGGCTGACTGTGATAACGGTGGGGTATGTGAGGAGGTAAAGTGTGAGAATAAGAGTGTTTGTTATCTGGGATACAACAAGGAACAGAATGTGCGATACAGAGGCTGCATGCTCAGAGACAGGTATAGTTACCACCTCCCCCTCCCCCCACATCTTCTAGTGCTACCTCATCGAACGAGCTTTATAGCTTGATAATAGCGACTACATCTCAAGCTGTTATCTCCCTTCAGGTGCACTATACTAGTAAACAACACGATGGACACTGCGTCTGGTTGCAGGGAGACCCAATCAACAGACTTCAACGAGACCCAGTGTCTCTACTGCTGTTCTAACGAGGATAACTGTAACTTAGAGATGATTAACAGTGACCAGTGGCCAGTACCAGCTGTAGTGGTGGTTACTGCCCCACCTGTGGTTACACTGCCTCCTGTACCTCTCAACCTGACTCCCATACTGGCCGGGGCTGGGGGCACTCTGTTTGTTCTTATCATTATCATTATAGTAGTGTGCATATTGGTGGTGAGGGCAAGAAGAAGGAGGAAGAACCTGGCTCTACTAGTTCAGCAGCTGGAGAGGTTTAAGAGTAGACAGAATAACAAGAGCTTCGTTGATAAGGGTTTAGAAACTCTTAACCAGACTCTGGGGTTTAAGTCTGGGTCTGCAAGGACTGGGGGTAATGATACGTTGAAAAAGGGTGGGAAGTAGTTGGTTAAACTGATTTTTATTAACTTTTGAGATGTTAAATGTGAGGAGACCAACACTCTAACTTATTGAACTGGGATTTTACTGCAACTTTTCAAACAGGCAAACTTTCGCCAAGTAGATTTTTAGTAATTCAAAATAACATCGTATTTATTAAGCACAACTTGATGAATGACTTCAAGAAATCTTTTAATATTGCATAATTTTAAGACCTTTTTTGGATGATAGTGCCAGTGAAAATAAGAACTTATAAATATATTGTGGCCGGAGCTAGAATGTGTAACAAACAATTTCATCAAAATAAGTACGCGAGTTTGATGTCTCAATCATTTAAATGAATCACGAAGCAATAATAAGAAAATAAAATGTTCATGTTATTCAAAATGGTTATCATTGATTACAAAATTCCTATTTCACCACGACATTCATCTTTTCCGTTTATTTACGGGCATTCCTTTTTCTCATTAAAACTGAAAAAGTACTTCTCATCATCTAACATATCCTTGCTAACAATCAAATCATCAAATTTAACAACTTTTACATTATCTTCTACATGTTCCCTCGTGGAGTCCTCTCCCTGAACCGCAATGGTTATAAAGTGATTGTCGAGGTACACCTCCTCGAACCTCCAGTCTGAATCAATAACCCCGTCAATAGCAACCGTAGTCGTCCTACAGATATCGTCCTCCATTCGTCCTATATCAAACTCTATCTTGAGGAGCCCGAACTTGAGACCAGTACCAATAGCTTTAACATAACTCTCCTTCAAACACCAGTACCGGTAAAAGTTAAATAGTTTCCCTCTATCCGAGCCGGGAGAACGGATCCTTTGCCACTCAAAATCTGTAAATTGTCTTTTCATATGACCGAAAAACTGTTCAACTGTAGTATTTCTTCTGAGCTCCACTTTCATAACATCAACACCGACCTTAGCAGAGTTAGAGCCAGCAAAAGTAGCGTAATCACCCGCGTGAGAAACATTGAAACTAAGAGCAGTAAGAGTAGCAGGAGGGTTCACAAGATAGGGTTTACCGCTGGTATCCCGGGATAGAACAAAAGACTCTGGAAACGCCCCTGATAGTTGACTGAAACAGTTTCTCATGAGTAGTCTCCCTGCCATGGACTGTTTAGCATCACGTTTATACATGAACTGGGATATCCTGTCTCTCTCAGCTTCAGAGATGGTATTAGCAGCTCTCAGCCATTCAGTCTCAGTCGGGTTCCAGGTTGAGGTCTTCAGTGCTAGTCGGATCATGGCAGGAGAAATGCGGCAAGAGTTTAGTAGGGACGAAATGTTGGGAAGGTGTTATAACAACTAGGGAGGGGTGATACCACTGTGTGGTGCTGGGTAGCTGTGTAATGATACTGTTCAGGTGAATATCATGACGTCATCACTGCAATCGTTACACAACCGATACCATTGACCTATCATAACAGAACTGGTTAGTGAGAACTTTGTAGACAAACTTACACATTACTTACACTTAAAGTACTCTATTATTTATTTATTACAAAGCGAAATTAAGATATAAATGAAGAACATGTATGAGGAACATGTGTGTGATGTCATAGCAACGAAAGGAGTACAACGGTATGAGAGAATCGTTCCGCATAATTTCGCCAAGGCAGCTTCACCTAGGATCTATAATTATATTCTATAATGTACCATCTCTTACACAGCCATGGCTCGAGAGAAGCAATTATTGTATGTAAGCTAGACGTGTATGTACGCAGACGTGAAGGTTAAGATTCGACGAAACAAAACTCCAACGAGGTGTATTAGCTTGTGGTGTATTTGCTTGTGTAATCCATGATTAATAATTTGTATCTTCAATTAGTCACATTACCAAGTGGTACAGAATAATGAACTACAATTAATGGGATCTGCTTACCTGGTCCGATGTAGCAATGTTGGGGTAAAGTCCGAACACGGACACGAAGTTAAGAGTGTCCCGGACATGTCCGGATAGATCCAGGTTAGGTTGAGGGTTCGTCAGGAAGTACTCCATAGATGAGATGTTGTCCTCCTCCTTATCTGACAGTTCTTCCTAAACAGGAATTTCATTGTTTAATGTAAGCTTAATCTGTTAAGTGAACAATGCAAGAAAAAACAAACGATCAATGTACGCCCAAATCCCATAATACGTCGAAGTTCCAGGACTTGACCCCCCCCCCCCCAGAACTTACTTCAGACTCGTCTCCTGCTCGGTTCTTGCAGTGAGAAACCTTCAACATCTTCCTAGCTGGTTCCTCCAGTCGCTTCTTCCACTTTGCTCGGCGGATTGCCAGCACCTTTTCAGAGTCTAGGGTTTCTTGGGGGGTCGCTAAGGAGATGAGTGGCATATTAACGGTAATGAAGATGGAAAATCAATTCTAAAACAAAAAAGTTACAGCATATTACACTTCACAGTGTTTGCACTAATAGTTTGTCTGTTTACCCACCCAGATTGAGATGGTCTCTGAGAATGTCTCTAAATTGTCGCCTCAATTTGCTCATCTCGTACAGCTGTTGCTCTTTCAGCCCTCTTTTCTTACACCATTTCCTTGTATTGACTCCTTCGGACTTTTTCTGACAATTTAATGAGTTTAAAAAAAGAAATTTCATTAAGTAATGCATACTTGCATAGTTAAAAGTTTTTAAACTAGTACTTTAGTTAACACAACTGAACCCATGACAGTTACCTGCGACCACTCTTCGTAGATATTGAGGAGAGTGACGAGGTCTCCTTTTCCTGACTCCAACAGTGATCTGATCTGCAGTTCTTCACCTCTACAGTTACTTTTGTTGAACACCGACTGAAATAAAATATTTTCTTGATTTCTCTGCAGCGAATACTTAATCACAGATCAACAAAATGAATCAGTCAATAATTAAAGTTGAATTTATGTAAGGGTAGGTGAAACTTTACTATTATATAGCAATTTTTCCGACAGACACGTTCATAGTCATCTCAAAATATTTGTTATATAGCAGTTGTCAGCGTACCAAAGCTGTAAACTAGTGTAAATTAGTGTAAATTAGTGTAAATTAGTGTAAACTAGTGTTGATCTCTAAAATCAGACCTGGATATTGAGCCCAGCTGCAATAGTGAGAGCTGGCTCCAAGACCCCCATAACAGCAGCACTCAACAGTAGTTTACCCAGGGCTACTTCCACTGGGAGGCGAGCCAGTACTTCTCCAATTGAACTCAACTCATTCTCTGCAAAATAGTACGTGGTATTTGAATCTTAGGGTGTTTGGATGATTCACTTATCTTAGGTTTTCTGACTAGTTTAGGAAATAAACACACAATTGACATAGTTGTCAATAAGGTAGTGAAACATCTATCACAGTAGGTCGCTAGATTACCTGACTTAAGGGCGCCCTGTAGTTGCAGGAAGGATAGACTCTCGTTTAGGTTCGTAGCAGGAGGATGTTGGACAAACAGGAATGTTCTTATATCCAGTCCCATACTAGCCAACTGAAACGAATGAGAGATTTAGATACGCTGAGGTACATTGCCACCCCCCCTACAGTAGTCTGCTGTTCTATTGTGAGTAAACGACTAGCCGACTAGGTTACCCCTCACATCACCCTCCACGGTATCAGTATAAACTACACTAAACCTGCAGATTAGCGAGTCCAGGGGAACTCTCAGTATCTCAGGGGTCGGGTAGTCAGCGAAGGCGGCGAAATCCTCCTCTGAATATAACCTGTAACGTATGGCATGTTACATGAGCTTACTTAATACTTTACTTTAAAGGACGTCTCAGATTCGACACCAAACTACTGGACAGAGGGTAATTTTATTATCTCAGCCATTAGGCAGTTACAAGTCACCATAATTATATTCATTATGTAGTTCCTGGATGGGAACATAAAGGATTGTTATAATAGTATCCAACTGTACGTAAATGTTGTTGTCCGGGAAGATGATCACGTGATAGTTGTTATCAGTCACGTGATAGTTTTATAATTGTTACCTGAAGCAGACTCCAGGTCCAGTCCTCCCAGCTCTTCCTTTTCTCTGCTCCGCACTCGCTTTACTCACCCAGAACTCCTGCAACCTCTGTAACTTCTTGTTAGCGTCATACGCCATCTCCTTGAACTTACCTTGACAAACAAGATATTATCATACACTCACACAAATCAACTAGTCGCTAACAAGTGTACTACAAGTGTTGCTGTGAAATAGTTGGCAAAAAACAACCTTACATCAGGGGGGACAGGAGGGGGGTAGGAGGGGGGCGGGGGGGGGGGGGGGGGGGGGGGGGGGGGGTTCTCATGCTCATTTGTCTCACCTGAGTCAATAATGAATCTGACCCCATCAATAGTAAGGGAGGTCTCCGCAATATTTGTAGAGATAATACATTTTCTCACACCTGGAGATTACAGTATCAGTCATCAGAGAGTATATAAATTAGCTGAACATTAAGTACTGTTTGTACAATTAGTTTCACCTTGTTTCACATTTATCTCCTGGTTGATTAGGCTTCTTACCGGGGGGCGGGTAGTCGAACACTTTCTGCTGTTCCTCTACTGATAGGGAGCTGTGTAGTGGCAAAACCGCCCACCTGGGGTGGACTTGGAGTTAAAACAGTTATGATTATTTTAAACTTATTCAGCCAGTACACATATCCAACTCCTAGTTCTAAAACACACAGTTTTAAACTCACTTGCCTTGTTCAGCATCGTACTCTGTGATTGCCTCCGCTAACGTCATTATCTCAGCAAACCCACTAGCAAATATGAGCAAGTCTCCTCGCTCTTCCTTCGTGTACCTGGTTATTTACTTTCAGTATTTACTGCTATGGTTTAAGAGGCACTGTTTTATTGAACGTTCATGACGAAGGATTTATTTTTCCAGAGGTACTTAACATTTCCTCTTGGTTTTGGAGACAAATAGGATATCAATTATAAGAAACCTGGTGTCAATGAGTTGCAAGATGATGAGGTAGGGTTTAGGATTTATCTTAGCGGAGGTTGGTTTATCCGTTGCAGTCTCATGAGTAGGACAATATCTCATCTCAACCGGGTGCATTCTCCCTGGAACCGTTATCAGAGGAGAGTCTGTGGTTATACAGTGTTAATATAGCGCTATATAGCGTTATACAGTGTTAATATAGTGGTGGTAGAACTTTGGAAGGCACTCTTTGGTAAAATGAAAATATCTTGCAGAGAAACTGACAGAAATAAGAGGTGTATTTACCTGGTAAGTATGTTTTAAAGAGCTCGAGATTCATGGTAGCGCTCATAAGCACCACTCTTATCTCAGGTCGTCGCTCAACGATCCCCTTTAATATACCAAGCAGCAAATCACCGTGTAAATGCCTTTCGTGTACCTGAAACAGCGGTAATACAGATTGTGTGGTATAGTAGCTAGGTAAGTGGATTGTTGAGATATGGTGAGCCAAGCTGCAGCCCAGGGAAAAGCACGGCAATTAAAACCCCTGATACGACCAAAAGCTAACCAAGAACCACCAGTAAGTAGTAACCAGACTATTTCTACCGTTTGAGTAGATAAGTGACAAATCTTGTATGTATTCGAACAAAAGACGATTAAATCTTAAGAGAACTGTGTAAAGCTATCCGTTGTAGTACATAATACACGAGCGTGCTTTCACAGTCATCGCTGTGCACACTCAGAGATAATTCATGATCAACTCAACTAACCGCCCGGCCGGACTGAAAACGAGCGCGCGCGGAAAAGAAAAAAAGTTTCGCGCCGATGCTACATATTCATGTCATCGCGTCTTCCCTTTACGTTGAATTCCATATGGTACCGTTTAAATAAGTGGCAAATAGTTAGGCAAATAGTTAGAAGGATTTTATAAACACGAAGAAATGAAAATTAAGTCTTAAAGTTGAGATAATCAAGGTTTTACAATATCTCACAAACCTCATCAAGGATAATGAGATCGTAGGCGTGAAGTTCAGTGTCGTTCTGTAGCTGTCGGAGCAACAGACCTTCTGTCAGGAATCTTAGTTTCGTGTTTGAGTACAACATTTGGTCGAATCTCACCTGGAATACGTGGAATTTGGTATTGTTGACAGGAAATTTGGAGGAAGTTGATGAGGAAATAAAAACACCAAGTCAGGAAGTGTATGTGATAATGTGAGAGTTTGTAAGTACCTGGTATCCAATATCCTGTCCGTACTTATTAAAGGTCTCCTGGCTGACGCGAGTAGCGAGAGAGACGCACGCTATACGACGGGGCTGAGTGCACGCTACACTCTGGTAGCCACATTCTAGGAAGTACTGCGGGACTTGGGTACTTTTACCACAGCCTGTGTCACCTGGGATATTAGGCGGTTAGTATCAAATTCTAGTACAGATTTATACAGTACAGACAATGTTCACTAAATAACTGTGTGTTAATAGAAAATCGAGATAATTTGAACTGACTTAGAACATACCTGCGATAATAGTTATAGGGTTGCTGTTCACAGTTCTTATTATCTCATCCTTAAACTTGTAAATTGGGAGCTCCTTCTGATACTCAATCTGTTTTGTTATCTTCTTGAAAGTCTGTTTAGTTTTAAACTGAACATAATGCCGTAGAGCCTCGTGGAACTGCTCTGATTTCTGCTTGTCATCCTCTTCTCTGTTAGATATACATACAAAAGGTACAGTGTGGTCAGTATTGAAAGTGGAGGGAACTCCTAGTTGATTCTTTTTAACCGGGTAGGAGACGGGAGGTTGTCTTTGCTTGAACTTGTTGAATTTCTGATGAAAGTTCCAGAAGTCAGGGAGGTCAGTGGAGGATGGTTTGATGTAACTGTTAGAGTGGATGTAACTGTATGTTCTCTGAGTGTTGCTGGGGTGGTTTGTAGCACCTCTGTGGGTGTTTTCCATTGGCTAAATCATTTATTGCTGAGGAAATAAGTTCTTAATTAGGTTTAACTTGGAAACTTAAAACTGTCCAGGAGGCTTTTAAGCAGAGCAAGGTTTGGGTGAGCCTCCTAGTTACTACATATACAAAAATGGATAAATTATTATAAGATAGAACTTTGTAATACAAACAAATGTGCGTTTGAATCTCTATACAATAAGATTATATAATATAAATCAATAAATATCTGATTATTTATACATTACAATTTTAATAAAAAGTCTGATTATTATTCTTCGATTAAAAGCTCTAAACAACGGACAGTTTTAATAAAAACGTCTGATCAAATTAAAATCTCTAAACAGCAGACAGTTATAAAACGGCACCAAAGCCTAATTTTTGCTTAAATTTGAAATGAAATCATCTAATTAAAATGACAGTTAATTTTGCCAATAATTCTAACATAACTATCAGGCAGACTGTTCCTCGACACAGTCTTCCTCTCCGAGCTGACAATGTCCTGACTCTACTTTGTCTAACAAGAGAGGAGCAGTGAAGTACATCAACATAGAGCCTAGAGGGGCGGACACCAGGATAATAAGCACAGCAACAGTAACTATAGTCCTACTGTAACCCATAACAACCTCCTCTTCGCCCTTCTCTACAGCTACTGCTAGTGCGTACGAACCTATAGCTGCCTGCACTGTAGCTTTAGGGATCCAGGAGAAGCTAACAAATACCTTCTCTTTAACAGTAAGTCCTGTCCAGGATACAGCCAGGAAAGCAGTGATAAGTCTGAAAAACAGAGCCACAAAGATAATAATCAGAGACTTCCACATTATTTCAGGGGTGATGAACTCAAACTGTATATCCCGCCCTACAAGCCCAAACAGGAGAGGCTCTCCCAGCACCCACAAACAATCAACTACTCCAGTAACAGTAGAGTCCTCGCCCCACCCCTTTACAGCAGTTAGAGACATCACTATAACAGACAGAGGACCTGACCCGTTAAACCCTATATAACTCATCCCAAAAACTGAGCACAAACCAAACGACAATAACAACAAGGAGCGCAGTCTACTGTCCACTTTACCAGAGCTAACAGGAGGAACTAACCACAGGATAACACCCGATACCACTCCTAAAGCTGTTCCTAGCACTATCTCCAGTGGTCCTTGCAGGATCTGGAGGTATAGCGGCTTATCAGAGGTAAAGGCAGAAGATAGACACACCATGTAGGCACTGATTGCCAACACGTCGTCAAAAGAGGAAGCAGATATCAACATGGTGGTTATGTTGTTTTCCTCGATCTTAAACTTCCTCTTCTTCAGTTCATCTAGACAAGGTACTATGATGGCTGGAGTCACCGCTGCTATCACAAAACCGAGTAAAAAGCCCCAAATCCATGGTAGGTCTAGCAGTAAAACAGACATTATCGCAAATACAGTAGCCTCTACAAAGCAAGGCAGGAAGGCAAGTCTAATAACAGCAAATCCAACTCTTTTTATATCCATGATATCTAAACTTAGTCCTCCCTTCATCAGAATCAGCATGAGTGATATGTTCTTGAGATCAGATGAAACTTGGGCATCAAGTACCGTCCACTCCTTAACCGTTGGTATGTTACTTAAACCAATACCTACGAGTAACATACCCAGCATGGGCGGAATGTTGATGAGTTTTAGACATTGTCCAGCTATCATAGCTAAAATAAGGAGTACGAAGAGGGAGAAGATAGGACCCCCAGATTGTGACAGAGTGGTAGTAGTGACGTAACATGTTGTGTAGAGTGTTATCACCAGGAGCAATAGTGCTAATAACTTCAGCAGTTTGTGAGGGCACCTCTTTAGGAAGCAGCCTTGGAGTGACTGGATATCAACCATGTTTCTAAAAAGGGTTCCAACCTGTGATACAGGGTTAGTGGGGGTATACATAGAGTATTATTGAGAAATATTGTGTTAGTGACGCTGATTACATTACGATGACAATAATATGGTGATTCTGTGTTCTTGCAAAACTGTTTGTAAAGCCTCAAAAAAGCTGGTAATGTTGATTTGTAAATTTAGCAAGACAATAATATTGAGCGATAGGGTACATCCGTACATGAGCCTGTATAATATGACACACATTAATACTGTGCACTAGCGAGGGTTTCCGTAATCTTTTGACTGTTATTATTTTGGTTTCCCAATCCAACCAAAAAAGTTCGTACAAACAAAAACAAAATCGTCATATCTGCCATAAAAACTAACAAAACCAACTTTGGAGCATCCCCTGCAAATTACAGTTTCTACTAAACTGATCCAATAGTTCTACTCAACAAATCTTTTAACAATAGCGAGTTCAGCTTTGCCACCATCGAAGAAAGAGAGAACCCTTCTATGCTGATACTTCAAACCTAACATAGCTCTCTTTGTGTAGACAAATATGTTAAGGGAACATATGAAAAATAGTACGAAATAAATTAACATTAACGAATTCATCATCACAATATCTACAGCTTTTCGGGTACCATCGAGGTCCTTCCAAAGTTTAATTATAACTTATATGTATACAGAATATAATATTTAAAATAGTTACACTAACTCTTGGTTTTATTAATATAACCCTTTTTATTGAGGTAGTATAAAATAGACAAGTCTAGAGGTAGTCTAGCCGGGGTTGACAACTCAGCCCCAACAAGAGAAATAACAACTTTAGATCCGGTTCCTGTGAGTATACTTTTATCCACATTAAGCTTATCAACCCAGTAATCTACATTAACATAGGTTTCAGTGGTAGCGAGAATCTCACTCATCTCAATACCATTAGATAGTAGGATATAGATGGCAGCTGCTGCAATTGCGTAGGTACAACTCTCAACTATGAGGAATGCTAGTCCGTACCGCTTTAATATACTCATCTTTGATGCTTTTTTGACTGGAACATTATAATTTGATGCTTTTTTGACTGGAACATTAGAGAAAGATCTGGTTTGAAAGAAAGGAGTGAGGACTATAATGTGTAGTCGAGAATGACCGGACAGTTCCGCAATGATTTGACAGAGGTTTAAGTGTGTAACCAGTACAATAAAGGGACATCTGACGAGGCTGGAAGACATGTTTTAGGTGGGACATATCTGTAAGGGAATTATTGGAGTCTTATACATATTGGCATAAACAATTTAGTAATGTGTTAGTTAAAATAATTTTAAAAATAATTCAATATGGTAAGACACAGACTTGCCTTATTGCAGATCTTTCTTAAAAGCAAAGCAATCAAAGTCAGTGAATTAATTTGATTCCTAAAATGGTTCAAGTATAGAATATAGAGTAGAATTATCAGTTTTCAATAAGTTTTCAATAAGTTAAATCAAGAACTTGGCCATTTGGGTACAAAAGATTGCGAAATTCATTACAAGTATAAAAGTAACATCGGCACTATAGAAGAATACAATTTACAAATAATTATAGCTAATAGATCGGGCCATAGGGTAATGTTATATATTAGTTCTCAACCCTGGCCCTGCAGTTAGCAGTAACTAATCCAGCTAATAGCACATCTAAGCTCACATTTCACAAGGTTTCATAGGATAATAATCCAGAAATAAGCTCTAAAACTTCACCACAAGTAATAACCCTAATTAACTAAGATTTGTTATTAAAGCCTCTAATAAACCCCCACTCAGTTAACACGAACAATAGCAACAGGTCCAGGTTGAGTCTGATGGGAGAAGTAATAGTGCAGCTAATAAGAGACAGGGACAAAGCAGCATTGTCTCCTGACAAATCAGCTAAGTTAATGTTAAACTTATTGGCCCAATACCACACATCAGTAACATGCTCCGCGTACAACAGTACCGTCTCCAGCTGTACCCCCGCTGAGAAGAGGAGGAAGAACACACCAAAAGAGGCGGCCCAGGTGCAACAGTCCACCACAGCAAATGCTACTCCGTACCTTTTCAGTCTTTTTGAAAGTGTCATTTTGGAGTTAGCGGTGGAGTCGGAGGTAGAAAAACAACGAGAGTTTGGTAACATAGTTGTGTTGAAGGGTGAGAGAGGGCTCTGGTGGAAGTGTAGAGAGAGAGGGCTCTGGTGGCAGTGAAGAGGCCGACATGTTGCCTGACAGAGAGACATGTTCATTGCATGATCAGTGCGAGCTCGGGTTATGGTCCTTTGAAGAGTGCCCACTAATCCTCTACACCGAGACATCTTGTAAGAGAGCTAGGAGGTGTATCTAGATTGTAGAGGTATTACAGTGTAGGATGACTGTGTCCCACTGTGTAAATAACACGCTGTTTCTCCTTCTCCCTCTCCTTCTCTCTTCACCATATGACTGGGCGGTAGTGAGTTAAACAAAAAGAGATTTACAATGTTATTCTATAATTTTATTGAAGATTTTTCGTGAAAAAAACAGTAGTTATTGGATAAATGTAAGATTACCCGTACAATAGTACTAGTAGGTGGTAGTTAATGTTCAATGTAATGGGTTCTATTATGCTATCCTCAATAAAACTAACGCCATTGAAAGCAAACGATTTCGTTCGCCAATGAACTTGATAAAATAGAATAATGACCTTAGAAAACAGTATTATTATAATATGATCATATTTGGAATAAAAAGACAGTCAGAAACGAATTCTCGCTTGAAGAAAATCTATCAATATTCAATAAGGTCAACATCTTAACGGGATTAGGTTCTGACATGGGCCCCAGCAATGTGAAATGTCTCAACCTTAAATTCTTACAAATATTTTGTTAACAATCTCACAAATAAAACAATCTTTCGTCATTCACCTCCTCCGCAAGCTTCCCTACAGCTCTCTGTTCTCTCCCAATGCAATGTAAGTACTTAAAGTTATTTAATTGTGCACTATCTGATTATTTCATCCCAAGATCCCTGCTCTTGTATTTTCTGCCCTGTCTCTCCAGCTCTCTCTGAATGTGTGAGGGCATCTTGCCCATTACTGAGATAGCGTACATTCCTCGTACCTAGGCAGAAGTACCAATATTAATATCAACATTATTATGTTAATCTAGTTTTTATAGTAGTATTTATTTCATAATCTTATAAAAAGTAGATCAACTGAATAAGTAGAACTCATCATGTACGAAAAGCAAATATAAATTAGAAGTGTAACTAACGAGGCCTCTGATGCCCTGCCATCTAGCTACCCAGCTTTCATCTGGGTTAGTGAGAGATATCATACCCTCGTAGTTTGGAGAGGTACATTCTAGAACACGCTCTCTGTTGTTCTTTAAACTCAACCTGAACGAACAGGTACAGTTCCCTGACTTACTGGATTACCATATAAACCTGATTATTAGATACTATAAAATAACTTAAACATTTAAGTTTAAAATCCTTCATTATAAGACTTACCATTGATCACAATTATCACAACCGTCAATGATAAACTGTTCAGTATTTTTTAGCAGAGAGCACATCATACATGCTCTAATATTATTCAGATCTTTTGGCACCACTTCCATCCTTGCTAAGTAACATGTTAGTTAACATTCAATTGTCATCACTCGATCATGATTGTATGTACTTATACATAACATCATAATCGATTGATACAAATTATAATACCATAATCGCTTGATAATCGATTAATGAAGAATTAATAACAAAATGTTATAGAGTATTTTGGAATAATGATAACAAAAATATGATTTGTCTATCAAACGTAATTATGCTATGATAAGCATAATTTAGTACAATTTACTCATAGAAACACGATATCCTTAATAAATCTCTAATTAATAAATTAGTTCTATATTATATATATAACAAAAGCAGTACATTATAAATACATATAAAACGAAAACAACTTACCATGCAAAAATCCAATAGAACAACTACTAATAATAAGGGTCACCCTGTAAAATAGCTACCCTGCTTTCAGAATAAAGCTAAAAAGAGAATACTTTACAATAATTCTAAATATTTCCTAAGCAAAACTCTTTTTACATTTTCTGCAGTCTATTATGTCTGATTAAAAGTATTGAGAAAATGTTAGTTCTGACCCAAGTTGTTAAGTTATAATGAAATATTAATGATATCCAACTAATGGGTTAAAAGCTAGTTATTTCTTCAGCTGAAGTCAATGCCTTGTGCCAAAGGTAGATCTTTGGAGTAGTTGATGGTACTGAAAAGAAGGGGAGAATTAACAAATTATCAAGATGTAATTAAGAGACTCTTTTAGTTTAATGAGCTCGTCCCCTTGATTAATTATCAGCTAATTAGCTCGTCCCCGGCCCTTAATTAATTATCAGCTAATAAGCAAGTAAAATAAGACTGACCAGGTAGCACGCCGACAGTACTGTTTCCAAGCATCACTGCCACTCTCCCGGCCTCCTCCAGTCTCCTTCTCCCCTCCAAACGCTCCTCCTATCTCCGCTCCGTTAGTTGGAATGTTTACATTACAAATACCACTGTCAGCTCCTCCGGCACCTACCCACCTGTAGTCACAGTTGTAGTCATTCTGTAGTCACAGTTGGTTACTTACTTTTACTGACAGTTGGTTATCAGTTATCTTGGTTAACTTTGTGAGTAGGTTTTAATACTACCCACCTGTACAGCTGTACTTGGTTATCATTTAACTTTGCGACTATGATCACATTTAACCTTTGATCACATTTAACCTTTGATCACATTTAACCTTTGATCATCATTTAACCTTTGAGGCTCTTATACTATCCAATGGGGGGGGGGGGGGGGGGGGCTAATGGCATAAAATGGCATAAAATGGAGACTTTTTCTATGGAGAAAATGGAAAAACCCATGAGTAATTCTCCATTTTCTCCATTTTATGCCATGAATTTTGTCTTCGAAATTTCATCTTAAACACCATTTAACACCTAAATTGGACATCCTAACATGTTTGTTTACGCTTACTAGGGGCGTAACAAGCTTATGAAAGCTCATAGTAGGCTACTAGATGCTTATACTAGGTTAGTAGAGGCACACTTCAGGCAAACTCATAATTACTCAAGCTTAGTGTAAAGTTATTGCTACAGGCTACAGCAGGAGTGAGTAATAGGGGAGAGTAATAGGCACTGAGAAGTGAGACCTACATCCTCGAAAGTCGAAACAAGCTCGCACTGCAAAGGGGAGGCCTGCCTTCCGAGATCGCATTACCAGGGGGATTGGGGGAAGCCTCGAGTCCAAAATTGTGTACCGAAGGGTAATTTTCTAAGTCAAAATTTTTCAAAGTTTTTCTGAAAAACACTTTTCTCCACGTTTCATGCTACCTTGTTCATATTAAGCCGAAAATATTTTTTCGGTCAACCTTTTTTCTTTCTTTCTGAAAACCGCTTTTCTCCACTACACGTTTCATGCTACCCTGTTCATTATTTTCCGAAAATATTTTTTCGGTTTTTCGAAGTCCACACCTTCCCCTCGATACACAATTTTGGACTCGAGGTAATGCGATCTCGGAAGGCAGGCCTCCCCTTTGCAACACGAGCACGGAATCGGGAGCTCTCGATACGGGAGGTACGTATCGAAAATGACTCGGACCGAACATTTTCTAAGTCAACATTTTTCAAAGTTTTTCTGAAAACCACTTTTCTCCATGTTTCATGATACCCTGTTCATTATTGGCCGAACATATCTTTTTTTTAAATAATTTTTATCGAAATTCTAAATTTTTCAGGTTTTCAATGGCATAAAATGGCATAAAATGGTATAAAATGGAGACTTTTTCTATGGAGAAAATGGAAAAACCCATGAGTAATTCTCCATTTTCTCCATTTATGCCATTGGCCCCCCCCCCCCCCTATCCAATGTTTAATAGCAATAACCCTCATCTCTCAATTTAGTAAATAGTTCACATTCTATAAGAACAATGCAGTGTAATAAGACAAAGATATTTTTAAGTATACTGCTGTTTGGTCACAAATATATAGAGATATATGAGATGTAGACCAACCTGAAGATATACTCCGGGTTCTTGGTAAAGATGGAAGATGAGAGACCTTGTGAAACTTCATTGTTGATCGCAACCGCATCCTCAAAACCCTGCAAACAATTTAACTTATTTACTATTTATTGTTTTAGTTATAATTTAGTTTGTCAGTGTTAATGAGATGCAGTAGATTTAACAAGATTGAAAACCTCTGTAAATGTTTACTTAACCATCAGACAAATCCAGTTAATTGAGGGAACACTTTATCTACATCACACGGTACTTACATCACACGGTACTTACATCACACGGTACTTACATCACACGGTACTTACATCACACGGTACTTACATCACACGGTACTTACATCACACGGTACTTACATCACACGGTACTTACATCACACGGTACTTACATCACACGGTACTTACAACACACGGTACTTACATCACACGGTACTTACATCACACGGTACTTACATCACACGGTACTTACATCACACGGTACTTACATCACACGGTACTTACATCACACGGTACTTACATCACACGGTACTTACATCACACGGTACTGAGTTACAGAATCCAAAACTCTCTTATGTCTCACTTATTTGACACCACTTGTCGGCTTCGCTCGATTGAAATTGAACGAGTAGTCCTTTTCGTTCCCTTTGGAGGCACCACTAGAAAGACTCCTTTGCGAGTTCAAAGACTCTGGCTACGTGACTCGGTGGAGGCTCTTTCTATATGAAAGCTTCAGTAAGAATAGTTGTATGCCTATAATTTCATTACCTGGCTACTAAATACACTATATCAGTATATCTGTCAGATAAGTTCAGTTCGTATTCAACCACTTTGAATTCCTTTTAAAACTTATAATGGACCATTAACAGATCGAAGTGTAGAGTTCAACTACCATACTATAAGTTATATCTTGATGCAAGTTAGTAAGGTATCTTGATGCACGCAAACTACAGTGAAATTCGTTTTTGGACTGCCTTATTTAACTTGAACAGTGACAAATTTTAATTTAATTTAAATTTATCACAGATCATAGTAACAGACTGAAGTGTAGCACAGTTTACCTACCACACTTTAAGTTATATCTTGATGCAAGCTAGTAAGGTATCTTGATGCACGCAAACTACAGTGAAATTCTTTTTTGGACTACCTTATTTAACTTGAACAGTGACAAATTTTAATTTAATTTCAATTTATCACAGATCATAGTAACAGACTGAAGTGTAGCACAGTTTACCTACCACACTTTAAGTTATATCTTGATGCAAGCTAGTAAGGTATCTTGATGCACGCAAACTACAGTGAAATTCTTTTTTGGACTGCCTTATTTAACTTGAACAGTGACAAATTTTAATTTAATTTAAATTTATCACAGATCATAGTAACAGACTGAAGTGTAGCACAGTTTAACTACACTTAAACTACGAGACTACAGATATATCCTGATACAAGTAAGCAGAAAAGGAGGAATGTTGAGACCAAATATTTTGAGCACAGCTGTCCTTATATAGCTGCTTCACTTCCAGTTCACTAACATTCAGTTCTCTTTAAGTTGAAGTTCTAATTTGTTTAAGACTCTGGGACGATATTTCAACGAATCGTTATTTTTTTTCATGGCTGTCGCCCAGACTGTATCAATTTAAGGCACCCGCTCCCTTCTTTGATTTACGATAATGATCGTGAACAAAATTAGAGTCTGGTATCCAACAAATTTTAGATCTCTATTAACATGGTTTTTTAGACACCTAAATATACCGATTTCCGGGTTTTTTCCAGCGCTAAATTTTAGCAGCTGGTTGCTTTTTTCCTTTTTATCAATATAATAGAATAGACTATTTTGATCTATCTTTTGAACGACTTCTGATACGACTGATTTCTCCTTAGAACACGGTGGTATTTGCTTTATCAGGGCTTTAACTTTCAGTTCTGTTCCTTTTACCAGGTTTCAGTCTCACGTAACTCCGCATTTAATTTTTTTTAAATCTTATTTTTATCTGATATCGATTGATATTTGTAAAAAACGTTGAACTATTGAAGTATTGTCATATTCGTATCCTATTGTTTTAGCCTTAAAAAAACACCAGACCCGCAGCAATGACGAAAGTATTCTGTTTTCTACTAGTGCTAGGACTGATCGCTCTGACTCAGTGTCAGCCTCCAGGATTAGGAAGACGATCAGCTGAACCCCAGCCTCCAGGATTAGGAAGACGATCAGCTGAACCCCAGCCTCCAGGATTAGGAAGACGATCAGCTGAACCCCAGCCTCCAGGATTAGGAAGACGATCAGCTGAACCCCAGCCTCCAGGATTAGGAAGACGATCAGCTGAACCTCAGCCTCCAGGATTAGGAAGACGATCAGCTGAACCCCAGCCTCCAGGATTAGGAAGACGATCAGCTGAACCCCAGCCTCCAGGATTAGGAAGACGATCAGCTGAACCCCAGCCTCCAGGATTAGGAAGACGATCAGCTGAACCCCAGCCTCCAGGATTAGGAAGACGATCAGCTGAACCTCAGCCTCCAGGATCAGGAAGACGATTTTTTAGAGGGTAGTTTTTTCGCGTGAGTTGCATCACGGGGATTATGTTGGTATTTTTATTTTTAGGGTGTTGTTTAAGAGGGAGTTTTAGGATTTTTTAAGGATTTAGTAGGTAGGGGGGGATTTAGTCGAATTTGTCAATACCTCCTGGAGATATTGACGAAATCGATTAAATTTTCCCGGGGGATATAGTGTAATATGGAGGCTGGTTACAGCAGTTTTAGAGTAGTTTTAGCAGTTGTGTAGATTGTAATTTAGTGATTAATATGACCGTTAGTAATGAGTGTAGATTTAGGTAGTTAAGTGACCACGTGGTATCACGTGGCGCGTGTCGATAACGCATTTCTGGACACGTTAGGATTAGTTCTGGAAAAGCTTTTTAGGTGACGTGTTTAACTTTCAATCAAAGTGTTAACCGCTGATCTGGAACGAACCCGGCGTGGCCCGTATTGCCACAGTTTATAGTTGTTAATTGTTGTTAATTAACCGTATATTTCATCTTCGAACGTTATTAATCGATTCAACTGTTTCCCTTGTTCAACACTAGCGTAGGAACGAATTATACCACATTATACCGTTCAAATTAAAGTTGCCTCACCTATTTCCGTGTGGGGTAAATTAGTAAGCTTTCGATACTCGAAGATCGTGTTTCAGTCAATTCAGAGTAAGTGCAAGTTCTAAGAGTTTAGTGTTTCTACTAGCGTTCGTAACGAGTTTATATTTCCCATTTGATTCATATTCTCGATATTAACACCTTAGTATCCCTTTCTGTTAATTCCGTGTACGGTACTAGAATATCGTATTTGATATATTAACGTAGAGTTCAATACTTAGATATTGTGAGTTATTGCGGTTGTCAGTCGCTAAGAACGACTGAGTGAGTAGTGTATATTGTGAGTACACCTTTGTGAGCAGGCACTGTAGACCATCGGTACGCTTCGGGAGGACTGGTCTGGTGCCCACCTTATTTTACACTACAGCTGAACCCCAGCCTCCAGGATTAGGAAGACGATCAGCTGAACCCCAGCCTCCAGGATTAGGAAGACGATCAGCTGAACCTCAGCCTCCAGGATTAGGAAGACGATCAGCTGAACCCCAGCCTCCAGGATTAGGAAGACGATCAGCTGAACCCCAGCCTCCAGGATTAGGAAGACGATCAGCTGAACCCCAGCAGAACGGTGAACCATTTGTTGATTTTGGAAAACGATCAGCTGAACCTCAGCCTCCAGGATTAGGAAGACGATCAGCTAAACCCCAGCCTCCAGGATTAGGAAGACGATCAGCTGAACCCCAACAGAACGGTGAACCATTTGTTGATTTTGGAAAACGATCAGCTGAACCCCAGCAGAACGGTGAACCATTTGTTGATTTTGGAAAACGATCAGCTGAACCCCAGCAGAACGGTGAACCATTTGTTGATTTTGGAAAACGATCAGCTGAACCCCAGCAGAACGGTGAACCATTCGTTGATTTTGGAAAACGATCAGCTGAACCCCAGCAGAACGGTGAACCATTTGTTGATTTTGGAAAACGATCAGCTGAACCCCAGCAGAACGGTGAACCATTTGTTGATTTTGGAAAACGATCAGCTGAACCCCAGCAGAACGGTGAACCATTTGTTGATTTTGGAAAACGATCAGCTGAACCCCAGCAGAACGGTGAACCATTTGTTGATTTTGGAAAACGATCAGCTGAACCCCAGCAGAACGGTGAACCATTTGTTGATTTTGGAAAACGATCAGCTGAACCCCAGCAGAACGGTGAACCATTTGTTGATTTTGGAAAACGATCAGCTGAACCCCAGCAGAACGGTGAACCATTTGTTGATTTTGGAAAACGATCAGCTGAACCCCAGCAGAACGGTGAACCATTTGTTGATTTTGGAAAACGATCAGCTGAACCCCAGCAGAACGGTGAACCATTTGTTGATTTTGGAAAACGATCAGCTGAACCCCAGCAGAACGGTGAACCATTTGTTGATTTTGGAAAACGATCAGCTGAACCCCAGCAGAACGGTGAACCATTTGTTGATTTTGGAAAACGATCAGCTGAACCCCAGCAGAACGGTGAACCATTTGTTGATTTTGGAAAACGATCAGCTGAACCCCAGCAGAACGGTGAACCATTTGTTGATTTTGGAAAACGATCAGCTGAACCCCAGCAGAACGGTGAACCATTTGTTGATTTTGGAAAACGATCAGCTGAACCCCAGCAGAACGGTGAACCATTTGTTGATTTTGGAAAACGATCAGCTGAACCCCAGCAGAACGGTGAACCATTTGTTGATTTTGGAAAACGATAAGCTGAACCCCAGCAGAACGGTGAAACATTTGTTGATTTTGGAAAACGATCTGCTGAACCCCAGCAGAACCTTATGTGAAGGTAATAATGCTAACTTGTATGAAACTGCACTGGGTAACGCAGGGGTAAGGTGTGAGACGATCACGAGTGAATTTCGTTGAATGACCATAGGTTTAAAAAGTTGCATTGAATATTGAGTTTTATTTCTCTTAGATGTGCAAAATATTGCAATTTACTTTATATCAAAAATGAAACATACTCCTATCTATGTACCTCTTATCGAGGTTCATAGATGAGATAATAGTTTAGAAACTATTATCTTATCTATGTACCTCGATAAGAGTACAGTGTAGCACAGTTTAACTACGGGACTACTATATCTTGAGACAAGTAAGTAAACAAGGAGGAATGTTGAAACTAAATCCGGTAAATTCAGCCATTTTTTACAGCTCCTCCGACCTCAAGTTCACTAACAGTAACATTCAGTTCTCTTTAATAGTCTCTGGGACTCTCGCCCAGACTATACCCATTGAAGGCATCTGCTCATTCTTTAATTTAAGGTTATTATCGTTTAAAAAACTACAGTTTGGTATTTTTATAAATACTGAGGCCATATTTCACTGCTTCATTGTTTTATCAGCAATCATGTATTTTTTTTGGCCATTGCATGGTTCATAGACATGGAGCAATACTGTTTAATATTTTGCCAAAACCCAAAAATAGGCATAGTTAATGGTTACTCAAATTATAAGATACAAATACAATGTAATATAAACTAAATATGCTAGGTAAAAGGTAAGGTTGGTAACACGACTCCTGTCCGACAGCGACATCTGTCCGACAGCGACATCTGTCCGACAGCGACATTTGTCCGACTTAGGGTACCAGAAAAAAACGACATCTGTCCGAAATTGTGATCTGATTTCAATACGACACATTTCCAATTAGAGAAATGATCTGAACTGTTACTTGCTAAGTTGTAAACGTAACATTTCCAATTTGAGATTATATGATCTGAGCCATAGTTTACTACCATAGCTTATTTTCATTTGATGTCGATAAATTGGACAATAATTTAAATGGTATATAAATTAATTCAATAAAATACAATCAATGCAATCCCATTTATTGAATCTTTGTTGCCGAGTACAGCTGCCTTCGGGTAGTTCTTCTTAATCTATTACAATTGTAAATGAATGGGAAAAGCGAGCGACCGATTTCATTCTCGGTATCATTTTGCATTTGAGAACGGTCAATCAAATTGATATCATATCCTTTTGTTTGGGAAAGAGAGACACTGGCAGCGGTCCACTCTACCCATGATTATGGGTTTTGGTCAAATATCATATCTTTTTGATTATAATGTCAGGGTACTTTTCAAAGTCGAAATTCATAACTTTATTAATAAGGTAAAGGAGATAATTTCAACGCGATTTTGAAATTTTACCTTTGAAAACATTTCCTTGTGTTTAGGTAAGCATATCTGTCGATCACTGACTGAATATGCCACATTATACTCATTCAAGTCGGCATTAAATTCATATATATAATGCCATTTAACTGTCATGGAAAAGCAGAATCTAATCGAAATCACGATTGAGCAAAATTCTCACCTTTCGCACGTGCAAACTTTGAGCGGACGTTGCGTGCGCATCCAATATTGAATCACCTTAAATATTTGCATATTCCGTTATTTATGTATAGTTTGATAAGCATGCAAAGTTTCAAAGTATTTCAAGAAGAACAGTACTCACAACGGCACTCCAAAGTTGACAGAAAATGGTAAAAAGAGCAATTTTCAGTGATTTTACTATTTTAGCAATTTTTAATCAATTTGGGCGTGTCCCCACGTGTGCAACTTTTCGATTTTCAATTTTAAAACTAGCCTAATGCACAATTTATACCTATAGGAAGCAGAACTGAGCTATAAAACATCGATTTTGAGGGATAATGAAGTGTTTATAGGTTCTGAAACCTAGCTAAATCGATTTTTCGTGCAATTTTAGGTTAGAAACGGTCATCAAAATGAGTTAATAAGAAGGTCGATTTCTCGGTTATTTTTGAGCTTTCGTTCAGAAAATTATTCGGGGCCCTCAAAGGGGGGTAACAAGAAGGCGTTACAAGCGTCTCTTCAGCCTCCTGAACATATGCTCGCCCTAAAATGTAACCAAGCAATTATCACCTCATCAGCCTCCTGAACATGTGCTCGCCCTAAAATGTAAACAAACAATTATCACCTCCCCGCCATACCAGTATCCACTGGTACTTACATCACACGGTACTTACATCACACGGTACTTACATCACACGGTACTTACATCACACGGTACTTACATCACACGGTACTTACATCACACGGTACTTACATCACACGGTACTTACATCACACGGTTCTACACGGTACTTACATCACATGGCACTACGTAGAGGATAGGAGCGAATGTTTCCCTCATAACGAGGTCAGAGTTGTGTGGGAGCCCTGTTACTATTGTTGGTTCCACGTACCTTCCTTCTAGAACATTACCTCCCACTTCTATAGTACCACCCTGAGAGGAGAGGTTAGAGAGCTGCACTTATATTTAAAACACTTTCTTATTTAGTTCATTTTCCATTTAATATAGAAATCAAGTAAGCATTTTAAGTAATGGATTGCTCCTTGTCGTGGTTAACTAAATATCAGGTTACACGTTGTACGTGTCTCAGTTATGTGCAGATTAGCTATAAATATAAGTATATTCGAATAACACAAACTTTAACATGATTAACCAATCAAATAATTATCAATACAGTTTAACTAGATTATTTCGTAACCCTCCAGTACATACCAGAGCAGTGGCCTCGCTGATCGCCTCCTTGTAAGCCTCCAAAGCTGCTGTAGTGTGAAGAGGTCCACACAGAATACCCTTCTCTAGAGGATTACCTATCTTCACTTGCTTGTACGCTGACTTTAGTCTCTTAACCACTTCATCTATAAGTGACTTGTGTACTATCTGAATTAGAAGTGGGTCAGCTTGAGGAGACTTCGGTGCAATGCTTAATATAATTAAATCAGATGGAATGTTTCTAAATATAATAATATTTAAGAAAGACAAGATATTATTATATAATTACAAGACGTCTGGTAGTAGTACACCTCTGTCCAGCAGTTCCAACACTAGCAAAACACACAGCAGGTACCAACATACTGAGATCTGCATCTTCCATCACGGAGATAGCGTTATTACCTCCCAACTCTAGAATCAGCTTACCCATTCTCTCTTGGACCTGGGGATTAAGAGATTAGGAAGATTGTAGTTACTACACAATTTGTGGGGAGGTGGTTCACTTTTGTTAAATAAACAAGTAGCAGTAAGTGCGTTACCCGTACGTTAAGATTACCGAATTCCCGTAAAATGTTTGTGTCATCTAACTGCTATTCGAGTCTACAATTTATAACTGTGTAAATTAACAGAGCTAATTCACGTGCAAGACTTACTTTAGATCCGACTTGTTTACCAATATGACAACTACCAGTAAAAGAGAGAAGGTTCACACGAGGATCATCCACCATTGCAGAACTGAAGTAAAAAGTAAAGTGGTAGTTGAAGTGGTAGTTGAAGTGGTAGTTGTTACACAACCTTACAATCTCACTATTATATACAACTTCTAGCTATCCTTGTCTACACTACCAGCAGTATATTAGGTGGTAAAACAGGTGGTAAAACAGGTGGTAAAACAGGTGGTAAACAGGTGGTAAACAGGTGGTAACACTTACCCCACATCAGCTCCGCCAGTAACAAGACCACTCAAACCACCGGGGAGATTGTTAGCTTCCAACACATCCGCTATCAATCTGTAATATAGTACTATTTACTATACTATATATTCTATACTATATAGTATATTATATTATTAGAAACTATGTTAATATGTGTTAGGTATTAATTTGGTTATTAAGTGAAACGATAGTAATCTTATGATGCATATAACATGTATAAACACAATGTTAAAATATAAAATCAATTGATATGAACCTGGTACAAGCAACACCAGTCAGTGGAGTACTTGGGGCCCCCTTCCACAAACAAGCGTTACCACAGATGCTAGCTATAGTAAAGTTCCAGAAGTAGGGAGCCACCGGGAAGTTGAAGGCTGTTATCACTCCGATAACTCCGAGAGGGTGCCAGTTCTCCAACATCATGTGTCCTGGCCCTGTGCCAAGGATATACGGTTATATTTGAACTCTATCTAATTGTATTGCTCTTATGTTTGTGATTTTTGGTATATTATGTAATATGTACACCAATTTTTATTGCAACATAATGATAAAGATTAACTCACTCTCAGATGGTATAACTTTTCCGTTGAGCATCCTAGAAAGCCCAGTAGCGTAATCAGCAATGTCCACCGCTTCCTGAACCTCACCAATACCCTCAGGGAGGATCTTGCCCATCTCCAGGGATACCAGCTTACCAAGAGGCTCTAGCTTGTCTCTCAAGTGTTCTCCTACTTGTCTGATAAACTCTCCTCGGACAGGGGCTGGAGTCTGGGTGACAGGGTTAGTAGAGGGTTAGTACTGAAACACGTTACAATCCTACTCATGCTCAGTCAGTACAAAGTTAAAACGAAATTACTGCAGAGTACTACAGTTGGGTTGCTGAAAACAAGGATTAAATGTTACGTACCATGGCCCACTGCTTTGAAGCTTCTTTTGAAGCTCTTACAACTTCTTCGTAGTCTTCAGTTGTTCCCTGAAGAGGTAATTCAGTCACGTTTAGTATTATAGTAGCAGGAACTCATAGATTGAAATGGTGTGTATACAAAAAACGGTTGATTACTAATTGCTATACTGCGAACTCCGTATATAACAAAGAATCTACTCACCTCAATAACCTGAGCGATGGGCTGCTCGTTAATGGGTGAAACTGAAGTTACAATATTCCCATTACCACCCCAGGAGCCATTGTAAACACCCTCATTTACTTCTTTGATGCCGATATCTGCCAGCCAAGAGTAGCTAGGATCGTTGACCAACATGGACATGCATCTCGAGAGGAGTGGCTGGGAGGTCTTGGCGATCTTGAAAAGTGACATCCTAACATGTTTAAAAAGTGGTTACTACTAACAAAATCACCACGGAAAATACTTACATAATATTATCATAATATCATATCATTAATTTTCAATGAAGTTAAACACTTTTAACAAAGTTGAAAAAACAGTTGTGACATCATTAAATTGATTCTGGGGAAAAGGGAATTGTGTGTATTGTTTCGAATGGCCAACGCAAAACAGAAATAGCTGTAATCAAAATGAAACACTTCAGACTTAGTGTAACAAGGAACAGTGAGAAATCAAAATGTATAATCTATAATATCAAAAATATGCATGTTAATAAGGAGTTGCGATCCTATTTAAAACCCATCATAATACCTACTTTAATGCAAGGTTTGTATAGGGTTATTTGTCTACGAAAACAAAATTAACATTTAAAATGCAAATTTACTGTATAAATTATAAAAGTTTTCTAAACAATTTTTCCATAACAAATCAAAAATAAAATTATAAGAGTGGAAATTTGCTTGTAGCCCATTTATTTGTAAAATTTCATGCAAATCAACCACTAGTTAGGTATATAAGAAACATTCACTCTGGATCAAGATAGAAAGGGGTCCTCTCTGAAAGAAACAGAGAAATGTAGCTGACCATTGTCAGAAAGTTCTCTGTACCATCATACTGTTCACTTAGTTTCAAATACTCTCCTTCAATCACAACCACCCTGAGGTGGATGAGTTTGTCTACAAAGTTAGTAATATGGAACTGTGAGGTGCATAGAGCAGGTCTGATCCCTCTCTCGTATTCCTCCTGCCCTATCTGACATAGCTCCCTTACAAACTCTGACTTGTTCATCTGGACAGACTCTCTCAGGATATCCGTGTATTCTAGAACAAACCAGAAGGTTTTTATATACGGTATCAGGATTGATCCAGTTTGTAGACAGGAGTCTATCTTGTTCATGTCTACAAGAAGAGAATCGTCATAAAACTCAGGTTCGTTATTCCCTACATCTTTAGTGTCGTCCCATATAGCAGAGGCTTTGTTGAGTCGAGATTGCTCAGTAGTTGACAGAGCTGTTTGCTTGTGTTTGAAGATACCCAAGGTGAAAAGACTGTCCAGATCGAAGGATAGTTGCTGATCAACAGCAATACACGGGGGGTTAGCCGTCACAGTGCTTTGTAGGATCCCACAGATGTACTGTGCTCGAACCATGAGACTGTTCTTGGAGACAGTGTGGGTATCTGTTAACTTGTTGTGGACAATGATGCCAGGAACACTGATACACAGTGCACTGACTGACAGAGAGAACATGACAATTGGAGCGGAGTAGTAATGGAGTAGGAGATCAGCTTTACTGTTAGGTGCTCGCTTATATAGCTGTATCACTTCATCTTCAACAGTCTGTTCGGTGACTTCAAGACACCCTCCCAGATCTTTGATAGCTTCACCAAGATATCCCTTCTTAAATGAGACTGGAGTGTTTTTCTTCAAAGCATCTAGCACACTATTCCAAACTTTACCGTCCTTTTCCAACTCTGCCTGAGAACTCCTAGACGTTGTGTTCAAGAGAACAACTGATACTACAGCAATCTCGCTGACACTGCTAGTCTCCATTGCATTAAACAACACGTGATCCCCCAGCCTTGTAGCGAGCCTGAACACTGCAGCTGTGTCCATGTCCGCAGCGTTTATCCACCTATCAGAGGGTAGTCTCACATCTGATATGGTCTTTTCTACATACTCTGATAAAGAGAAAGGTTCTGAGAAATTAACTCTAACTGATCCGTAGTGCTGTCTAATGGGGAAGGTGATGGAATACCACAGAGCAGTGAATACATTCTCAGCCTCTTCTTTGCTCCTTGTAGCTCCAGAGTGAGACTCTCTTCAGGTGACTTATCATAAGTGATGGAGAGTGGACACAGTAGTACATCGCTGATCACTCCCTCTTTTACTGCAGTCACTATTTGACTGAGAAGCCCGACCTTGGACGGGTTTATTAGACCACTTCTTGATCTTCTACCTTCGACAAAGAACTCTATTGAAGAACCTCCTTTTAGCAACTCGATCATATACTGACCCAGAATTGATTTGTAGAGCTCGTGATCCTCCTTAGGTTTCCGCCTGATAAAGAAAGCACCCAGCTTCCTAAGAATGGAGCCGATTATTGGAATGTTGAGATTGTCACCAGCTGCTACAAAAGGGGAGGGCAGATCACAGAGACAGAGTGTCCACATGAGGATTATGTAGTCCAGGTGAGACCTGTGCAATGGAAGGTATAGAATGGGGAGCTTTCTATCAACTGCTTGCCTTAGTATTTCTACCTCCTTCTCCTCAACGAAAACACCAGTCGTAGAAAATTGGAAAACTTTTGTTATCATCCAGCCCATCACTTTAGCTAAAAGAGAGCACGAATGTGCAAACATCTTACTGTAAATCTTGTAAGCTTCAGCAGTAGCATTATTCTTATCTGGGTAAGTGTCAATTTGTGCCTGAACTTCTCTGGAAGTAAGAACTGCATTTTCAGTCTCCGGATGAGTCGATACTTTCAGGCTAGAAGACTTGTGAATGTCATTGAAATAGTATGGGAAAACTCCAAAACGACGACAAGATGGAGAATGAATAAGATTTATCTGTTTATCTGTTTTGGGGTGCCAGACTGAATGACTGTTAGGAGTGCAACGGTAGCAGCATTTATTAGACACTGTCACTGTTTTGTGAGACAGCTTGATACCTAAACTTGGCAAGTAACCAGAATAACCGTCATGTTGCACTCTCTGCCGTTGACTGGGAGTTCGATAGTTCTTCTTCATTCTTGGTATCGCAGCTGGACTATTACCATATTTTGATATCCACTTCTCTTTTCCTGAACTTGAGATGGCGAATTCTCTAGCCTGGGCTGCATTACTTTTCTTCTCCCATTTCTTGAAGACTGCATCCAGTCGATCACTGGTTTTATTGTCCATCTAAGCCTGAATAAAGTTGAATTATAATTATAACTCCTATTTTCAAATTCACTTTACTGATATTTGAAAGATGTTAGTACAGAAAAATACTTCGATTGTCTCATGTTGTTTCTACACTTTCATCGAAACTTAAGAACATTCGAATATTCATTTAGTATTATGACTACATTAGAAATCACACCTAGTACAAATATTACAATTTGATCAATGACATTACCATGACATTACATCAAAACATAAAATACTGAAAATCAATTTTTATAAATCAAAGTAACAAAAAAATAAGAATAATTCTTGACAATTGTCAGAATGTCATTCTTTGTGAATATTTTCACAGAAATCAAGCCAGAAAATGTCAGATCCTTATCAAGAAGAGTCATATAATAATGCTCCAAATCTTTCTGATGTTGATTTTTCCGAATAAGCCCGCATGATTGATCCTCCGTAGACGCCCGTAATTTTATTGAAATTTTGCCAATGGTGTGGTGACCACTGCTGTCCTTTGTATCACATTTATTTATCAAACAACAGGAAGTACCAGGCAAAACAATGTTTCCTGAACTTATTATTGATTTCTGGATTTCAGCTGAGCTGAGCTTTCGCTGGATGACAAAGAAATTATTATCATTACTTAGCTCATCTAAACATTCTAGTCGATTTTCCTGAAATGATTTGTAGAATAATGAACACAGACTCCAGCTATCTTTTAAGAATGTTTTACTTAGTTTCATGAAGTTGAACGACTTTAAAAACCTTTCATAATCAGTAATGTCAAGCTTTAATTTATCCTTTAAAACCCAGCCTAGAAACAACTCGACTCTGTAGTAGTCTCCCAATTTATTGCGCCTCACTTGCTGGTCAAGTTCGATACATCTTTCTTCTAACATCATCTCAACCTTCTTTTTCCGTTTCACTTTGGTATCATATGCAGGAATTTCTCTTAAGAAATTTGTAAACCATTTTGGATCTGAAGCATCGTTAGAAGTGCATATTGCTTGGCTTTTATTTTCAACCAAAACAGCTTCGGTGCCAGAAGCTTTTACTGCAACATCGATGGACGTAATTGTGCCACCATTGATAACAATTGGAGAAGAAGTCTCCACTAAATACTGATCAGATGTCTCAAAACTAAGCTTAATTTCCAATTTCGGTTGAATGTCATTTCCCAGAAGTCTGCTCACGAGACACAAGCGTTTCAACAAAGACGTATGTTTCACTAAAACAGGGTCTTCAACAGATGTTATTAGTAATTTCATGAACTTTTGAAAATCGGCAAAGATCGGAAAAACATCCTTGTAGTTTAGCCTATCCAAAGGAAAATCTAGAAGAAAGCTACTATCAAATTGTTCTGACTTTGTCAAAAGCAAAAGAAGCTTTCCACAGTTTTTTGATGAACTGGACTCGACTAAAAATTTTAAAAATAGGACATTTTCCTTGAGCCCACAAATTATTGGTGAGCTATCAACTGATATTATGTCTTCAATTATTCTTTCACAGTTTTTTTCAATATAGTTAGCAGATGAGCTGTGGTGAATATTGGCCTCATCAACATCACTGTAATTTTCAAGCAATTCTTGAATTGTAAGGCGTCCCACATGCTCCTCAATGAAAATCTTGCAAGTTGAAATCAAATGATTTATTTTGTACACTGTTGCAAATTTGCAAAAATAATGGACATTGCCAAACGAAAGACTGATACTCTCACCATGGAGATATTCTAGACAGTCTCTCACAACTGATTCAATTACTGGAATACACAGCAAATCTTCATCCAACAACAAGGTATGATCCTCGTGAGAAAGCTTCAAAATTTCCCCTTTAAAAACAGAGCTGTTTAAAGAGAGAACGATCGAGTTCACCAAGAATTTAGACTCCTTAACGTGAATACAGACGATCTGGGGAATGTTCGAATCAGTAAGAAACCTTCCAAGATTCGTTTGGTTCGGCAATACCAGGGGCACAACACTCACAGCTTGATCAGCATTTACCACCTTTTTCCTGGGACTCATACTGCTTCAATAGCATTAACCATGACTCTAAGAAATCCACAACACAGCTGCCTGCAAGTAGAGAGGAAGAGAAGACTGAAGAAATATATACGAGCAGTTCATTCGGTTTAGTTGTGACCCTAGAATGTTATTCTATTAATTGTAGAAAATTAGTCCCCAGACCTCTTTTTATAGAAATGAGAAATAACTTTATATAATTGAACAATTAGTATATATTCAATGGTTACATATAATTATCTTCAGAACGGTTACAACTATTGACTATTATTAAATAGACATTTTAAACAAAAAAATTTATAAATTCGAATAGTCCGAACAAACTAATATTACATATTATTAACAAACATAACTTGCATCATTTCTCAAGCACAGATTGTTGGATTCTACCATTGACTATTTACAATTATTTAACCTCCATTTACGGGGACCTCAAGTTGGCTAGGAAACATGTCAATGAAGATGCAAAGTAATTACATTTTAAGGTTATATCTATAATATAATCTATTCACACATTTTACAACACTTCAAATATAATAATATACGTACAACATAAGTCATTATAACGAGAATGATTGCAAATCGCAAACAATTTTAACAAGAAAAAGCTTCTCCATAGATTCATAAAACTAGATTCTAGACCTAATATTATTAAAATGAAGCAGTGAACTGAACAACAAACCAAATAATCAACCTGAAAATCGTATGTACTACATAGAAATTGAAAGAATTTTTCATTTGCATAGAACTTAGGATTGAACAATTTATTGTTTCACTTCTATTGATTTGCTCCTAATCATATTAATTCTGGAACAGGTAATTTCTGCCATAAATCTTAATTCTTTGATCAAATTTAAATGCTATACAATTAATAAATGCAAACAAATGATGCAATAACGAATTAAAGAAAGATTTACTGTTCATAGGGCATCACGCTAGAACAGTTTTTGCAGTCTCCAAGCAGCTTGTAGATCGCCTTCTATTTTAATGCGCCCAGATTTGTAGACGTCCATCAGACTGTCTCTGTTCTCTATCATGGATATCAACGTGTCCACACCCATATCAATAGTAACATCAGGATGACATGAACTGGGATTAGCAACCATAGTTTGTGTCTTGAAGTCAATGAGACACTGGCCACCATTATCACCAGCAAGATTCAACAGAGCTACTGCATTGACATCTTCTCCCAATTTTCGAGTAAGATAAGGTTTCAATGCAAGGATCATTTCATCTATGGTGAATTTTTCTTTTGGAGGTAGTGGATTGTGTCCTGCAAGTTTCTGGATAAAATTTATTACAGTCGAAACAGGATCGTCTGAAGAATCTTTTTTTGGTGGTGTAGCAAATTTAAAAGGGGAAAGCTCTGTGGATATAATGTCTATTCCCCACTTGTAAACTGCATTATTAATGTTCCTGGTGACAGCGTACTCCGTAAGCTTTTTCGAGCATTTAATCATGTCAGAGTTGCTTTGAGAAAAGACAGTAGGGATCGCGGTTTTGCTTGCAAGTATAACACTCTGCTCTATATCTTGTAACTCTCTAACACCTGCAGAGTATTATTATTATATCTGACTGTAAGATTGATAAGTTATTTCTGCAGTTTGTTACATATCTTTAAGGATTTGAGATAACATTGTTATTAACAATTAATTTTCTTTTCCTCGACTTGTGGATCATTCTCTACGCTTGCCCATGTTTCAAAGAAAAACATTTAGAAGGACAACATCTTCATGCGTAGATCTGAATGCCAAGTCCTATCTGAATTGCCAAGTATGGTAAAGTGAATTTTTTTTGCAATTCTCCAAATTCGTCTCAGTTCTACAAATAGAAAATATTAGAACCATGATTGTAGTTTAGAAACTTACAGACAACAGGGTCTTTGACTTGATATTCAACAATAAGACCAGACTCCATAAGCACCCCGTCTTTGGAATAGTAAGTTGACGATGGAAGTAATATGTTCTGAGGGCTAAGATTCACCTCTACAGCTTGATCTGAAAATATTTTCATGAATACATGAATGCATTGGTACCATACTGATTATAATCTAGAATGAAACTAACAGCATGTCTTCTTGCACAACCAAGTTTTCCTTGAAGATAACCAACAGGTTTTAAAAGTAAATTGAAATCATAGCAACTAAATGATTTGTAGCTTAAGTCACTAACAACATTCCTTAACGAGGATCAATCCAAGATTTGCAACCTACCAATAGCTGGAAGAACAACGTCAAAGCCAGAATATTTGACAGATGCAGTATGTCCAAGTCTATGTTTTACCAGGGCATTGTTTGGCTTTATACGTTTGACGCACTTCCATCCAAGCACAGGAAATAGAGATACAAATACAACCCACATCACGCCCTCCACAAACGCTGCAGTAAACCTAAATTTATTTGATCATTTAACAAAAAAGTAAAAGTACAATCATAATTCTGGGCAATATTTCCCTGCTTTGTATTTGAGATCAAAAACTCTATCGTCAACATATTAATGTGATAATTATATAATACAGTACGACAGATTTTGATATACCTCTGAGTATAGGACGGACTGTCACTGTTATCATTTTCTGAGTCAGCAACTTTTTTGTAGCGATAAATTGTCATTCTGAGTATGATTTTATAATAATTATAACAATAATAAGAGTGTTTACCTAATTATACTTTTCACTTCTATATAAGTTAATAAAACGTCTCTTAGCAACATGGGGATTACACCTAAGATGTTCATTGTGCTTTTCTTTATTAACAACATAATTTTTTCCCTAAATTGTTCCATAAACTTCATTCCAAACATTCCAAAAATAACTATCATTAACAAAACTTTTTTAAATAATCTCTTTCTTAAATCCTTCTAATTCAACTTTTGAGCTTACATTACAAAAAATCCATATTATCATTTGTGAGCTCTGTTATCAGTACAGTTTATTAGTTGTAAGAGTGTTAAGGGGGGCCCGATGGCTACCTTTTACCAAGATGCAGTGAAACAGATCGGAACAGCAGAGGCAGTTTTTCATTCTTTGTATAAGAAGATGGTTTGAAAAGATCATGTTGATTTGATATTTACAAATGGAGGAACGAAAAAGGAACTGTCATCGGTTTTGTTCAAAATTGTCAATTGTTCACTAGATTATAAATATTCAAACAATATACACATAATATAGCAATGACCCTATATAAAAATTCTGTAAAAATGTTACAAATTTAAAAACTGAGGTAAAAATAAAACCCTTTGTACTCATATATAAAATCCACTAAATCACATCACAACAAAAAGCAGTTAAGACCCCCATCGAACAAGCACTCCATGACCTTTTAGGGTTTAAGAGTGTTGATCAGGTTAAGGTCCAAATCACTTATTGCCGTGGGTGGAAGGGTTCTGGTACCTCTGTACCCCCTGATAGAGATTATACAGGTTCTGATTAGATCAAAACGCAGTCTGCGTCTGACAAATGACATCACATCACAATACCGTTGGCCTTTCTTTAGGCTGATCTTTTCAGCGAGATGTTTTAGGAACTGTGAAGCCTCAGTTGCCATTCCTCCTGTAGTACTGAACACCAGTGGTGTGAAGGTAGCCGTTTCAACATTGAGGACTCTGTCATTGTACTCACGTTTTTTGCTTTTCTCGTGAGATTGGTACATCTGTGAGATGCTCTTGTCACTGTTGGACTGGGCTTGAGGGTGAAGTACCCTTACATCTGTGAATGCCCTGTCCAGCGGCGACCAAAACGATCTCGCACTGATGTCCAGTCTTGCACCATCCTGTCTATTTGTTCCATTAGATAGTTCAAGTGTGTGAGGAACGGAAAGAAGCTGGGGTTCTGTTTCAACGTCTTTGCAAACAGTGGTTAGGAGTTCAGCTATTGTATCTCTTAGTGAATTGTGTCTAAGTGAAACGTAGCCTCCGATTTTGCAGGTTAGAGTATGGTTGATATGATTTTGATTTCCACATACACATAGGGGACTTCTGTTAGCTGTAGACAGTGTAAGATTATATCTGAGTGAGAGGGCATCAAAGAATTCTTGTTTGTTAAGGACGTACCCACATGCTTTTAGAGGGAGTGTGGATAACCAAATGGATGCTCCTTTTTCACTAAGGAGTTCTAATTGCCTTTGTGTTGATGGGGATACCTCATTCATAATAGTTTCACGCTGGTGTTTGTAAAGCTCTTCCTTACGCTTCTTTACTTCACTTATGATGTCATGCTGCAGTTCTCCGTTTGGTTGGAAAGTAGTAAGCTGTTGAAAAACTGCTTCTATGAGCTGTTTTGTAGCATTTACTGAGTTAGTGTACTACATCTCTGCTGTTGATGTGCAGTCTGGAATGCTCAGCCCGCCCATTCTTGCAGGAAGTGAAGCTATTTTTCTGATTTGATCAGGCACAAAACTTTTGCCCATAATGGCTGGTATAAAGTCTTCCTTGACACAATATTCCAAGAGTTTCAGATGGTCGGAAATCCCTGGGGTTGTACGGCAAACAAAATTCCATCTTTTGGAGGTTTCGTAGATGAAAGCGGAGTAGGCTAGCTGGGGTTCGTTTGCAGCTATTTCGACGAGTCCGAGAATGTCTGCTTTCCAACTTTCGGTCTCCTTTAGTATGAACTCTTTTACCCCTTCTTCTGATCCAATATATGACCCAAGATAACGGTGGCCTTTGGTAGTGATCTGAACATCTGGAAAGAGTTCCTTAGCTTTGGTTGCATGCTCTGGTTTCACTATCAACCATGTCTTGCTGGGTTTTGGGTAATACCCATACATGGGACCATGATCTTTAAGGTCCTCCCACCATTTCGTGAGTTGATCAAGTTTACCCCCTGCTGCAGAGTCGTCAGCATACCAAACTTGTTTGGGATAAGTGTTGAGTTCCCTGTCTGATTCTAGTTCTGTTTCAGGTTCTGTCTGTTTAACCTGAACTTCTCTGAGCAGAGGCATTAAGCTCAGTGCATACCATCCGAGTGCACAGGTATCTCCCTGTGTAGTTCCTCCCTGTGTAGTTCCTTCCTTGTTCACTAGATTTGATTAAGTTGCTGAAAAATCGATGTTTAGAAGTAGATTCGTTGCAATCAAAAAAGGCGCATGTTATATCTCTGCCGAAAACACACTCCCGAAATTGCGCGCATTGCTGTAACTTTTTTCAAACTTCATGAATCGAGATGAATCAATTTGCAATGTATCCAGAGTTGATATATGCACTTATCAGGAAAACAACAATTTCAGGAAAACAACAATTTTATTTAGTATCAGTTACAGCAAACAAAAAATATATTTTATATAATATAATATAACTAGGACGAACTTTAGTTTAGAAATCTTGGGGGACTTGGAGTAGCAAGAGATTGACTAGAAGGTATATACCTTTTACCAAAAACGTCGAAAAGAATCCTGGGTGATACAGGATCGGAGAGTACAGACCATAAAGTTTACGCACCCACCTTTGCCTCCAGAATTCTTGGTTGGTTGAAAATGTATGCTAACTTGGTCGTTTATACTCCAAGTCCCTTTGTTAAAAGAAGTAATATTATGTACGTCTGGAGTTAACTTCATTCAATAATAACAATATCAATATAGTCAATATCAATATCAGACTAAACTATCGAATAAATTATCAAATATTATTTGTTAATTCGATCTGAATAAAAATTTAGTTAAGTTAAGATATTAAATAATTAAAAACATTACAACAAGTGGTTAAAAACGCCCAAAATTGATCTGAGAGCTTTTCAGTCTATAATACAATCAGTGTGTGCTGCTGCGATTAGAATAGATTACTGCAATTTAAAATTGTTTGGATTCCAAGTATCTTTTAAATCAGCAGCCTGTACTTGTAATAATAGTGCCTTGGTTCTCAATTTTATCAAGTTAATGGAAGTTTCTAGGCAATTGCTTGAGGTTAGAATTTTTTTATGAACAGTGTTCCAAAGCTTGGCTGCAGTGAACAAAAAAGTATTTGATTTATTAAGAAGAATAACCGTTAAACTCGTTGTACGGTTTGAAATGTTGATGGCCTCATAAAGGGAGTATGGGCAGTGGTACTTGATAATCTTAGAGAATTCTGAAATGCAATGGTACTTGAACAAGTTTTGAACTGTAAGAATTTTTAGTCTATTAAAAATGGGTTTTGTATGCTCCTTTTCAAAATGTTTATGGCCTAATCTTTGCATACCATATGGTCTAGTTCTTGCACATGTTGATTGTTTATCTAGATATGAGTCGAGATCTCCAAAAAGGATCCTTATACAGTGCTTCTGAGTGATAAAAAGACTGTCATTGGACCGTTCCTTGATGACAACACCCCAAACACTTATACCATAACTGAGATGTGATTCAAAAAGAGCATTATATATTTTCAAGTATAGTTCAGCAGGTATAGAGTGCCGGATTCTACAGATTGCACCAGTCATGGTCCGCAGCTTTTTACGGATGTAGTGCATGTGGGCAATCCAGTTTAGCTTACTATCTATAACAACACCTAAGAATTTGGTATCCTTGACTTTAGTGATAACCTTACCATCGATGAATATTGATCTAGATTCATCTAGCAGGTTAGCAAATGGTCTAGTCCGCGCACAGGTGTCATCATATTCAGAGGCAGGTTTAAAATGTATGTAGCAGCATTTGGACATGTTGATATGAAGTAGATTACATTTCATGTAAATCGAGACATGTTTAAGTATTAAGTTGGCTTTTTTATATGTTGCTTCTCTAGATGGTCCTGATATGAAGATATTAGTGTCATCAGCATAAAGTACAAATTTCACCTCACTGTCTGAAAAACAGTTTACTATATCGTTCATATACAGTAGGAAGAGTAGTGGCCCAAGAATTGACCCTTGTGGTACTCCAAATTTCACGTCCATTGTTACTGATGGTACATCGTTATACATAACATACTGCTTTCTGTCATGTTAGTCAAATAGCTTTTAAGTAAGGTAAGTGCTGAACCCCTAATACCGTAGGAATTTAACTTGCTTAGAAGAATATTGTGATCAAGGGTGTCAAAGGCTTTGCTCAAGTCAATGAATATGCCCAATACATGTTTATTGCTAGCCAGAGACTTTGTAACGGAGTCTATAGATTTGTGTAGAGCATGAGTGGTAGAATGGCCTTTTCTAAATCCAAACTGTGAGTCTGTTAGTACACCTTTAGATGTGAAGAAATTATAAAGGCGTTTGTAAATGATCTTCTCAAAGATTTTTCCAAATAAAGGTAATATTGATACAGGCCGATAATTTTCAATGCATTCCTTATTGTCTTTCTTGTAAATAGGAATAACTTTACCCGTTTTAAATATACTTGGGAATGTACCACTTTGTATACATGTGTTGTAAAGCCTGGCCAAGGTACCAGCAATGAGCTTTGCCGATTTTTTTACAACGATTATAGGTATGTCACTCGCCTTGCCATTTTGAAAATCTCTGATGACCTCGACAATCTCGTCTTCATTAGTTTCTTCTAGGTATATGGAGTCAGATACTGAATTAGACATGAACTGAGCAAATGATTCTACTGGTTCCAGAGAAATACTATTGTTTGACAATACATTTTTATTGAGATTACTTGCAAGAGATGTAAAATATTCACAAAATTTGTTAGCAATTATTCGTCTGCAAGTAACTCTCTGGCCATCTATGACAAAATCGTCCTTACATCTAGACAAATTTTTACCACGGAGTTCATTTATAACTTCCCAAGTCTTTTTCGAATTCATGCTGTACTTCTCGAATTTTTGAGTATAGCACATAGCCTTTGCCATATTTATTGACCTTTTGAGAAACTTGTCGAATTCCTTGTAGTAGATGTGCTTGTTTGGGTCCCCGTCAGGTAGTTTTAATGTACAAGTCTTCTTCCATTCGAAATACAACCTAGCTTTCTTATCGATGGAATTAATTAGGCCCTGGGTAATCCAAGGGTTGGTTATGCTGTTACGTTTAGTGGTTCTAGGAGTTAGAAGTTTGCAAGACAAATCTATCTTTTCTTGAAATAACTGCATGAAAGAATCAAATGTGTTACAGCTGTGGTGGAACCTATCTACATCGTTTTCTATTTCAAGACAGAGCTTTTCTAAGTTAGCATTACTATAGTCGTAGTGTATAGTAATTTTGTCTGATGAATCAGGTGTTGGCACAGAGTCAGGGGAAAGTTCAATAAGAGTGAATATAGGGTGATGGTGGGAGATCTTGTCAGATATCACACCAGAAATAAGGGTTTGATCTACTACATTGGTATGGATATTGTCAATACAGGTCCTGGAACAGCCAGGCATTTGGTGAGTTGGTACTGATATGGTTGGTATGAAGCCGTTGTTGAATATTATTTCTTGGAATTTGTCCTCTGATGGAGATGGGTCCTTCAACATGTTTATATTGAAATCACCAAGAATATATACTTTTTTGCCATTCAGTTTTGAGAGAATACATTCATATGCTTCGTTGAACAGTTCAAGTGATGCGTTTGGGGGACGGTATATAACCCCTACAACAGTTGGGTCTTGCAAGCTAGTGATGGATACGAACAGTGATTCTATGTGTTCATTACAGAGAGATAAGCCAGGGATTTTGTTAAAGTTAAAGGAGTTGTGCAGGTAAAGACACACTCCTGATCCTTTACCCTTGAACTGGTTTTTCTTTTGACAAAAATAACGTGATTGGTAACAGGAGGAGTATCCGTTAAGCTGATACAGAGTTCCATTTTCGGGATTAGTATTTGTTTCTGCAAGACCGATAACAGAGAATTTGTGGTCGATACAAGACAGCTCAACTGCAAAGTTGTCAAAGTTTGATGCATTTCCATCAATATTTAGGAATAATTTGGACAAATATTTAGCTGAATTTTTAGGTAGGACGGTAGCATTCAACTCAGTTATGGAGAATGTTTTGCAATTTTCAAGAATCTTTGAGCTATTGTAGATAGATTCAATATAATTAACTGGCTCATCATCAATGAGGCCATTGTTTGCAAAGTGTGGAGCTTGGTAGAAAGGGTTGTACCGTACAATATCATTGGCATCAGTGCATATTTTGCAGTATGTTGCATCTCGAAATTTGGTTATGTTATCATCAGTTTTACATTTTTTGTGCATTATTTTGTCGCACATCTGACAAATCAAAAATGGATGTCCAGCACGCACAGGTCTATTGCAACAGCAGCAGATTTCGCATATCAGTTTGACTACCATGACTGGATTACAGATCTACGAGAACGTGGGGAAAATCTATTTTGGGCCTTGGTAACATCACTGAACAACCTCCCATCAACGGGGCTACCTAGAATCTTATGGGCAATTGCCCGGGAGAGTTTGAAGATACCGCTTGACCCCAGGTGGATTGGGTCATCCGGCTTCTTGTACCTATAAAACTGTTTGTTCAGTAGACCCTCCTCATCGACAAAACTATCAAAATCTAAATTTCCTATTCTAGCATTGGTATTACAGTACCCAAACAGTATACTATTAAACTCCATGGCTCTCTCATTTAGCCAGGAGGACCTAGTTGGTAGGATTGGTGAAACTATAACTTTAGAGTAAGGACAAATTTCACAAATATTCGTGAGCTTCTTCGTCAGCTCATTAGCCCAGTGTTTAACATCACCCCCTCCCCTCTTAATATTATTTACACCACAGTGTACTACAACATTCTTATATCCTACACAAAGGGCAGGGTCTAACTGATCTATTGTGAAGCATTCAAGTCTTTTTCCAGGCAGTTTGTGACCGAATGTCCCTTTTCCAGCACCAAATCGGAGGAACCGGGTATTTGAGTCACCAATAATCAATGTTGCATTGCTACTGCTGCTCACGTAGCGGAACGTTTTACTGAATCTCACGTCCCTCCTTTCACTGCTCTTATCTATTCTGTGGTCCCAGAGGAACTGAGACTGCTTGCTCATGATATATAGACTGCGTCCCTCTATTGTCTCAATGACTTCCCCACTTTCTGATCCTTTCATTGAGAACTTAACTGAACACTGGCTTCCTAACCCCAGTGACATAAAGTGAGGAATCTAAGAATCTAATTCCTAGCCATATTAATTTCCATAGCCACGCCGACTAATTTTTGTCAACAAAATTATTAAATCAACTTTAAAATAGTCGCTCTCGGTTGTTACACACTGTAACGCCGCGCACTGTACTTTAATTCTATATTTATCTGAGAAGATGTTCGAATCGAGCGCAAATGCCAGATTCCTGTCAGGATCCTAGTTCTTGCGCTTAACTTGCGCGTTACCAAATAATCCAAGATATTTCTGTCAGGATCCAAGATTTTCCTACTACCAGTATGGTAGTATGGACTGTTTGGTAGTATGGTAGTATGGTAGTTGCAGGAACGCGCGAAGACCTATATGTAAATATTACTAAAGCGTACATGGAATCGTATCCTAGTCGGTTAATCCGTCGGTACTATACTAGCAGATCGCGAGTTCGAGACCCGGAAAGGAATTTTTTCACAATCTTTTGGCAATTATGAATAACTATACTAATGAATTAATAACTATACTAATGAATAACTAAACCTCTGTAATATAACTAGCAAAGTAAAATGAAATCGTTATCCGGCCGCGGAGCGGCCGAAAAATTTATGGTAGTCGTTTTAAAAACATATGGTAGCCGTTTTTTCTTTCCAGACTGGATTCCTAGTCCCTTTTTAAATTTATGTCACTGGGTTCCTAACGATACAGTGAAAATCGAACTATCATGCACAAGCGAGTTCTCGTTATCCGAGTGTTTAGGGAGAAAACTGCTCTCATCATTGTACCGGTTGATCAGGCATTGATTAATAACTGTTTCAGGGCAAAGCTTCTTTATCCTTGAGGCAAGTTCAGCAAGAACTTCAGGCAGGTCTTCTGATATGGGCTTAGCAGCTTTTGCCCCGGGGTAATCATATCGTTCACCAAAGCTTATAACTCCATGCCCGTTTTCTGTGTTCTTGACAAAATCATCGTTCTGTTGAGCAAGGAAATCTAATAGCTGAGAGTTCAAGGTTGTATCAATGAATTCTGGTAAATAAGACATGATGTGCTTAGACTTAGGGTCGTCTGCACTTGAAGGCTTCTGTGCATCTAGCAGGAGCTGTTCATGGTCTGTTTCACAGGCTGCTGGTGGCCCTATGATAAAAGGAGGCATGGGCAGGTCAGGAGTGGATACGTTTGAGGATCTGCTGTTTTTGAAACAGTTAATATCAACTTTGAGCTCAGCAAGCTTGGTGTTTATGGAGTCAAGAGTCCTAAGGTGGCTATCATTGTCTTTCAAGTTTTTAATGGATGTTTGAATATCTTCTAAGGACTTGTGTATAGAGCTTTCGTTAGAAGTAGTATGACCCATTGGAATGCTGGAGGGGGCTGACAAATAAGAAGGGGACTTAACCTCGTGGTCACATCTCTTGCCACTTATTACAGCACAGACATTTTCTGCAAGGCCAAGCAGGGATAGTAGACCCTCTGCTAAGGTGAGTTTTTTAAGAGATGGGCAGCTCTTAACCATAGATGGCGTTATGATTGCAAATTTGTTCACATCAAGTTTTAGAATGTTACAGATGTTGAGCTTAATGATATCTACCTCTGAGCGCAGGCTCTGCGAGTGAGTCAACAGGAAGTTGTCAAGGGGGGTAGACCCTGAGAAGAAACTAAGGAGGCTGCTACAATCTTTATTTTCCTCTGATTCGTGGTATTCTGAAAGAATTATATTTTCAACATCCTTCAGTACTTCGTCAATTTCCACCATAATGGTAGGAGTCGTGGGTGCAGGTGTAGTCTGATCCGGAACCGTAGTAGTTGAAGTCTGGTCCGGAGCAGATTGAGAAGAGTCAGTGGGTGTATCGTTCATGGCGTAGAAGCAATTGGGGGTACCAGGCAATCCAGGGGGCACCTTCACGTCCAACCAGCACACTCCCTGGAAAGAAAGAAAAGCAGATAGCAATTTCAAATGTTCCGTTGTGGAAAACAATGAAAGTGTATTTAAACTGGATTAGTCAAAATGATTCAAAAGATTGAAAAATTGAACAGACTGACGGACTACGACACATGGGACAAGAGAGTTTGTTGTTTGGGGACCGGTTTTTTATACCCGGCCAATGTTTACAAAATAATATAATACATAACAATATAATTTTATTTAATATGCGTGAATATGAAAATTGAAAATGTTGATTACGTCTATTCATTAAAAACAAAAACAGAAACTTTAAAAATTAAAACTTGTATATCATGATTTATTATCATATAGTGACAAATAATTTGATTTGATACGACAGATGATCACACGCACTGTTTTATAAGCTACTTGAGGTTAAAACAAAAAAGAATAACTGAGCCCATGTCTTATCAGCACCTGCTAGCGCTATCTATATGATGCTATTAATATGACAGTGAATGGGCAGTGAAAAAAGTGGCATATGGTTGATAGTGACTAGTGTGCTAACCGTCTGGTTTTATTTATTCCTTAGTTTATTCTCGGTAGTTGATTTGTTGTGTGCCTGATCTTGTCGATTTACGTAGCCCGGGTAAATTATGTAACAGAAAAGGTGGCCATTCTTCATCGTTTCCTGAGCTTTGTAGTTCTATCATTACACGCTTCGCTGATTTCTTATATATGCTTATTGAGAAAATGCTAGATGGGCAAGTTATGCGACTAATATTGTGCTCGGTAATAGCTAATATAGGACCTTTATACAGAACACTAGCGCGTAGATCTGGTTGAGAGAACGTTGTTAGCCAGTCGATATTGTCGTCATAAGACGTGCCATACTTTGGTATATCGGGAGGAAATAAGTCTTTTATCGACGACGGCAGAAGGCCAGGCATGTAAGTTATCTTGTGCATCAGAGTCAGAGCATTTTTTATGATGACCCCGTGTACAGATAATATTTCGTACTCTTTAAACGTAGTTTTAGTATGATCCGGAAGCTTACCGTCCTTGTAATAGTAATTCACGTAGCCCGGCATAACTGCTCGTATTCCCTGCTTTTGTTTAGTGAACAGTGATTCAATATGGGATTTTGCAGCAAAGCCCCAAACTAGTGAACAGAAATTTAAGTGAGATTGTACAAAACTTTGGAAGATCTGTAAGCGTGCTTTGATTGGTAATTTGCGTTTTATTTTTATTTATTTTTTTTTTTTTTTTTTTTTTTTTTTTTTTTTTTTAACATAATACCTATAAACCGTGACATTTTTGTTTTGACGGCTCGGATGTGGCTGGCCCATTTTAGTTTGTCGTCGACGATAACTCCTAAAAACCTGGCCTCCGTTTTGCGTTCTATAGGAGAGTTGTCGATACTTACTTGTAGAGACGATAGATCTACCAAAAAGACGATAGATCTACCAAAAAGATGAAAAATATGAGGTGGTTGGACTGGCAAGCCCTATCATTTAATCAGAATACATTAAATATAATCCATAAGCCATATATATGTCAGCCTGTTCTTGGAGCACAGCCCCAAAAGTTATCAGAAGTATTGGTTCAAGATTTAAGCTCAAAATTCTTTCAACACTATCTATACATTAATCAGGGTTGTCCAATTGTCCAATTGTGGATTGTGGTGTGAATGGAGTTATATATTTCCAAACAGAAACATTATTCACTACAACTACTTAACTTCTTAACAGGTTAGCGTGCCAGTCTTCTGATTCAGCACCCCCTGGACCATCATAGTACCCCCGATGCAGTTGACTTTAGCAAGCCATGGACATATTGGACATCCTCAAATTATTTGTTATGTAGTAGTGTTGAAAGTATTATACAAACCACTTGGAATACTTTTGAAAGAGAAGAACAAGCTCAAAAACGCTACTGACGTATTTCTCCATAAAAAGCACAATAGCGTAAGCAGCTTTTGTCGAGGTGCCCCGAAAGTGATCTTAAACGATTTTCCGTTCAGTTTTGGTTGAGGTACACTAACTTTGTGCATAATCAAGAAAGTTATTGATTATGCTTTTTGTGGAGATATAACCTGCGCCATCAAAGAACTAGCAAATTTCCAAAGTGACCTACTGTTTAGCAAAAGGGAGCAAATAGATACTGAAACCCAGACCACTTTTACTGCATCATATAGATAATAATGAATTGTTTCAAACATTATACACATAATGTCGCAATACAATGACCCTATATAAAAATAACCCTTCAAAAATTCAATATTTTGAAAATCACCCTTGGCCTTGCGGCTCCAAGTTCAAATCTAAACTGTCTATATTGACAAAGTTCTTTCTCGCCCCTCTGTCTCCCCGGATAGAAATTACCGTCGTTCTTACTGCATCATATAGTGATAAGTTTGATTCACGATGTCAATCATTCGCATCTCGCCGATCTGCATAAGTCGGCGACCACCACACGGATAAATGTCACCAGTAACAACTGACTCATCATATTGTGATGGATAGACAATTAAAAATTTTGTAAAATTTTGTATTATAACTGGGTGGATTTCTGAGTGATATATGGACACGTTCATTTGAGTTTGAGGATATTGGTAAATAAAAATAATAGCGTTTTTGACGATAGTGGCTTAATTTTGACATCTATTAACCTAGCACGTTCAGAAGTTCTGAACATTAGCCACATAACCCATACTCCCATATGCACTGCTCAGAAAGAAAATCTATTGTTGTTAGGCACTAAAATGTATCAAATGTCACATTTTGTGTGACTTAATTAACTGCAGTTGTCTAATTACCATTCCTTGGCCTGAAACATAGTAGATTAGGTCAATCTAACAATTATGATACAACATTGGTTAAAGGGCACGGATTGAACGGTTACAAGGCAATATTTAGGTAACTTTGTCACACTCAGAATACCATACCTCTATTCTACTGTGATGTGTCCTCAAAACCCTTTTTACTCATTATTTGATGGTTGATCTACCAAGTACGGAGTACCAATCATAGCCCTTAAATATGTTGCTTTGAAAAGTTAGCTAATACAGGCACTTGGTTATTGGGAAATGAGGTTAATTCTGTCACAATATATGGAATTTAAAATTTTGGGCGAATTATTTATATCTGATTTTGGTTTGAAAGGCGGGAAAACTTTACATGATGACAATGTAGTTGATGCAAGTTAAGATCAGTTGATGTTTACATTGTCACAAAAAATTATACGAAATCGCAAATAGGTTAAAAACAATGATTATATAATGAAATAGTCTCCTTTAATAACTCTTATAATAACTGATGTGACAAAGTAAACATGTCTTGCCCCTATTTTGAAGATCTATATATTCTATAACTTTATTAGAATTCAACATTCTTTCAGAAAAAATTGGTAGAATATTGTCCAGAACATCAGAGCTCAAGTTTAACAATTTTAGGTTAAATTTGTCAAAGTCACTAAAAATGTGACAAAATTAACTTTTCCTGCCCAAAAATTTCAAGATAGTGTGTAAAAATTAGCATAGGCTGCTTTATTACCTAAATAAATCAATCCAAACTACAAAAGAATATATGTTAATGTGATGACGATTACCTAACTCTAATAATAACTGATGTGACAAAGTAAACATGTCTTGCCCCTATTTTGAAGATCTATTTATCTATAACTGTATTAGAATTCAACATTCTTTCAGAAACGATTGGTAGAATATTGTCCAGAACATCAGAGCTCAAGTTTAACAATTTCAGGTTAAATTTGTCTAAGTCACTAAAAATGTGACAAAATTAACTTTTCCTGCCCCAACAATATCAAGATAGTGTGTTAAAATTGGCATAGGAATTAGGATGCTTTATTGCCTATATTAATCGATCCATACTACGAAAAAGATCGGTTAATCTGATGACGATTACCTAACTCTTATAATAACTGATGTGACAAAGTAAACATGTCTTGCCCCTATTTTGAAGAACTATACCTCTATTAGAATACTATGTAACTTTATCATCAAAAAAATTTCGATAAACTAGTTATTTTGCCAGCAAGGAGCTGACAGAGTTATAATAATTTTTTTGTGACGAAATTACCCTATTTTTGACCATGTTGCGGTAGTTTAATTGTGACACTGTTAACATATTACCACCCGATAATGATTTATGTGACTGGTGCATGGTACTAGCAGTGTTGTTTGATCCATAGTACGTAATACAAAGGGTTTAAGCTGGTATATCATTATTTGTTCAATTTCACACATGTTCAGATATCATCAAGATTATGTGACAAAGTAAACTTGTCTGTGCCTTCTGTGTTTTAATTCCTTGCGACTATATGATATAATAACAATTCCTAGCACTTCCAGGCCATTAAATAAACCTACACTACTCAGCATTGCTTATCAGGGTTCCCTAAACATTCTTCACATATTTTCTTAAATGTGTGACACAGTAAACCTGAGTGCACCATCTAACGAAAAAAGTCGTCAAATATGTAGGTAATGGTCATATGTACCCATCCAATCAACTGGACACTCAAAATTTTGGTCAAAAACGGCAGCAAGGGGTCCATATTTACTCTGTCACATGTTTATAGTGTGACAATGTAACCATTTCCGTGCCGGCCGTATTTAAGCGATATCTTATCACCTGATTAAGATATCGTTATGTGACAAAGTTAGCCTAGAGGATGAGACGATTATCCTAACCATCAAGGGTTTGTGTAATTTCATAGTGTGACAAAGTCAACTACACTGTGCCTTTTAATAGGGTCACTTATATTTACCAATATCCTCAAACTCAAATGAACGTGTCCATATATAATAACGCTGCTTATCTTTTTACAGCAACACATTTTCCAGGTTACATAGCCGATAAGAAGTTTGCTGTAAGCGCAACGCGCAGCGTCTATTCAATTGTTATTTTACAATTATATGTCACATTTATTAATTATTATAGAGCTAAAATTTTAGAAGCAGAATAATTTGTAGGGAAAATTCGGTCGTTTGCGGAGTATAGGCCGTGAACACTGCAATGCCAATAACGGGGAGATTCCAAAACCGCACGCTCATGATTTGTGATTGAGCGCGCGCCTCTACGAACATCGGTACCGCTCAAGCATAAAATACTGAGCAGTACGTGGTTCTGCGTAGACATATAATAGCACAAGTTTCATTCAACTTCCCAATTATGTGTTAACGGGTGATACTCGTAAAATATCTGTTCCGACCGTCGACGAGTCCAAATCGGCGCGCGTCCTAGTAGGTTATAAACCTAAAAATTATGTGACATGTACAATGTAAGTGTATTGTTGTTAAACTTAAACATTCAATGTGTAATGATTGGATATGCTCAAATTTTTTTCAAAGTTTCCTTTCTATTCACTGTTTAAGTGTTTAAAGGTTCGGGTAAAATTTTGTTAGGATTGGATTGCATTGATATGACTAAAGTTAATTTGTAAGTTTATAACCTACCAGGACGCGCCCCGAGTATGGAACAGATATTTTACGAGTATCACCCGTTAAAAGTTAATTAAATATAATGATTACCTGGCACGCCAATCCAATGCGCAGTGCCGGGTACGTTTCTCGCATATAAATTGCTCTAACCAGAGCCCTTGTGCTTACAGTGTTGTAGGTTTGTAACCTACCAGGACGCGCGCCGAGTTGGACTCGTCGACAACAATTATTTTACGAATATCACCCGTTAGTATAATATGTAATACTTGTAGCGCGATGCACTACTGGGTCGCGCCGCGCATCAAATAATTCTTCTCGGTAGATCGGCGAGATGCACCACTGTGCCTCACCGAGCTGCGAAGGATTGACATCGTGAATCAAATGTAATACCTGAGTGTTATGGATAGGTTCGTACTTTTGTTTAATCCGAGAATTCTGTTATATCAGGGTGCTAAGGAAAACTTTGTAGCGCGATGCGTTACTGTGCCGCGCCGCGCACTCAATAAGGCTTCTCACAGCGACAGATCGGCGAGATGCGCTACTGTGCCGCGCCGAGCTGCCATGAATTGACATCGTGAATCAAATGTAATACCTGAGTGTTATGGATAGGTTCGTACTTTTGTTTAATCCGAGAATTCTGTTATATCAGGGTGCTAAGGAAAACTATAAACTATAAAATCAGCTTAATGCCTCCGGCTAATAGTAGACAGTAGTAGCAGTAAAAGGTGTACGTGAGAATAGAAGACAAAAAACATGGATAGCCCCTATATCCAGTGTCTCCGGACACCTTAGGAAAATGGAGAAGAGCTACGAGGGATACAAAATAATGATTAATTTGCTACATAACACGTTGTATATATTTCTCGTGCACGCGAAGCGTGCACGCCGGCGCGCGATCAAAAGGGCTTACTGCTTACAGCGTGTGTCAAATGATTAATCACTATACACTCGACAAATGGCATGGCATAAAATGGAGACTATTTCTATGGAGAAAATGGAAAAACCTATGAGTAATTCTCCATTTTCTCCATTTATGCCATTGGCCCCCCCACTGTCACGTGAATTTTTAACACGTCCTCGCTCTAGGTTGCCCTGAATGAATATTCGGACACCTAACCCTCTAATCTGATCCCAACCCTAACCCACTCTCTAAGCTAAAGAATATACTGAAACCCTTACCCTAACGAGAAATTAGACCAATTTCCTTATTATATATGGTCATATCACTTACTGGGCGGCGCTCAGCCTGTCATTTTGCCGAACTTCTCTGTTTATGAACATTATAGCTTCCCAGGTGATCATATCACGAGATTATCCAGACAGTTTTTCGCCCATACCAGGGGAGCATTTTAACCTTATGTCAGTCATGTGGGGTGATTTGGAATCAGCGTTCGAAATTAATTGACGATGTCAATTCTTCGCAGCTCGGCGCGGCCCAGTTAGTACAACATTTGAAAATACATCGATTCAAGTTGGTTTTAGAAAAATCTTGAAAATCAAGTGCAGAGTATAAAGTAATTTAGCACGTTCAAGGGATAAATGAGATTTATAATTATTGCTCATGATTTAAGATTGTACTCTGCCAATTAAGTAAATTGTAAGTTTATCTTTATAATCTTCCAAGATGCCCGCTAAGTTGGACTCGTCGACGGTCTAATATAATATTAATGGAAATGGAACAAATACTTTAAGAGAATCAGCTGTTAACCTGCCAATCGCATTACTTGATTTATGTCCATTGTGGAACTGTTACACATATTTTGAATTAATTACAAAGTAGGAGCTTCATATTCTGAAATACAACTACAAGTGCTTGTCGATTTGCAGAATTTCAAATAATGTTTTGGCTGCAACAACTAAGGGACTATGGACATTCCTATATTACGAATTTATTCACAGACTCTGCCATATAACATGCTATTGTATTTCTTGTCCTAACTTTTTAGGAAAACTTTAATTTTGATTCACGATCTTTACTAAGGGGTCGTTCACATGTTACGTAATCAGCCGAGGGAATGGGGTTTCCAAATGATTACGCTAGTGTAATTTTGACACAATGGTATATGTAACTGTAAAACTGATTACATGTTACAGAGGGGGGGGGTGGTAAAAATTGTTCAAGAAGTGATTACGTAATATTTGAACGTCCCCTATCTTGGTGTATTTTTAAGTGGAGTAGATAATGCATATGCAATATGCTTATAGTTATACAAATGAACAAGCCCAATTTATAGCTGTCGATGTATTTTGTTTTTACACTGTTACATGTGATGTAGCCGGCTAGTACAATTCATTAATCTAATTTGAGAAGTTTACAACTTTAGCTCTCTTTCATCCGGTAACCGTGGTTACCGGATGCACCCCGCCGGCAACTGCTTGCTGTTCCTTAATTAAATTGTAAATGTTAATATTACTGAGTTCAAAACGGGTATTCGCAATTTAGCCGGATGTATCATTTAAAAGGATTTTTACATTTTAGCATATTTGGATTTCAGCGTGTACTCAATAAACAAAGAAACTAATAATGTCCATGCTAACTTTGACTCTAATTTGTGAATTTCCAGTCAATAAAGATGCCATATATTGCGGGGTTTCGAAACAATATGAACAATACTTTTCATAATCATTAAGTTATAAACAGTATTTACAATAAATCGGTACAAACTAAAGTTCCGAACGGCTGGCCAAGTTGGACCCGTGCCTGTACTCCTCGATATCTCTCTTTCTCGGACCTCCCGCCCTAAATAAAAAACAGCAACTATATATTCAAAGAGAAGACGAGTGTAGTGGCAACTTCCGCCCAGTCTTGGTGTAGAAAAGTAGTGTCACGTGACAAGCTTGGAGGAAGGTTGGGCGGGAGCCCTCTCTCATGCAAGCCACTGTATAGGGAATCCCAGCCAAGGACACAATTTATATGTCGTCGATCTCGGCGTTGACGGCAGCGAGCTCGTCTTTGGTAGCGGCGTGTGATTCTTGCTCCTTTTCGAGGTCATCTGTAATGAGAGGTTTTGTTACCGGAATGTGGGACACGTTTACAATTTGAATTAGCAATGGGTGTGTAGAATGGTATGTGCTGGTTCTCAAGAATTCCCAGGCGACGATTTTGGCCATTTATAGTATTGCTCGGTTGCTGTAAGTTAACCCTGTCAAGAAGTTGAGTATTCCCGGAATTTTAAAATATCATCCTGACATACTTTTAACATTCAGAAGCCGTACAAGGCCACATTGAGTCTGGTAACCCAAACGAAAACTTAGTTAGTTATTTTGCGTTGAAGCATCTTGTCATCAGTTTTAAACGAAAGAATGTGTAAATTTAAGGCCGGAGAGCAATTTCTGTCAGAAACCACACCTATCGGAACTGAAGCAGTATCAACACGTGACCAGCATGTCACCTGATATAATACCTCTGATCTGATTGGTTTAGAGAAAATCTAGAATGATAACAACTGAGGCCTTTGACTAGCCGCGCGCGTTTCAGAGGTCCAAAAATTTATAGTAGACCATTTTGACAGGCTTTTTCATATTTGATTGGGGTCTATTATGCAAATGCGGACTTAACGAGCCGCGCGCATGCCTGCTAGTTTTGCTGGTGTTGCTTTCGTGCGAATCATTTACGTATGCAAAGGACAGGAAAATTAATGCCGCTGATTATTTGAAAGTTCTCAAAAATTGTGCTTTAAACTCGATCATTGAGTTATCTAAAAATAATATTGATATTTACAATGTCACTTTTAGTACAGACAGTACTATTGTCGCCAAAACATGAACATAAAATAATAATCTATCAATCGTATTGGTATATCAAATTTAAGATTTTTATAGCTTAAAAATACAAAACATAAATCATAGCTCTTAAGTAAGTTCAATTCAAAGACTCGTAAAATTCAAATCAATAATGTAAAATTAATATATTGTTATCATACTCCACTGGTCATATAAAAAGTTCCTGTGAAGGAACCTCAAAAACTTTATTTGTCCATATTTTATGTTACATCCCTCCTATATGTGCATGTTCAACAAAATTGTTAGTCTAATGAGACTAATAGCAATTATAAACCTCTATGATAATAAATAAATTATTCCGTGCAAAATAACAGGCGCTACTAGGGTCATACTTCTAGATATCTTAATATATTGCAATCATTGAAAAAGAGGTGTGCTTTAAAGTTTAGCGAGCAATTCAATCATAAATCAAAGCATCGGGGATTAACCCCTTGAACATGAATTTCATGATCAGTCCTTAATCAGGGGATTTTAAAACTAATCCGAAAGTTTCTTAAAAATTGAAATGCTAGTGACATCTTCAATTATCTCCAATAATGAGATAATCAATTAATTATCTCCAATAATGAGATACCAGACGACACACCTAATAAAATCCACATTCCTGGAACCTAATACACATCTAGCTGGCAGTTTTACCGGCAACAACAAAACAATTGATGGTTACCATGGCAACACCACGGTTAGTGTTTCAAAGAATGGATGTGTCCAGACACCAGTCCAGAAGATTTCTACAAATCTCATCATGCGTCAAAGAAAATCAAGAGTGCTAGGATCAGAGTGATTATATGTCGTTAATTTCAGCGTTTAGTTCTTCGAGATCTGCCCGGGTAGTTTTGTGGGACTCCTGTTCTCTTTCTAGGTCTCCTGTGTAACATGCAGTTAATTGAACATGCAACATTACAGTCTCTTATTACATGCACCTCAGAGTTACTCACTGCAACCTTATTTCACTTATAGCATCATTTCACTTTCACTGGTAGCCTCACTTTACTTTCATTTAAGGTCTTAATTCACTTTCACTGGCGGTCTCACTCTACTTTCACTTAAAGCCTTGTGTCACTTTCAGCCTTATTTCACTTCTTCACTCGTTTCACTTTATTCGCTAATATGTACCAATACTTGCAAGACGATTCCTACAGATGCACCTCTAAAAACTGTCTCACAATGTCAGCACTTTTCACACAATCTCCAGCTGGAAGCTATCAACAGCTAACAACTCAGTGCTAGTGCTCTGAGGGAGCCGCCACCAAGTTATCACACTGTATACAACCAGCAGACAGCAAGCCTTGCTGGTTTAACTATAACAGACCTGGAACTGTCTGATTGGTTAGTTTAAATCCAGCCCTCTGATTGGTTGGTTTCAGTCACATGACTTTGTAGCTGCTGCAAGACATCTCAGTACCCTTACTTCCTCTCGTTAGAAGCTCCAATTAGGATAATATTTTAGAGAAAGTAATGACGGTGGCTAAATGAGTCAGGACCAAGTCTGTCACGTGATGTCCATATAAGGAGTGTTAGACTTAGAGACAACTTAGATAAGGAGGAGGGATAATAGTCAGACATAATCACTTCTACAATTACACACGGCTCAGCTTTAATGACTGGGAATGTGTAGCTCACACCAGGATAATCACGTGACCACATTTTAGCGAGATATGTCAGTACAGAGAGCTACACTAGGAGATACGATGTCTTAAAGTTGGGATCTCACACAAGAGGGACGGAACATGTAAATTAAGAAACCTGGAAAGTACTCTAAAATCACGTAGAGACACTTTGTAAGGCTCTACGATCAAGTAGAAACACTTCAGAGGATCAATGGTAAGATCGGTATAATGCGGACCATGACACAAGCTCTACTCGGCCCTGGGAGATTGCTGGCTCACATCACATTTCACAGGATCACATGATGACTGAACCTTATTTCACATGTTTAGCTGAAAGCCTTGTGCTGCAATTTCCACTGTTTAGTCGTGTTCAAGGTCTCCAGCTGTCTCTGGTAATTCTCCTTCTCTGCTATCTTAGCAGCATTTAGCTCCTCCATAGCCTCAACAGTTACCTCACGGTCGTCTTCTATCTCGCCCACTATTATCCACTCTTTCGTCGCATTCAACAGCTCATAATGTTTGTTGCTCTCGGCCATTTTCGCCGCGATCACCCGCTCCATAGCCTCTATTTCCATCTCACAGTTCCCTCTAATTTCCCCAACTATATGCGACAACACGTCCTTGTTCACAAATTTCCGGCCTCGCAGATCTAAAGATTTGGGTCACAGCGCTCGACATACACACAGCACGGTAGGTTAGCTAGGTTAGCTTAGATAGCTGGGTTAGCTTAAATTGCTTAGTTCGCTCGAAATGCACACACAGCTCGCAATTAGTTATTAGATTGTGCTTAAAGAAGGTTTAATCGATATAAATAGTTACATATCAGCTAAAGTAGGACTATTTAATGCTTGTTGAATTAACAGTAGTTACAAGACATTCCTGGTATACATTCCTGGTATACATTCCTGGTATACACATGTACAGTTGTAGTGTACAGTACACACGTGACACTTCTAAATATGCGAAACTTACTTTCGAGTTTGAGGATGTTCTCGTCGAGAACCTGGATCTGTCTCTCAGCGTTCTCAGCTCGGATGGAGAGATCGGACTTGGACTGTTCCAGTTCCCGGATGTTCTCCTCAAGTTTCTCCTCTCTCTCTGATTGCTGAAAGGAGGGGGAATGTTAGAAATGTGAAGTGAAGAATACTGGTATTAATCTGAGCAGTGTTGTAGTAGTAGTAGTACCGTTATTATAGTAACACGGCAGCTAGAGAGTAAATAGACAACTTTCAACAGACTATAGTATAGACTACAGCAGTAGTCTATAATATAGACTGTAGTGAGTGGTAAACAAAACTCCGCGCACACTCCGAGATGTAAGGAAGATGGAATGTGGCTAGATTCCATGAGGGGGTGCTGACAGTGCCCACTTTAGTGCTCTATAGACAGGGCAAATACAGGAAACAGTCGGACTCGCTACCATGGCACCAGACATATTACTGTACTGTTACCATGGTTACAGTACTAATACTGGTAATCCTGGAACCAGTTATACTAGCCAAGTTATACTAGCCAACCAGTTATACTATCCAAGCTACTTCTTTACAGTTTACGCAAGGTTAGCTGTTTAGTAAGTAGATGCAGGATAACCTAGGGGAACACTTGTCGTATTCTACTCACTAGAGCCTAGTTTAAATGATGCTTTACATAGCAGTAACTATTCAGTAACTAGCCTGTAAGATAACGTATCTACACAGCAGATGAAGGTCAGATTAATGGAGCCTGATACAATGGGAGAGTAGGCCAGGAGAATAGGTGTACTGCTGTGTACCCTACTGTATATCTCAATACCCGTCCTTACAAATCAGGGAATATTTAAAGAGGAGGGATTGTAGTGGTGCAGACTAGGGAGACCTGGAGCACTAGGGTACTGGTTTCTATCTAATACAATTAGCTATTTTTCAACTTTTAGCCGTTGAAGAAGGAGTGAGTCTTTTGTTGCCATGGTTACGGTGACTCGATTGGTGAGGTAAATTCCAGTTGGTTCTGATAACAAGGTTATATTTGAGGAGGAAGCCACCTGGGGAGGACGAGTAGCACGCACAGTTACTACACTCCCCTCTCTCTCTACACATGCAGCCTGCTACCTGGTTCTCTGCTACCTGGCTGCAAGCCAGAACCTATAACTTACCAGACCCTCGGCAGCTTCCATCTTCTTCAGGATGTTGTTGATGTTTGTCACCTCAATCTCGAGTTCCTTCACCTTGCTGAAAAAGATAAACATTTGGGAAGTGGGGTCTTAACTTATAGATGTATTTAGGGATGAATCTCTAGTAAATGAAAATAAAAGAACAAATGTAAAAGAGAATTGAAATATTTAGCTAACCTCTCAGCAGTCTCACTGTTGCCCTCAGCACGGCTGAGATCCTCCTCCAACATCTTGATCTTTCGGTTGGCCTGTAAAGAAGTATACGTTACACTCGGTATATTAGACGTTACACTCTATATTGTAACGTTTAGGGATACAGTTTAGCAGATCATTCGCTTAAATTCCTGTTCAGTATTTGGGGAAATTGCCAGCACTTCTACTTTCACATCTCACAATTACAATCATACATCAGTCCAGGCAATAGGAGGATGATTATACAGGACAAATGTTACATTTAACAGTACATTTACAGTACTGTTTACTACTCAGGGAAATAATAATTTATAGAGACGGGGTCAAGTTACACACTCGGGGGAGGGGGGGGGGGGCGTTTAATAGTACATTTTGGTCATGTTTAGTAACCCCCCTCGTTCAGTAACCCCCGCATATAACCTACAATTCCCGCAACTCTTTATCCGTGAGAGATATAGAGCTCTCATATAACTAGCGGAGAGTGGAACACTCCGTGGATAGAGGATAACCTCTATTGTTCAGACTGCATGCAATCAGGCGAAGTGGGGGCCCCGTGTGATAATTAATAATGTATAAAATACGGGGATTTTGAACAAAGGGGTTAGAAGAGGTGCGAGTGTGTGATAGTGGGACGGCGGTGCACTATGAGGGGGACTATGAGGGGGTGTGCTCTGAACAAAGGAACACACTATCTACACTCTCATCTGCTCCATACGCGACATTTTGGGGAACAATTTGGCCTCTTATCCTAGCCCTACTTGTCATCGTGTCCCTGTTTCAAGTGTAGTCCAGCACTTTGAGCTGACAGAATGATTGTTCATCTGTAATAAGAGGAAACAGATTCTCTTCAGTGTTTTCTAACTTCTGACTTAATTGTAGCGGAGTTGTGAGACAGTGAGGGAAAAGACAAAGAGTGATTGTTCTCGAAATAAAGGAGGTTTAATGTTTATTGCAGTGATATGATTACACAGCTGGAATAGTGGAATGTAGGCCCGTATGAAATGTGATATCGTGGAATGTGAACTCCGAGATACGCCACATACGTGACCTCCCTGTAATCGCTCCTTCACAACAAAATCTTCCAGCACGTAATTATATAGTGGACCAGTGTTTGGACGGTGATGTTTCTTCAATGTAGGACTAAGCACGTGTGTTTGTGTGACTGTGTGTGTGTAATCATTACAGGCTACAGGGCAATGAAACAGACTTTATTAGATATTGTGTAAGCAGGCTACTGTGAGCTAAGGAATGTTTGAAGGTTAAAGGAGGGGGTAGGTAAAGAGGTGAGGGAGATTAAGGAGGAGGGATAAGAAGTGCGAGGTTTTACCTCGTCGTTCTTGTGTTCCAAGTCAGTTGTCTGGGCGGTCAGCTCCTCGTTCTGGTTCTCCAAATCCTCTATTCTCTCTTCGTAGTCTTCGTTCTGGAGCTTCCTCTCGGCCTGAACATTTCAACAGTTAGTTTGTGCTCAGTAATGACGTTCTAATATAATGTAACCATCATTATCTTGTCTTTATTGATAAGATCACCTAACTATTCCTGGACAATTCTGACTAAATAAATTGTTCTAATTCTTCACTGCTTGGTAAGGCAATGAAATGGACTTAGATCCATTAGTGAACATATGGAGATACCCGGAAACATGAATTAAACTATTATTTGGCTGATTGGTTTGTCTAAATTGTGTCGCTGGAAATTTACCTGACAGCAGTTCGTGAGATTCACTATTAAACATTATTCATCTTACACATTTGAAGATGAAAACACATTAATGTCAGACAGCAGCCATAGACGTGAGACTGCTGATTATGTGATTCTAAGGCAGGGTTCTTTAGAATGTCGACTGATGGAGTTAGGTTAATTGATAAACTAGGTGTACTGCCCTTGTTCAGAAACTGCATTGAAATAATTACAGCCTCGCGGTTCGGACATAGTCTTCTTCGGTGTACTGAACAGAACCTGACGATACAATCAGACTCATGCCTGAGACGCCGTGACATTTCTTATGAAGGACTTAAATATATCAAGTAGCGGGATAAAATATTTCCTTGTGTTTAGAATTTGTTATTAAGAAAGAAATATAATTCAAGTTATTGTTGCCTCTTTTCGCAATATTTGAACTTTCTTCAAATGTGTAACATTTAATTGCTATTATGATAAGCTTTATACATTTTTTACTTTTATAACGCTCACCTACATTGCTCTAGTCACTTCAAAACCAATTTTATAAATACCAATAACCTAGCTTAACGTTATGAACTGTAAAAACAACTTACATCAGCGTATTTCTCCTCGAGTTCGTGGTGGGCGACCTTGATGGTCTCAAGTTCCTTCTCGAGAGCTTCTACCTTCTCTTGTTCCTTGTATAGTGATTCTTCGAATACCTTCATCGACCTGTGAAGATGCACATTTTAGATAACTTTTTGGAAGTAGTCATCGTAGTAATTTTATTTCATTCTATACTCAAATTCATACTTAAAAGGTGTTATGATATGCCAGTCAAAACCAGTTTGGAGTCATCTCAACATTTAATAGGCAGGCTCAGATCTAAAAAGATAAAATTTCCAAATATGTAAATGGTCAACATGTCCAAATACATGAAATATGGTGAACAAAATGTCCAAATATGCTATAAATACCTCTGTGCCTCCTCTGCTTCCTTCTCAGCGGTCTCAGCCCTGGTGGTGAGCTCAGTGACGGAGCTCTCTGCCTTGTCTAATTCCTCCTCTGTCAAGGACAGCTTCTGATGGGCGGCTTTGAGGTCATTTTCCAGCTGAAAGAAAGGGGATGTTAGCAACTGGGCATATCTGGTCAGCTATGGGAAACTGGAGAAGTAACAAATTTAAATACTGATTACTGATAGGTTATACTAAGTCATGTCAGTCTTGTCTGGACTCTTGTCGTTAAATATCATTAGCTTTTTAATGTGAGAGTCGCACATTTCTAGCTCTGGGATATAGATAATAATGATAATAAGGCAGCGTGTGTAATATATAGATTGTGATCTGTAATTTGCATCATAATCAACTATACTGGTCATTAATCAGGTGGGTGGTTTGATAATGTACAAATATACATATGTAGATAACTTATACATACAACACACGGTTAAAATAAATACACGCTACACGCTCCTACTTCTACGTTTCTTACTTCTTAAAAACGTCATTTTAGACATGCAATGATAAGATCAATATTCAATATATCAGTCATCCTTATTACGTAATCTGTTATCATTGTGTCATATTATGTGTCATATCGGCCGCCCCAACATTACACACAATCTATTATGGGGCTCCAACATTCTATACGTGCTATTATGTGACCGCTCCTTCATAAAGTGTACCGTAATGTAAGGACGGTGTCAGGTAGCCGGTATATGCGCTAATTCCTTACACACCGGCTCACACTTACAGATCTACTTTCTCTCAGGTACAGTGGAATATGAGTATAAAGTAAGGTCACACGTGACCAGGTGACACGTGACCAGGCCACACGTGGCCACGTGACCAGTGCGGTTATGACTCAATCCTCATCCTGGTTTGTGATCTCAGGTCTAATTTTAACGTGTTTCTCTCATCGTATAATTACATGGAGTTATGTAACACAGTAACACACATAGCACAGCACATTCTTCTGTTATATGGGGGAGGCGAGGCAATGGGAGCGGAGGTGTCTTTATATTTTATAACTTATTACTTATAACTTAAAATGTGTAACTTTTTACTTATAACTTAAAATGTGTAAATTATTACTCATATAACTTAAAATGTGTAACTTATTACTTACAACTGATAACTTATAATGTGTAACTTAAAACTTATAATGTGTAACTTGTAATATTACTAAAACAATAAAAAAAGGACCACATTGTTCATTATTTAACTGTGCTTTCAGAACCCAACTATTGTAGGCACTGTATAAGAATCATAGTCTAAGAGGAACTAGTATATCAGTAAGATTGTTAATTTAAGAAGCTGCCAAATATTGAGTAGGACTAGTAGTGTCACACTACTACAGCCATATAAATGTACGTGTAATATATAGCTGTTATCTTGTGATATTTGATACCAGTAACCACATCTACTGATAACACATAATAGCCACCACACATCCCTTCTTGTAGTGTCTATAATAGTAACAAGTTACACCACCTATATTCCATATTATACCTTCAGCTAACATTCTCTTTACTTCTTAGAAAATACTTAGTCACTAATATCATTTCAATATAGGTAATACTAAGTAACAACTAATTAAGATGCTTGTTAAGTAAGTTGTTTGTTTGTTATTAGCTTAACTGTGTTCATTCTAATGGTTCATGTAAGCAGGAGCACCTCTTGCTAGATATAGTATTCATAACTAACTAGTATATAATATAACTAGTAGCCCCGGGTTTGTTAAAGGGAACATTCAATATGCAGGCCAATATAATCAGTAATTACTTAGTAAAGGCAGTAACTGTATTCTCTATTATATATTATACTTTATTATACATACTATTAACTATTATATAATATATACTAGTGTACCCCCCCCCCCCCCCCCCCCCCCCCCCCCCCCCCCCCCCCCCATAATTATTACATAGAAAATAAAAACAAGTTCATTTTAACCCTCACGAAAGTTGACCTTTATATTAACTTATAAATATAACTGTAGTAGTAATATCGTTGTTAACATAACTAGTGACAATTTGCCGAGAGGAGAGAGAATATTTGGGTTACATTGCCTTGGAGGCCGGATGAAGGGAGGGTGTTGACATATATTTCAAAACCCCACTTTACATGCCTTTTATACGGAGACGGACATGCCCAAATAAGGGCACACTAGCTGGTCGGCTGTCAGCAGGTTGAAGCTGTGAGCTTTTCGTTAATCCCTCTGCAGGACAACTAACTGTGTGTCATGTGACACCCTCACACTGACCAGTAGGAAGCTAGCTGGAATAAGTGCATGTTTTGCATATTTCCTGCAATAACCTGCTACTATTGGAAATTTCAAACCCACAAAAAGCCCTGCAGAGTTGCCCGGAAAAAGGTGTAGCCATGGCAACCCCTTATAAGGAGATATCTGCTGATCAGACCTGAAGCCAAAGAGCTCTGGTATTTTACATTACGCTCATAATCCCGTCTGAGGCGAGTTAGCGCAAGTCAGAACTGTAACCGGGGTCGTCTCTATTGACAGGTCCTAGTATCACGTGTTATCGAGAGTAACCATGACAACACGTGATACTATAAGTTACCATGGGAACAGTAACACGTGTTACCAGGAGTTACCAGTGGAACAGTAACACGTGTTACTCTAAGTAACAAGAGGAACAGTTACACGTGCTATTCGTGTATCGGACAAATTGCTAATGAGCCAGCACGTAATTCTACAAAATGGCTTTATTTTTAATCTACCGAACGGCCTGAAAAAGGTGACTTTAGCTAGCGGACTTTGATGATAGCTTTCTAATGATAGCTTATTATTTGATCTTTAAATCCAATTATCCAAACCCATGCCCAATTAGGCACATTACTTATTTCACTTATTTGTTAATCTACCCAGAATATAGCTGCTATTCTATTAGCCCTAGTTTAATGGCCCAATCCTACTTCCAATAACATACCAACTCACTCAAAGGGCGAAAATGAGATTATGTCATTAAAACGGCCTTTAAACAGAATATCCCAAAAAATGGGGTAATCATATTTTAATTCTACCCGTTTACAGTAAGAATGTAAGCTACGGCACATTATAATTTATAGAATAATGATCTCATACTTAGCATTATTGCGGTACAAATTTACTTAAGTTTGACACTCACACACTACAAGTGTAGTTACACCGCACGGAAGACCCTCCACTTTTTGACAAGTCCTCTAGTTGTGCGAGGCCGCTGGTTGAGTGGTCCTAAGTTGTGCTCCTTTGTAATGCATGTTATGTGCAAGTGTAGCTAATATACTACTACTACTAGCCAATATGCACTGCTGATTAGCTTACATCACAATAAAATCACCGTCCTTAATATATATACTGCAACAAATGGTGGCCACTTTTCATGTAACGTGGATATAAGGAATTAAGGGGGGCAGTCTGTGTGTTAAACAAGCTGCCTTCTAAAATTAGCACATTATGAGTCTTGCTGAATATGTGGCAACAGCTGTGATGCACCCCACCCCACCACAAATAAATAACTTTTTCTTAAGCAGTCATTAGTTAATAAGGAGGTCAAATAATTGTGAGACAAAGGACCCAGTGTGTAAAGAAGAGGGAGCTAGTCCAATACACACAGCTAGGTTGTCCTATACAGTCCCAACTCAAGAGAGGTCAGGCCTGTATTAAGCGTATTTAGTGTACACAATTTGCGGTTACACGCCACCAACAGAGACCATGCTAGCTCTCTTACTGGAACACGGCCCCCAACAATAGCTACCTAGCTAGCTGGGTAGGTATGTGGGTGGGTGGGTAGGACCTCCAATTATATCCTACTAAATACCCCACATTGGATAAATACTCCTAAATAAGTTCAACCCAGTAACATAGCTGACAATTGAACCTGACAATTGAAACAGGTTGGAGAAAAGCATACTTAATATGTTTCCTAATCAGTGTAGTAATCAATGCAGCGGAAACTGAATAAGTTTCCAGGAGAGGTCAGGGGTAACTAGGGAACAGTTACCAGGGAGAGAGTTACCAGGGAATAGTTACCAGGGGAATAGTTACCAGGGGAATGAATGAGAGAGAAGAATAGGCGTATTGATTGTTATATTTTACTAACGGAGAATGAGAAAGAATAGCCATTAAAACAGTCAGATATTTGGTATAAATAACGAACCATTTCCCATATCCAGGGGTTCTCGCATTAACAACTACAGCCATGAATATTATTTTTGAAGCAGTATCTCTCGACATTCCAGCAATCGTCTATAATTTCAGGTTTGAAATTGAATTTTACCGTTTAAGAAAATATCTCCAAGATTGCACCATCCTCGAAAGCTTAGAGCTTTTATACAACGATATTGAACAAATGTTTGTCCCAGTATCGCAGACTTGGATGAACTTGTATATGTGAATTGTATAAGATATTTAAATATAAGGAATGGTAGTATAATGAGCGGCCGCTAGTTTAGAAAATATTATTTAGCTGTGAAATAACACTCAACACTGCATATCTACTGCATTTATTAACTAGTTGAATGATATGGTACTAGTGTAACCTACTTTATATAAATATATAAATATATAACATATATAGTATATAGGTAGGTTTAGGTAGGTATATAAATATCTAAAAATATTTATATTCATGAACCAAGTTTCAGGTAAATTCTCTCAACTTGGTTTAATTGTCAATGTTATAGACTGTATGGGGCTCCAAGGAGTTACTAGCTTGTGTTAAAAATGACTATAGATAGCACAGCATAAGAACTTAGTTGAAAAAAAAATTATCGGAAAAATTCTAATCAAGGTATCATGCCGGAGAGAGCCTCACTTACTTTATCGATCACAACTTCCTTCTCTCTGAGGGTAGCCTCTGAACCGTTGGCCCTGTCGTTGGCCTCATCAAGCTCTTGCTTGAGGTTGGCTACTTTTTTCTTTATGTTCATTACTCCGGAGTCTGACTTGGTCATGATGGATATTTTTCCTGGACGACTAACACAACTAAAGTTAACAAGATGGAACTAACAAGATGGTCAACTGGGTGACTAAACTAGTTGCTTACGATTATAAACGGACTGCTCTAGGAACAACTGTGACGTACTGACGGTTCAACAAAATTCTCCACTGAGACCAGCTCGTTCAATTACATTTAATTTCCTCGCGCTGCGAGATTGCGTGCGGAGGTAGCTTCGCGTGGGTTCAGTGATTTTCTGTCAACGCTAAATTAACGCAACGCGTTATATCCTGCAGAAGCTAAATTAGCAGAATCATATTTGTCATTCACGGTAGTTACTGTTTTATTAAACCATGACTTAGACCTGACATTGTAACTGATAAACAACTAAAGGTACACACTCAATTTCCCAGCAATTATTGCAGAATTGATCACAAAAACTAAAACTTGAGCCGCGCACAACAAAAGAGCAATCATATTTCAAAATGGAATGCAGCATATCATAGCACTGCGGACTGCAGCCATATTTTCTTCAATATCGGATATCGTATAGCTACGGCTTACACTCCAAAATTCTATTCTGATATTGGAAGTTAACGTATTGATTTAATTAAATAAGGCAACAAAAACTTAAACACGAAAGCCGTAACAAGTCAATAATTAATAATATCTTACTGGGCGGCGCTCAACGTGTCATTCCGCCGAATCTCTATTTTATGTTTATGAACATTATAGCCTGGGGTCCCCAGGTAAATAATATGTAGTAGATCACAAAATATAAAATAACAAACGTAACTTAGTAATTATGGTGACACGGACGTAGTCTAGTGCAAACATCTGCAATTTGTGGTTTCACTTTTCAGGTTTAATGAGTGATTTCAAAAACAATTAAAAGTGACTAGTACACTGTACAGTAACCAATAATCAAAAATTAAAAAGGCCAGGCTAGGGCCCCATATTTACAATTTAACAATTAATATTTAAATAACTAATTTACAGTGCGTGTAAACTCAAAACTATTTCTGTAAAATTTAAACTAATTTGAAACCCACGTGACTGGTAACAAAGTCAGTTTTAATAAATATGATATACATAATTATATGAAACAATATTAATAAAATATTATATCAGCAAGACAATAGTTGAGGCTGGTATTTACATGTTATTTGTTGTTTTATGGTTTTAAACTGCACATCCCAATTGATATTGATGATTGACAGCGTACATGGTACATGGTACAGCACGAGGCACAACACAAATGGGCATTCTGCTATGTTTGATGTATGAACTACCTTATCGATTATATAATAGCGAAAGTATTTACACGTACACCCAGTCTGATCATAAATCTATGAACTACATTATAATTATATAGTAATTATGCAATGAATGAGTTAATATTTCTTTGCACCAAAAGTTTTCAGTTTCACTTTCAGAATTGAAGTCTATGGTATTCTGGTCTCTGAGTCTATGTCGTTTACAAATAAACAAACTAAAAAGAAATAGAATGTGTCGAATAACAGTTCAGGATTTATTAGAAAACTTAAACACCTACCTTTTCGATGATAACCTCCTTTTCTGCGAGTTGTTCCTCGGCCTCGGCTGCGCGGCTTTGGACATCATCCAATTCGCTCTTGAGAGTTGCTACTTTCTTTTTGATGAGGTTAACACCCGATTCTGAAGCCATTTTTACCTAGTGAGCTGATGTTTTGTGTCAGATAGAATTTCGAGAATATACACACCCACCACAGCCTGTAGATCAAAAGAGGGAGACACATCGATAAGATGTGGGCACAGATAAGAAGGGACACAGCAAACGGTAATAAAACACTACCAGCTTTAAGCAACTATATCAATATCATACTCGTAGTCATCATGTCGATTATCGATATAATACCCGATACCGGCTACAATTTAGGTGATGTCATCGTGATGACACTTAACAACTACAATTTAAAATTTAAGTTTTTCAAAACATCCAAAGAAAACGCTAATATTAACGTAACACTGGTACACTAGCACAACTCCTGACCACTAACAAACACTACTACTACTAGATCAAATAATTCTGCTACCGTGTAAAATTGGCTTAACTATGACAATCTAATTTTAGGAATCAACTACAATCACGGATCATTAACTTGCTTTGATAATAAATTCTGATCTCTTGAGTGACAATTTTTGTTTACGGTATTTGTTTACAGTATTTGGATGTTATTAAGAGCTCACTTAGGGAAACTTAAGGCTATTAAAAGCTCACTTAGGGAAAATATTTGCTTATTTATATAAGGACAATTGAAAAGTAGTATTATGAAAGCTCTTTTGTATCGTGAGTGACAGATGAAGTGTTGAATTGTTAAAAATAGGACACCTTTACAGAATTAGTAGAATTAGGGGAAGCCACATAAACGCAGGAAAAGCCAAAAAAAAATTCTTTGACATGAGCAATAAACTTCCACTGGATCGGGGACAATAATTCAGTGTTCAGACCATCCATGCAAGAAAATAAATGGGGTATGACAAAAGGTAAACCATTTTGTTGACGAATGATGAGACTGAAGGTGTCTTAAAGCAAACAGGCTGAGACAGCTTGCCTGATTGTGTGGCTGACCTGTTCGAATAAAGCAGCAAAAGAGCCCGCTGAAGGATCCAATCATCACCCACAGGCGGATTAGAGTGGCTAATTCAGCAGAAATCTGCCGGATAAAAACAAAGCGCAGAACTTATTGCAAGCTTCCAGCAAGGTGCTCCTCACACCACTCAGTGGACCGGGTGATAGGATGCAAAGTGAAATGGCGTGATGATTTCACTGAAGAGCAAGTGAAATGGCGTGAAGAATTCACTACAGGACGCAGAGTGAAATGGCGTGAAGATTTCACTGAAGAGTAAGTGAAATGACGTGATGATTTCACTGAGAGCAAGTTGAAATGGCGTAATGATTTCACTGAGAGCAAAGTGAAATTGCGTGATGATTTCACTGAGAAGCAAGGTGAAATAGTGTGATGATTTCACTGAGAGCAAGGTGAAATGGCGTGATGATTTCACTGAGAAATATGTGAGATAAATAATTTCACACTCAGTAACAAACCACACGAGTGGTATTATAGACGGTCTATCCTGCACATTTGAGGTATTATCGCGCTTCAAATAATAGCAAGCCTGCAGAATGTTATTCTATTAAAATACGGTTCGGCAATACTAACGTAATTTACTCCTGTTTCCTTAAAGTAGGCTGCGCCATTGGCTGTGGCCGCTTCCTGGCTTTCTCTAAAGCACAAACGGAAGCTACACTGTGAAAAACATCGCTAGTTCCTTTCCACTCCATTTACTGATAGAATATTTTCATTTTATTATTATTACTCTCCCCGGCTTGGTCTCGCTTAATGTAACATGAGTAAAATTAAAACTATGATTTGGACCCAAAATCATGGACACTAATGCCGAAGTAGCCTGAAAATATTGGAGTCTATATTTGACATTTAGAATTGCTGTAAATTAAATATTCAGGGAAAGCGTTTCAAAATTCAATTAACATGTTGGTCGAATGTGGTAATTGGTAACTCCGAGAAATTTAAAGGCGAATATTTTTAGAAACTAGAAATATAATAGCCACACTGACACATAATTTAGTCCTTGTAGACTGTGAAATGGTTGCATATTACAAGCACCACTAAATAATGCAACACTGGACCAATTATCAACTTATAGTCGCCTAATAGAATCAGTGAATTATTTAATTTCCATTATTTTACTCTAAAATGTCTGCAGGGCGTTGGACGCCGTTCATGGGTGTGAAACGTTCTAAAGAGAACAGTGCATTGTGAGGGGACGGAAAACAATGCTAGGGAGCACTACACGTTGCTAGGGAGTGTTATATGTTGCTAGGGGGTATTACACGTTGCTAGGGAGTGTTATATGTTGCTAGGGAGTGTTACAAATTCTAAGGAGTGTTTTATGTTGCTATGGAGTGTTATATGTTGCTAGGGGGTATTACACGTTGCTAGGGAGTGTTATATGTTGCTAGGGAGTGTTACAAATTCTAAGGTGTGTTTTATGTTGCTATGGAGTGTTATATGTTGCTAGGGGGTATTACACGTTGCTAGGGAGTGTTATATGTCGCTAGAGAGTGTTACAAATTCTAAGAAGTGCTATATGTTGCCAGGGAGTGTTATATGTTGCTAGGGAGTGTTATATGTTGCTAGGGAGTGTTATATGTCGCTAGATAGTGTTACAAATTCTAAGAAGTGCTATATGTTGCTAGGAAGTGTTACCTGTTGGTAAGGAGTGTTTTATGTTGCTAGGAAGTGTTACCTCTTGTTAGGGCACGTAAACTAGTTAACAGTAATATCTGGCTACTAAATAATTAAATTGGAGTTGTTTACTTTGAAGCTGCATAATCTTTCATGGCTTTTGGTGTCACTTATATATCTGGAAATAAACGAAACAAAGATCAAAACCGAACTAAACCAAACCAAACCGAACTTAGAAGTTTAAGAAAAAGGACCCAATGTCACGGGAATAGGGATTACAGCGTTATTAATGGCAAGCAGAAACCACTTCATATCAAAAATCTTTATGTCAAGATAGAGGAGTATCCTTTAAATTGAGTCTTGATGGGTTTTATGAACCACATTATTTAACAAAATATTCTAAACCAAAACAAGTTAATCGTGCAATATTATCATAAAATACATAACTACCCTGACAATGTATCACCACAATGTATGATAGAATGATCCATTCTGCGTGAAATATAAATCTTTTTTGTTCATTTGTCTGATACTTTGATTTCATGAATTATAAAACTGAAAATATGATTCCCGTATCTAACATTGCTTACAGAACAATAGCCTTTTTAACAGTGCTGCAATCATAATTACCCAATCACTGTGGCATTTTAACATTCCCAATCATTTCCTTTCTTAGCCGCAGCTAAGGCTTGTCAGCTGATCTTGAGGTATTTTCTAGAATATTCTAGAATGTTTCAGAATATTGATCTTCCTAGAAATTAGATCAGACGTATCTAGTGTCGTCAGAATCCACACCATGAGATTTCTATGGTTTGCATACCAAAAAGCTGCAGTTTATATTGAGCATGTGTGTTTAGCTATCTATTGTACATACCTGCCATTTGACCGGGCCGATTCTGTCAGCTCAACGACTATTCTAGATTGAATATTAGCTGGGATAATATGTTCAATAACACATGTCATCCTTCAATTGAC